CAGGTATATTGGACGGCTCGGTGGAGCTTCGGACGTGGTGTAAGCTTGCTGTCTCCATCTTTGAAGGAGGAGAACCGACGGAGGAGACATTCAAGATCCATTGCTTATCGACCTTGCGTCCCGTACCAAGTATGCTGCCATCTTTGCGCCTCAATAGCAGCTGGTTCGGACGGTAGATCGCCGTGACACCTTTCCTAGCAAGTCTTGCACCGCTAATGAGGTTGGCGCTAGCTGCTGGCGTCTAGAGAACGTCGGTGAGGAGGATGCTAGAATCGGGTCTTCTCCTAGATCCAGTGAGTTTCATGCAGATTTCTCCACGTAGACCTTCTTCAATTGTGATGCCGGAGACTGTCTGTATACGAATTGAGATTGGCTTTGCCGTACCAGGCATGAAATTGCTAGGTGAAGCCGTAAAATGGACGTCGGCACCTGTGTCGCAAATCCATCGATCAGAGGGCATATCGGAAGCTATGGAGAGGACATTGTGAGGTAGGTCAATTTCAATGGTATTTGCAGTATATGCCTCCATTTTTTCAGCAGGTTTTTCGGCCGAAAAACCATCTCCTTTCATCTCTTTTTCCGACTTCCTACCACGGCGGAGCTTCCAGCAATTCGACTTCACGTGGCCCTTCCTATTACAATGCTCGCAATAAGGTTTTGGACCTAAAGCTGCTGGTGCTGGTGTTGCTGAGCGTACGGCATACGTATTTCGGGTCTTGGTCTCACGATCTAGTGATCTCTCGAAGTCTTCAAGCTCGGCAATGAGCTCGTCGAACCGGTAGATCCTATCGGAGTCGGATGACCTGCTTACCCGCGACATAAGGCTGGTCTTCCACGCGTCCCATTTTGGACTGTCTAGCTTCTCGAGGAAGAAGAGACATTTGACGCGCTCGCTTTCAATACTTCCGGTAAACGTCTTCGTCCATGCGGTCTAAAAGCGGAATTTATACTGATCGAGAGACGTGCAGTTACTCTCGAGAATCTCATTGAGTTCGCTAACACCACTAGCTGCTATAGATGCATCGGTAGGCGCGTACGCACTCTCAATTACTTTCCACATTGCAGCCGGATCTCGAAGCTTTCTATCTTGCAAATACTGCTGAATTTGCTTCGACACATGGCTATTGATAGCTCTTCTCGCGAATGAGACGAATTGAGCTTGCGCCAGGAAATGGCGATGCTCACGGGGTAGGATCATGACTTCGCCGTATACAATGGGAGTGACGGCATTGTCATCGAACAATTGCTCCATGTTATCAGCCCAATGACGGTAATTGGACTTGCCCTTCAAGGCTTCGAATTTGGAGTCATCCCGAAGTTTTCTAACTGCTTCTTTGGCCCTTTTTAGGTGCGCAATAGCCTTTTCTTGCTCGGGGGATTCTCTCGGTCTGAATTGACGAGGAGGGTAGTTGCCGACGGTATTGGTAGCATCATACGGCATTTCACTCTCAGTGGTCTGGAGAGGCACAGAATCACGAATCGGCGACAGATTGAATACGTCGCTACGATTGCTCCTATCTATATTGAGGATAGGGCGTCGATTCGCATAAGGATTGTCAGCGCCAGTGACCTCTGGCGCCGGGAAATGCAGCGGATCTTCACGCTGACGAGGAGGAGGTACTTGACGAAGCGTACGGTCGACGTCTTGGAGGTTATCGTCGCTATAATGGACGGACTCGGCATCGCTGGGCGGCTCGCCTTGATCAGGGGCTTGCCGTCTCGGGCGGAGACGTCGAGAATCAGACATCGTTTCGGAGGAAAGGGCTCAGGGGAGGCAGGTTGCGAAGATGAAGCTATTCCCGGCTGTCGAGGCAAGCCGGGCTCATAACCTGTTGAAATTTGAATGGAGAATACGATGAATGATGCTAGGAAGCTATTGCCAAGAGCCAACGAGGTGGTTTAAGTCTGATCTCTCTCTCCATGAGAGAGAGATCCTATTTAATGAGAAGCATTTCTCCTGAACTATACTCTACATGGTAGGTCAATGCTGATCATGAGCTTCATGCTTGGCGAAGCAGGCATTTCATGCCTGGAGATGCCTGGAGAGGCCATGAATCTCAACAAAGTATAGTAGAACGGCTAATATCTATAGTCGTAAGAGTGAAATTAAGAAGAAAGTTATAGTTTATGTCTCTACCACCTATACACAAAGTTTTGTGTGATGCAAGCCCAGTATCGTGAAACCGAGGTAATATCCAAACAGATCGATTGATCATCGCTGCATGCAACAAACTTTTGTACAACGTGAGATTACTTATGTAGAGCAATTATATGAAAACCAATCTTGAATATCTCTTCCAACTTCAACTTCACTCTTAACACTATGCCTTCCGTGGCTCCATACACGATCGCCGTCCCAAACGAGCAACTTGAGCAGCTCAACCGGAAGCTGGAACACGCAACATTCCCCGATGAGCTCGATGCCTCGGGCTGGGATATGGGTGTTCCCCTCGATGAAATCAAGAGACTTGTCACCGTTTGGCGTGACAGCTTTGACTGGCGTGCGCAAGAACACAGATTGAACGAGCAATTCAAGCATGTCAGTATCAAAGTGGGTGTAGATGGGTTCGGTGAGCTGGATATACATGCCGTGCATCACCGCAGCGAGAACCCCAAAGCCATTCCACTGCTGTTTATCCATGGATGTATGAGCCTTATGACCTTTTCAACCCTTTCTCAGCATCGCATTTACTAATTTACTCCACTTATAATAGGGCCGGGCAGCTTCCTCGAGGCGACCAAGCTGATCCCACTGCTCGCGAAGGACGACGAGGATGGCCCAGTATTCGACATTGTGGTACCCTCGTTGCCCAATTTTGGATTCTCACAGGGTGTCAACAAGGTACATTACATGATGTAAATCTGTTTTCGTATCATAATACTGACCATCCGTCCAGAGAGGCTTCGGACTAGCTCAGTACGCCGAAACCCTCCACAAAGTAATGACAACCCTAGGCTACGAAGAATACGGCAAGCCCTAACCCCCATCCCCCAGAAAACTTCCCCCTCAACTAACCCCGACCCAGCAATCCAAGGCGGCGACTGGGGCAGCATGATCGCACGCAGCATATCACAATACTACCCAGAACACACGCAAGCCATTCACCTAAACTTCGTGCCCGTCATCCCGCCCTACCCATGGCGAAGCCCCTACCAATTCATAAAGTCTCTCCTATCAGTGCCCTTCTCAGCGAAAGACCGCGGCTTCATCGCCCGGTCATTGGGTTATTTCACCCGCGACAATGCATACATGAAAGTACAAGAGACTCGGCCCCAGACACTGGGTTATGGGCTTCATGATAGTCCTGTTGGATTGCTCGCTTGGATCTATGATAAGATGCATTCGTGGTCGGATGAGTATCCCTGGACTGATGAGGAAATTTTGACTTGGGTGAGTGTGTATTACTTTTCTACGGCTGGGCCGATGGCGTCGACGAGGATTTATTATGAGGCTTCGGCACCGAAGCGGTATGATGGTGAATGTAACAGTGAAGGTGAGAAGCTGCAAAAGGTGGATTCCAGGTATATTTCGCTTCAACAGGTTCTTGGGGCGAGGGCTCCGCAGAATGTGCGCTTTGCTGTGGCGCAGTTTGCGGAGGAACTTGTTATGTTTCCTATGGCTTGGTATCGGTCTATTGGAAATGTGGTTAGGGAAACGGAGTATGATCATGGTGGTCATTTTGCGGCTTGGGAGGTGCCGGAGTTGCTGGCGGCTGATTTGAAGGCGTTCCTGGGTAAAGATGGACCGGCCTACGGAGCTGTAGGTGACAGGGATGGATATTGATGGCGGAAATTCTGACTGATATCATGTTAAAATATTCAAACGATGACGCAGAATGGGACACTATCGTGACGTGACAACGGGGTTTTGAATTATCATGATAGGAGTATGAGAAACATGGAGTCGAAGAACATATGCGCCCTTCGGCTCAGATATCGACCGCTCTCACGTCGCTGTTGTGCTATCCCGTTCTTGATGACCGTACACGGCAAATATCATCCAGTGAAGACCGCAGACGCCGGGATTTGCCCTCGAACTAACGGAAAGCCCAAAATAACCACTTCCCCAAATCTAATCCTGTCGTCCCTTCAATAGCCGCTGGGTAACCTTGTCCTTCTCTATGATATAAACCTGAGCACCCCAACCGGAGAGAGCGTCTCGGTCGACGGCACTAAGCAGCGCTTGTGAGATTGTCTCGAAGAGGTCCTCGGGGGCCTAGAGTAATGCAGATTATATTAGCACCGGGCGATCAAACGCAAACAGCGACAGTACGCACCAGATCGGGCTCCCAAAGACCCTCGCAAGTACCGAACAGCTGATCGCTCGCCGTTCCGCTGACAATGAAGTCCTTGGCGAAATCGATACAGCCAATGCTGTCAAATCCACAGATGAATGGCTTCCCCGTTGTAGGGTTGATACCAGCCAGAACAGGGCTGACGAAGAAAGGACCGAAACGCTTCTCATAAAGCGATGAGCTCACTAGGTTGGCCAGGGTCTGCGGTGCGATATCGCGCTCCTCGCGCAGGCGGTACATGTTGACCTTGTAGCGGAAAAGATCGGAAACTGTGTTGACATCGGTGGCCAGACCAGTCAGACCAAGATAGGTGGACGGGGCGTAGTTGAAGATCTTGGGGAAGTTATTGGAGATAGTCAGGGATTGCATGCCCAGACGGAGGTCGCAGGCAATGGCGACGCAGTCCTTGCCCACCATGGCGACACAGGCACCGCCATCTGAAAAAGGGTTAGTATATTATCGACTTTCCACGGGATTCGAGGTTCCGACGTACTGATATCGAAGGGGTTGGACTGTGATGAGAGAAGTCGGTCAGCTGAAGTCCAGAAGTTCAATGGGAGAAAGGGCGCCTATCACTCACCATTATTGCGGTATTTCAAAGCAATCCAGAGAGACAGAGAGGTTCCAGAGCTAACTGACAAGATAAAGGGCAGAAAATGGGGTTGAGAAGGGGGCGAGATGGGGGAAGTGATGGGGGGAGTTGGTGACGGGGAAGCTCTGAGGTACGCGAGAGCTCGGATGACGCCCGCACCGCTGCCTGTTTCGTATGTGACCTTCGACTACTTTCTTCGCCCTCTTTCTCCCCGCATTTCGCTTTCTCACTCACTTTGTTTACTGTCAGCTTCCAGCTATTCCTCATACCGCATCTGCCTCTTTATCTCCACCGTATTCGGCATCTTCTATATACCGTCACGATGAGCGCCCACGTCGTGGTGATCGACGCGACGGCCAGGCGGGCAACGATTAAGACGACCCCTACCAAACCTATGACCGATGTTCTGCAAGAAGCTTGCTCGAAGCTTGGATACAATGCTAGCCAATACGGATTGAAGTGAGTATATGCTCATTACGTTCAAAAAGCGAGAGGCATTAACATAGTTCTGCGTCGCATCAGGCACAATCGCAAACAACTAGACCTCTCTCTCTCCTTCCGTCTTACTGGCCTCAGCTCTGGGGCGAAGCTTGAGCTTGTGCAGTTCTCTCGCTCTCCTTCCGTTGTTACTGTCGGCCTCCAACTCCCCGAATCCGAAGCTCGAGGTGCCCCAAATGGCCGTATACTTGACAAGTTCCCAAGCACAACCACACTTTGGCTAGTACTGCGCAAGTTTGAGGCTGGTGTTGCAGGAAGTGGCCCGGTACGGAATCTCACTTCCCGTGCAGTGCCCGCTACCGATGGCGGGGATGGTGCGGGACGTCTATACTATGAGATGCCCGTGCTTCAGATCTTGGAACGTGAAGTATCGACCTTTACAGATCTCCAGAAAACTCTGGCCCAGCTCGGATTCAACAGTGGAAATGTGCTCATGCGGCTCAGCTTCCGACGAACAGAAGAGCCGATTGAAGAAGCGATGGTGCAGATCGGCGAGTTCTTCAAATCATCAGAGGATGAGGCTCGTTCATCACAGGATAAAACGGTGGCCCCCGCAGCGGCTTCCATGGGAAGTATAAGCGAAGAACCTGCCCAGCAGCCATCCAGCTCATTGCAGTCTGAGACCTCCAGCGCACCCACTCCATCCAGACCGGATGCCAACCCTACAGCTACCTCCGAAGTAGCTACCTCAACGACCGACTCATCTGGCCGAACTATCACCGTCTTCTCTCCCCCCTCGGACAACACACCTTCATCGGCACAAATAGCGTATAACGAGAATGATTACATACCCTCTATCGAGCACGCAAAACTGCACCAGCGACTACTCAACCAGTCTTCTCGCAACCAACGCTTACCAACGGACGCCGAGATTGCCGCCAAAGCAGAAGCAGAAGAGGCGAGGCGAGCAGCAATCCGCGAGGTGGATGTGAAGGTCCGCTTCCCCGACCAGAGCCAAGTAGTCGCTAAGTTCGGACCGGAGGACACAGGATACTCGCTGTATGAATTTGTGCGCGGGTGTCTTGCTCCACCATTCACCAGCGAGAAGTTCCACCTCACAGTCCACGCCATCTCTCGATCCCACAATGCAACCACTATCCCCGAGTCAGATAAAACACAACTGATCAAGGGCCTCGGACTGGCTGGCCGGGTATTGGTCAATTTCTCCTGGGCTGATAATGTTGCTCAATCTGTCCACGAGCGCCGTGCGGAGGTCCTCCGCCCTGAGCTCCGAAGCCAGGCTCAGCAGCTTAAGGTAGAGCAACCACCGGAGCCCAAGGAAGAAGAGGAGCCATCAGCTCCCTCGAAAGCTGGTCCGAGCACTACGGGTGATAAGCCCAGCGGGCCACGAAAGAGTGGTGCTATGCCCAAGTGGTTGAAGCTACCAGGGAAGAAATAAAGGGCATAATGGATTGCATTTGCTTCATAGAAGCGAGATGTGCTACTCTTGTTTGATGTTGGTGACTGGGATATGTAGCGCGTCGTTTCGGAGGGGATATCAGACTAGCAAATAGACGCACCCTTCCAACAAACAATAAACAAGTGACTCTACAGCAATGAGATGTGGAAAAGTACCAGATAGACTATCAAGCTTCTAACCTCGCCCATTGGTCAATCCTACCAGTCAATTCTTCTACGCCGTATCCTCTCAAAAGATCAAAAAGTATGGTATCATAAAATGTTTGAAAATTTGTTTTCATTATGGTTTCACTTCCATACAACTAAGAAGGAATACCATGTTTGCCACCCCTTTCATGCACAACCAATAGTCAAAACCCCATCATTTCGATCCGCGAGCCGCTTTTTTTGCGTCGAGTCGTTATAACGAAAGAAAAACAGAAACGGGTCGAGCGATTTAGTGAGCAGCCTGGGTGCGGCGAGACTCAGCAATGACCTTCTGCATAGCCTCAACCTTAGCCTTGCCACGGCCGAAAGTACCGAGCTGGAAAAAAATAATGTTAGCGTGATGTTTCGTAGATATCGTGGCAACTTGTCTAGACTCAATTCGGGTGTTCGGATGATCTTGTAAGCAGCTTCGGCAACCGAGACAGAATGGTGATAGCATGGAGCGTTCGCAGGATTGGTTCCCACGATCCATGCTGTACCATTCTGGCCCAATGACCTCGACTTCAAACAAAACAAACAACCTCCACCACGAATGTAAAACTAGTGTAGACAAATCTGCGTAGGGATTTGGAGACATACGCGCTTCTTAGCGAGCTTGCGGGCACGCTTGTCCTGGGCGTTGCGCAGGAGTTCGATGATGCGGCGCTCGTAGGGAGCGAGGCCGACAACCTCCTGGGCGATCTCGCGGACGAAAGCGGTGCGGCGGGAAGACTTGCCAACGGAGCGGCTGATGCGAGTCTTGGGGGTGTTCAGGGCGGTGGTTTTCTATTGAGCATGAAGTCAGTATTATTGTTTCATGAAGGACGCATTGCAGCAGCTACAGGTCCAAATCTCTGTTCGTGTTTCGCGTCTGTCGGTCTTCAGTGCGTCATCCAGAGTCAGGCTTCGTTTGCGTTTGAGGTCGTGTGATTGTTGTGTCGAATTCGAGTCCCAGAAAAATTTCCGTCACATCTTCAATTTTTCTCCAGCGAGTCTGGCTTGTTTTCGATCCAGTGTTTGTTCATAATCGTTCATTGCGTGATGATTCCCAGTGTTTTCGTGATATACCCTGACCCGACTGGCTTCGAAGACTGACAGACCGAAGGAAAGAGATTTGGAGACCTTCAAATGACCGGGTAATATGGGAGAAAGAGATAGGATTAACGTACCCGACCGCTGTTGAGGCCGACCACAATTCCGGAGCGTTCTTGCACCATCTCGACGGTTGTTGACTGAAGGGTTTGGCGGGGGTTGTCGAAGAGGATGTGAGGAAGCCGTGTGAAAATCACCTGGTCTTTTGCCTGGAACCGCAAAATGGGGTCTTGGCGCTGGTTGGTGCGGTAGGCGAGTGCTTAGGGCTAGGGCTGTGAGCTAATTTGGACTAGCGTGTAATTGACCCCTAAGGCAGGAATTGTTGCTTGGTTCCATCACGTGATTTCTCTTGCCCTTCTTATTGATTTGTGAGACTGTTGTCTACAGATGGGCATTTGGCTGAAACTTGACGTCTGAAGTTATTCATTTGAATGTACTCTATGTTCATAATGGACACATAAGTCACATTTCACATCGCTTGATATGTAGTATCAAAGCTTGGCCGCCATCACTCCATCAAGTGCCTCTTCCCAGCTCTCCCTCAACTCTCCACAGAACACCTCTACTGCGGATGCGTCCATCATTCTGTTGAGAACATCCTGAAGGGGCTTCTCGTATTTATCATCTGCATCACCTTGCATAACAAGGTCGATGACTGTGCTGAGGTTGGCTGATTCGGAAAGGCCCCGTTTCAGAGCCCGGGTGTTTGAACGGACATCCTCGAAAACACCGCAAACAAGAGCAGTCACCCGCTTTAAATGGTCAGCTGGAAGCTTGGTGGTTTTCAGAGCCTTCCGAGAATCCAGGTCAATGATGTTCGACAAAGCCTTGAGGCTCTCCACAAGAGACCAGATGGCATGGAAGTATCTCCAAGTCGGGGCAGCAGGAGTTCCGTCAAATTCAACAGTCGTGTTCTCGATAAGAGGAGACTTCTTGTCGTCTTGGAGAACCAGATCCTGCTTCTTATCATTCAACCAGACCTCTACCTGACCAAGAGTCTTCGCAATTTGGTCCGAAGTATGAGTCTTAGATCCGGCCATGAAATTAGCCACCTTGAGCAATTCAAGGTTGATTTTGCTTGCATCCACTTCGGTGGGCGTTAGGTCACTCTCGGTCTCAGAAAGCGTCAAGTCGCTAATGTCAAGCAGCTCTTCTTTAATTGGGTTCGGCTTTTGCATAGCGATACCCTTGAGAACACTGAATAGTTGATCAGTGACTCGGGCGAAGGCCAGCCAGTTTACCTACATTGGCATTAGTTGTTATCACTACCTAATTAGTCAGATAAACTTACCTTAGGAACCGGGCCTGCGCGCAGTCGCGTCTCGAATGTCGGCTGGCTATGGTGTTCCAAGTTCATATACGCATCGTACGACCGTTGGTCATAAACCGGCGAAGTAGACTGGGCTGTAAGGTAATTAGTAACAAGTTGCTTCATACAGGCAGCGAGATGATGATGACTTACCAGTTTCCTCATGGAAGCTCAAGTGCTCCCCCTTTCTTAGTCTTTGCACCCGTCGGGTCTCCAGCGCCAAGATTCTCCGGCAAATACTGTCATTGAGGCGGTTCCGCAGCTCAATTGTTTCCTCTAGGTTTGCATAAGAACCTTCGCGAAGTCCATTCATTAAGGATCTCGATACGGTGAGGTTTGCAGAGCGGTAAAAGTCCAGGCCCTGAACAAAGGCAGCCTGTGGATCAAAGTCCTTATACTCTGCGCCTTCAAAGGGAGGCGCAGAGTAAGGGTGGATGGTGGCAAAACGGGTGAAGAGGTTATGGCCAACAGTTTCATACTGCACGTGTTTGAGCGATAGCTTACTGAACGCTTTCAAAGCGAGCGAACCAGCGCCGAGAAGGATGTAAATCCGAATCAAAATCAAAATTGCCTCATAGTTGTGAGGGGAATCAACGAGCAGGCGCTCTAGGATGCCAGCAGCACGAATCAAAGATTTGTCGCTGACTTGGTCAGATATCTTATTCAGCCGAAGAAGAGCCATGGCGGCAATAAGGCAGAAGTCATCTGTGGGCCGACTTTCCATTACGGAAGCTTCTTGGTTGTCCCTCTTGTTCTGGGTCTTTGCAAGAAGAGTAAAGCTCTCATAAAAGTCAAGACAATTGCGGACAAGATTCTCAATAGTGGACTTTGACGGGTCTCTGCCAGACAGTCGTGCATAATACTGCATCTTGTATGCATTGATCAATGGAATAGCATCATCCTTGAGAAATGGTTAGCTCGTACATATAGAGAACAAGCAATCGTTCACTTACAGCTTTGTCTTCAACGCTGTCCATGCAATATTCACACACTTGGCGGACCAAGCTATCTTCGCGAGTCTCCAGAATACCTCGGAAGTCGCCGAAGAGATAAAGTTTGTGCTTGTGCTGGTCCCAGTATTTTTGACAAGCAGAAACCAGATCATCCGATGTGTTCTGACCCCGTCTGATGCTGACCAGGGTCAAATCCAATCTAGCGAGATGTGCGTTGCGAGACTTGGGGCTGAATTCAATGAATTTTTCGATAATTTCCTGTGTTTCGGCGAGCAATCTATAGGAATCTTGTAAGTCCGGTTACTTTTAAAGATATTGAAAAACTTACCCTGGGGTTTCTTCCAAATGACGAGTGCTTGCAATGAGCATATTCCAGAACTTCCACTCGTCACGCTCCTTGAGGGCTTTGCGCCCTTCTTCGTCTTCGGGTACGGTCAGAAGGCTTTTCGCACATGCGTGTCCCTCTTCCCAGCGCTCAGTAATTCCCAAGCTGTGCAGTTTGTTCGTCACAAATATCCGGTCATTATTAACTATCCGAGAGTTGAGACCAGCACTCTCGCTGTCGAGAATCTTGAGGATCTCATCATGCTTATCTTGTTTTTCAAAGATTTTGATGAGCAACAAAAGTTCCTCGGCATTTTGAATAGCTCTTGGGGGGCTCAGTAGCTCGGTCTGTGGGTCATAATTTCATGCTCGGTCAGTCACTGGTCAATATTAAGGCACAGGCATCAGGTTCCTTTGGCCGAAGATTCCATAGTAGTGACCACATACCGGATTGGTGGGAACATCGGCTACCGCCTTCGAAATCATGCGATATGCCAACGTCCCAAACAACTTACGGTCCATGTCCGAGGAGGCCGAGTCAACTGAAACAATATGACAAAAGAAGATGGCCCAGAAATAGTACTTTCGCTCGCGGGGGAAGTTCTTTTGGAGACTCATGGCGGCCTGTTTGTGTCAGCTACCCATAGAAATGCGGTGTTTGTTTACCATGTTACCTTCTGTGCAGATTTCCAGTCACGGCCGTCAAATCCGTCCGTAAACCATCTCATCTGAAGGTCGTGATCCTGCGGTTTTGCCTTGGCTGCTCTTTCCCACAATGCGCTCCGAAGGTCGGTCTGGTCATCCATCTTTTGCAGGGTTCGGCGAAGTGTGTCCAGGGTATCCAGATCGGTGACCGGTGGCTCGGATTTACACAGCTCGAGGGTCTCGGCAATGCCTCGCTTCTTATGGGCTTCGTCCGTGTGGTTGAAGAGGACGTTCGCTTTCCAGGCCTGTTTCCGTCGAGTTCATGTGTTAATGGGACCAACAAGCTCGGCCGCGAGGTAGGATTCGGGAGCTGGTGAGGGTAGCCTTACCTTCAGAAAAGGCGTGTTCTCGCCTTTCTTCATGCGTTTTTCAATCAGCTGCAAGGCCTGCTTCATGTTCTGGCTGTCAATGGCATCTTGGATCTGGTTGTTGCGGCGCAAGAAGACCGCATCATTGCCGGAGCTCATTGTGAAGAATTGGCTCAATTTGAACTTTCAAACTCGAATCCAGGTAGGCCAACTTATTTTGATCCGCCGTGCCAGGCACAGCACGCGCCGAAGGTTTTCGAGGAGCTGGTTTGCAATAGGGACTGATCGAATGCCGCATTTTTATTTGGCGGGGAAGGATGTCAAGAGGAAGGCGGTATGTGCCTCCCCGCACTATACTGCCGGCAGTAAACCCAACTGCAAACGATGTCCCTTGGTGACGTATGAACCAAGTATAGTTGCCCGGCGCAAGCTTAATCAGTAATCGTAATTGTAACAACGCCAGCGATATGTACCTGAATTGGTGGCATGCAGGTATAAATTGCGTATACATGAAAGAAAAAAAAGCATGTCTTTCCTCGCGGGTATACACATATATTAGAGGCAACCGACAAGCCTCAGATATGATGAGGATAGATTTTGCAAACGAAGAGGCCTCATCACTCCAACACGATAGATAAGACCTCAAGACAAAGATGCTAATATACAAACTTAAACCAAAGGGCTGATACGCCAAGAAGAACATAATACAAAAAGCAGGAAACAAAAATGCGAAACATAAGACCCGTTAATCTTGCAAATCGCCAACTGGAGTTTCTTTACCTCTCGGAAGATTCTCAATTTTCGTCGGCGTTTCATGTCTTATTTGGACGAAAGTCCGGAAACCTTCTTCTGGGTTAACTATTTTGCCCCCATTAGCAATCGAAGACACAACGTGCCGAATCACGGCCAACGGGGCCCGGGGATCGCGGATACCACGCAAGACATGAGACTGAGACGATAAAAAGTATCTCTTCATTCGACTTACCCAGTTCTTTTTGCAATCGCGATATGCTCTAGGCAAGTAAAGCAGTTAGTATAAAGCCTTGGAGCTGGGATGTCTGACGACCATAGAGCACGAGTTAACCATGAGCAGGTCAATCCCCGGAAGCCGATTTGAGCATCATACACGAGCGACCAGATGCATTAAAGGGTCATGAACATACTGGAAGTAATCATGGCACATCTCGCGATCAAAGCCATTCCGCTTCATGCACTTAAGACTCCGATCCGCGAAGTCCTGGCATGGATCGTAATATTGGCTGGCATGTTTGCTATGACATGTTAGCTATCAGTTGTGTAAGTTTGTACATATGATCTCGATTGATATGCTTAGGCCAGACCGATGTTTCCGTGTAGGGTCCAAAGAGAGGCTCCTCACGGAACTCGCCTCCACGGATAACTATCGAAACGCGATCACATATCGCGAGAATCAAAGACCAGGGGATCGAGAAAATGAAGAAACATCAAAACATACTGTGCAAACTTCTTCTCAGCTTTCTCCCACGCCTTGTCGTGCGTGTCACCTTGTGTTGAGTCGGCCATGAGTACGGAGCTTTCGTATGTCTTTTGTATTGGTAATAGATGAGCAAGGCAATAGACCAAAATCAAGGGCAAATACCAAAGTGTTGGTTGGAACTGAGTTGGAGGTTAGCTTGATTGGAGGAGAAGTTAGCGCTGAGGGTAGGAAGAGTTGGGGATCCGCGGTCTTGGCGCGGGCATAGGCCGTAACGCGTTTGCGATCACTACTGATTCTTATGCTTCAATAAAATATTCTTTATTTATACTTGCATACTAATTATTAGTCAATTTGTTTGCCAGTAGGTCATAATTAAATTTCCAAATAATGGGGTAAAATGGTGTATCAAAACCTTCCGAAAATACAGTAGTGTCTCACAAGGACCTTATCTGCAGCAGTATGCATAAGTGCAGTTTGCACGACTCATGTAAGCACTCATGCAAGTACTCGAATTGATAGGCCTAATTGGAATCTCAAGCTGACAGAAAGAGAGGGTAGTGAACTTGAAACATCACGGATGTGAAGTGTAAATAATGCGGGGATATAAAGGATAAAAACGGGGGCGTCAACCAACGCTGTGAGCCTAGGATAGGATTAATTGAGAACCGGTATAGAACGGACAGTATGAGATTGAACATGTCCGCTTTTAGGTCAGTAGCGAGGCAGAGAAAGCAGAGAGAGATTAACTACAAAACCACGACAGCCATATCGTGATTACTACACTGGTGCTATCCCTTGGTGTGCCTTGCCATGATTTCCGACTATGCGGACAGAGTTGGGGGCGAGACTGCTCTCAGTAACGAGAATGGTGAGACTATAAAAGCCCGTGGACCGCAAATGGCGCCAACAGCATCTACAACATTCAAGACTTACAATTGCGTACAGGTATCAGTCGTGATTCTGCAGGGTCTGTACATCTAACACCAAGGTCTTCAGCTATTAAGGACAATAACATCACTACTCTGTGATTTGTATCATCAACTTGCCGAGTATCACTTCAAGTTGCTTCAGGACCAGTTCCGTGATGCAAACCGATTGATGTGGGACCAGAAGCAAGCAAGGCATCAGTTCGATAAGACTTGCCTCTAAGAATTTATTTGTTGAGCAGATTGAATCCTTGAAACATATGAACGAGGAGATTGCTGACGATGACAATGTCCAAAGGTGTCTTCGACGACAGTCATCTTTTCGTGACCAAGAGCAAGCTCGTACTTCTGGGGAGCATATCAGGGAGCAAAAGAATAAGGTGTTTAAATGCGATGAATGCTCACTTTGGATTTGAAGAGCGATCTGTTGGCTTGTAAGGAGACGGAGGCTAAGTGGAACCCATAGGATAGTAGGCTATACTTCGGCTTTGATACACAAAGACACACATAGAGCACCCAGAGTACGCCCCTTACTCGAGGAGTCAACAATCATACATAGCACAAAGAGGTGGTCAATGTGACGAGTCAAGCGAAGTTGTTTGCTCAAGGGCTCCTGATTATGTGATCGGTGCCTGAGGCCACGAACGAAGTGTCTACCCTGGCTTCCTCACTTCTGAATCAGAATCACATTGCCTTATTTTCTTTTCTTTTCTTTTCTCTTCTTTCGAAGCCCAGATCTCACTCTTAGCGCAATATTTATTTCTCTTTAGCCTCTGCGCAAGCTTCTGCACCTGCTTTGCCACACGAAACTTTTCCTCTCGACCCCACCGCATCGTGTCGGAAATCGCGCCGTCACTCCACCGACTCGCCGAACGCGCCTGTTGATGATAAAGCTGCTCTTGCAGTGATACCAGCTCCCGACAAGCTTCGGAAGGGAAAAAATGGCAACTAAATGCTGTTCTGCGGCCGAAACATCCGGAGTGAGTCGAGTGCCGTAATTACACAACGTGACTGAGACTGACGCGCGCTTTTTAGCTGGCCAATACTCTCCAAGGACATGTGGATGACATTCGCACTCTGATACAGTGCGGTATTTGCATTCGACCTCTCTACGAACCTTTCACTCTTGCGTGTGGACACACTTTCTGCTATTCCGTGAGTTGCTCGATATCAATTTGATCCCCGTTCCTCGATCTAACGCGGATCTTTACAGTGTCTATCGTCATGGTTCTCCGGAGGGAGATCAAAGCGAACATGTCCCGATTGTCGAGCACCCGTCAAATCCCAACCGGCACCAGCGTATCTGGTAAGTACAACACAAATCTTAATCAAGTTCATTACATCTAACAATTCTGGTGGTTTAAAGGTCCGGGCGGTCGTGCAGATGTTTACAGCTCGCGCTGAGCTTCTAGACAAGGGCGAAACGACCATGGAGCATACGAAAAATCGACAAGAGGAAGCTGGGAAACTTGACCAAGACAAGTCGAATAACCATCCAACACAAGGGGGTCTATTCGGCGGACTTTTCAGACCCAAAGCCCCCCCTCTAAAGCCCGTCATTGACATTGATGATGGGGTTATGCGATGTCCGTATTGTTCATGGGAACTCGAGGAAGGAGAGCATTGTGCTGGCTGTGGCTATCGATACCGCCCTGGGTCCGAAACAGACGAGACCGAATCAAGCGACGAGAGCGAAAGTGGTAGCGACCTCGATTCACTAGATGACATGGACGACGAGGAGCCCGAGGAGCCCGAAGACGATTTTGGAGACATTGATGATGGCGTGTGGGGCGAGTTCGCAAGTCGATATCCTACCAATGGTCCCACCTTTGGGATGCCCTCTTTGCCAGGCTTTATGGGTAGCTATCAGACAATGGCTCGCCTAGGGTATCATGGATCCGCAATGCCACCTGAACTCGTTTCACGATTCACGGGAAACTACGGCCAGGACGAGTTTGATTATGAAGAAGACATCGAGGATGAGAACGAGTACGATCATGAAGACTCCTTCATTAATGATGGAACCCAGCTTACGAATGACGACTACGAATCGGACTCGGATCATTCTACTGTTGTAAGCGGTTCTCAGCCTAATGGCCCTCCCAGACCGAATGTATCTCGTCATCAAATACCACCACGCATTGATACAGATACTGATGGTGAAGATGACGCCGAGGAAGATTCGGAGGAGGTAAGTGACTCAGACTCATCCGATGAAGATGATATCCGGGCTGCGCCTCCTCGACAGCCGTTTGGCAACGCACCTCGGCCTGTCTGGCGAGAGCCCGGCACCTCTCCATGGGCGCAAAGGATAGAAGACCATCCTACTTCTTCTGCTGAGACTGTTGAATCGAGCGAGAGATCCGAAGATTCGGAAGCTGCGAGCTCATCGCCTCCTCGTCCTCCAGCAACCACAAGACCTAATACGGGTCGTGGGCTCTCCCCTCGCAATGCGATTACCCTTGATGATTCCGACGACGATCAACCTGTTGGCCCAGTGAGAAGAAATACTCACAGACGGCGCAACAGATACTCCCCATACTAAGACAATTTTTGAACACAACATCTACCATCCCCCTATGCCGCCTACTTGTTCTTCAGCATGGCGTTTAGGGAATAGGTAGAAAGCATGCTTGGCGCTTTGTTTGCATTTTTTCTATACCTTGATATCCAAAAGGGGTTCTGTCATCTTTGGTGGTTTCAGCGACTAGGTGTTAGATCTTCATGTCCCCTCTCTCATCCTTCTTACCTCGGTCCTATCCCTCTTTAACGTATGCCCCAGTTGTTTCTTTCTCGGCTCGAATGACCCTTTGTCGCCTCATACCACCAAGAATAGACACCAAACCTAATATTTGATAAACAGCTGTTGAACCTGCAAAGGATGCTACTTCATAATATCAAATCCGAATATTTCTTACAGCAGCTCTTTTCAACAAGAGAGACTGGTTTAGCTTGTCATGGAGTCTTCAGTATTGTAGAGTGCCATGGAGCCGGTGGCGTCCAACCAAACGTAGTTTGATCAACCAGCCCTAACTAAATGTGCCTGTATTACAATAATGGCGTTGTCTCACAACAATGAGATCAATTTCTTACCAGGCCGTCTTTGCCATAAATTATAGTATCCTTTGTCCATATCTAGCAGTTCCTGATGAGTTCCCCTCTCGACTATTGTTCCCTTATGTAGCACCAGAGTCTGGTTCGCTCTAACAACCGTGGACAATCGATGAGCGATAATGGCCAGGGACCCTCGGGGACCAAAACAGGTTAAAGTATGCTTGAGAGTAAACACAATAATATACGTGATCTCCCTCATCTGCTGTATAACAAGGGTCATCACTGTCTATACCCATGAAGTATTCGTACGGCCTCTACACAGTTGAGCTGCGGTCATTCCGACGTCTTTTCATGAGCGTTTATTTGAATTTCGAAAGAATGCTATGGCACCTACGCATATACTGATGGCTTATGACAGGTCCTTGTTTTACACCGAATGTGCTTGCAATAGGGATATGATTGAATACTCAATGCACCAAAAAAATCCGGTACATATGCAAAAATGGTAGAAATACATACACAGATCTGACTCCAAAGACACCGGACCCCAAGCAACGCTCCCCATTTTATCCTCGACTGGTGAGCAAGGCCGAGACAGAACAATTATGAACAAGATTTATACATCAGCCCTCACGGTTTCATTAGTGGTAAGCGGAACCTCGAACACGACAGCTCCGTTACGGCCCTCGGCAGTAGTGCCTTCGTAGTAGTTGTTGGCAAAGCATTTCCAGCGAGCCAAGCGGTGCTCCTTGCCGACAGCAGCAACGATTGATACACCGCGAGGTTCGTTTTGGGTCTCCGACTTGGATTTTGATTCACCAGGAAGATCGGATTCGGGACGGCGTTCAAAGACAGCAATGTCGTTGATGACACCCTTGATCATAGGCTCCGGTTCTTGGGTTTCGGGTTGAGGCTTCTCATCTTCAACCATGCGGTCTGGGGTAGCGTCGAAAGCAAGGGTCTGGTTGAGTTGTTGCGAAGGTGTGTCGGGCGTCGCGCTGCCAAGGGAGCCCTGGCCGATGGGGCCTAGAGGAATAATAGTCCTTTTATCATCCGAGATGCGCCATGCCCGAATCCAACCGTCCCAGCTGCCGCTGAGTACAATGTCGGTACCAGGGAGGGTGGCTAGAGCGGTAATCCAGCGAGGCATGGGGCGCATGTGCCGCATGTTGTGGGCGGCAGTCTCTTCGTTGACTTCGGGTGATAATTCTTCCAGAGGTGGGATTGGATCCAGGCCATGGGCAAGACGGATGGTGAAGAGCGGCTTCTTCTTGTGTACGGACCAGAGACAGAGAGAGCCAGAGTCTGAGCCGGTGACAAAGTGGGTTGGTGGTAGAGGAGCAATACAGTCAATGTTGCTCTCGTGGTAAGGGGCACTTTTCGCGGCACCACCACGGAACACCAGCTGCGTTTCGTCGACAACCTTCCACAAACGGGCTGTGCGGTCACGAGCACCAACACTAACACATTCGTCGATGGTCATGGCGGCAACTCCAGTAACATGGTCCTGGTGACCGAAGAGTGTTTCGACATAGGCGTGGCCAGCTCCACTAATGGACCATGTCTTAATAGTACGATCGTAAGAACCCGAGAACAGCTGCTCTCCGGAACTCATCGTTGAGATATGGCGCGCAAAGGACAATGAGCAAACAGAGTCTCTGTGTTGTAAGAACGTCTTGGTGGGCGTCAAAGTCTCCGCATCCCAGATGATCAGTTTGTTGTCCGCTCCACCAGTGGCCACGAACCGTCCAGAGGGGGACACGGCAACGGATAAGATGTTTCCTGTATGACCATGCTCCTCGCCGGTTTCAGGGTTCTTGCGCATACCCCGAGCATATCTGACACGCTTAGGCTTCTTGCGCTGGGGACGTGGAGGCCGTTTGGAAATATCAGCATCACCGTTCGATGCGGTAGAGGCGGGTACACTCGGTGTAACCAACTCCCACTTGGTCAAAGTCTTATCCTTTGAAACAGCGTAGACATATGGCGGGTGAACAGCAATAGCAGTTGTCGACTGGGTATCTGAGCGGAAAAACGAATGGGGTGCGTTAGGGAAGGAGAGTTTCGCAGCGATTTGACGGAACGTCCGTCCTTTGAATTCATCAACGTCCTTCTTCAATCGTTCCGCGATCAAGTCTCGATCAATGTCTGCCGCATCGAATCCGGCTTCGTCAACCTCGTCTTTAATGTTTTCCAGGTAGCGTTCAGCGAGTTTCAATCTTCGATCTCCCGCCGTTTCGCCGTCTTCCGAATCTGATCCGCTCTCGTCGCCTGATTCCGATGCAATTTCGTCCTCGTCGATATCACTACCAGAGATCGATTCTTCTCTCTCTCTGGCCTGACGACCGGCGCCGTCGGTTTTGGCATCTCCGCCTCGCTTCTTTGATCCTGGGGCTGAGGCGCGGTCGTCTCTCTTCCGCTTGCGCTGGGCAGCAGGGACAGTGAAAAAGGAAGACATAACGACCTTGTGTCAAGCCAGGTTGTCACTTCCTAATTTCCGTAGAAAACAAAAAGAATTGAAGGAATGGCGTTCTCGAAAGACTCGGGCTGCGGAGATCAAAACTTCAACTTTTTTTTGGCAGAAAAAAAAGCGCTAAGCGGCGGCTGAGTCAGCAGTAGCTGACGCCGGGAGCTCCAGGCGTCAAGCTCACCGCGCGGTCCTCCTCACTTGACCACTTCTCCCCATCGTCTTCAATCATCTACTTGCTTGTTTCTTTTTTGATTCTCACTCACCGCAAACATGTGAGATTATTGCTAATTACTCCTGTTATTTTACAAATGGTTACTGACCGCTGCTAGGGAGGTTCTCTTGGGTATCGCCGGCAAGGACTTCGTCATTCTTGCAGCATCCAAGGCCGCAATGAGAGGCCCGACAGTTCTCAAGGCCGAAGATGATAAGACACGACAGCTGAACAAGAACACACTCATGGCTTTCTCTGGAGAGTCCGGAGATACTGGTATGCCAACTCCTACGACGCCCCCAATACGACGAACATGCTAACGAGATGGGTCGTTATAGTTCAATTTGCCGAATATATCCAAGCCAATGCTGCGCTCTACAGCATGCGTAACGACACCGAACTCAGCCCCTCCGCCGTTGCCAATTTCGTTCGAGGAGAATTGGCGCGCAGTCTGCGGTCACGGAGTCCTTACACCGTCAACCTGCTGCTCGGTGGCATAGATCCGGTCACTGAGGCGCCCCATCTCTACTGGATTGACTACCTTGCGTCATTGGCACCCCTACCATATGCTGCCCACGGCTATGCCCAGTATGTTGAAACCGAGCTTTGGGACGATGTGTCAATGCTAACTTGAATAGATACTACTGCCTATCCATCCTTGACAAACACCACAATCCTAACATCAATCTTGATGAGGGACTCAAGCTCCTCACTTTGTGCACAGATGAGCTGAAGCGCAGACTACCTATTGACTACAAGGGAGTAAGTAAAATGCCACCTTTTCCGCATACCAACATACTGACTCTCTCTACAGGTCTTGGTGAAAGTGGTGACGAAGGATGGTGTGAGGGAAATAGAGGTTGATAACGATAAGGTGGTCAAGAGTGCTTAAAGGTCGACATGAGGCGTTTGTTGAATCACATCCTATGACGTTTTCTTTGGTTACGGCTTCATCTTGAGATGATATGACTTAGGCTGTAAGAAATAAGTGGATTTCTAAATGGTCTTGACACTATAAAAGACCAGTTTAACAAAGATCGCGTCTTTTGAAAGAGTACAATAAACAGTGGCTGGTGTAGTGTATACTTGTGGAGCTTTATTTGATCTTGGTTGTTTGACTTGTTTGCATCGAAATCGCATTCCGTCCGTCAGAACTGCGCGATCAACCTTCACTACAACCATATCGCAATGTCGAAAAGGCACGCAGAGCTCCCTTTGGAACAAGACTTCTCGGGCTCGCCCGCCTCGAAAAAAGCCCGTGTCGAGGACCAGTCCGGGGGTGATTCTCCGAATGGCGCAGGACTTTCAAGCGGCAAGCTGGAACAGGGTGGTCGCAATGGAGCGGATATCGAAGGTGCAGCCGAAATAGAGAGAGAGGAGCTGGAGGAAGGTGAAAAGGATCCTTCAGGTCTCTCGGATATCGACGAAGATGCGCCTGCGCTTAGTGCTCCAAAGCGACAAAGCGCTCCCATGGAAGGCTACGGCGACCTCTACCTGGACACGATCAACCGGGAGATTCTCGATTTCGATTTTGAGAAGCTGTGCTCCGTCAGTCTGTCGAATATCAATGTGTACGCCTGTCTCGTCTGCGGCAAATACTTCCAAGGTCGCGGTCCCAAATCACACGCATATTTCCATGCACTCGAAGTCGGACACCACGTCTTCATCAATATCGGTACAAGGAAGGTCTACGTTCTGCCAGAGGGATATGAGGTCAAAAACAAGAGTTTGGACGACATCAAATACGTGGTGGATCCCCACTATACAAAGAACGAGGTGGTCAAGCTCGACAGAGAAGTCCATGATGCCTGGGACCTCTCTGGAGCTCGATACAGACCAGGTAAGTGCGTCAAATACACCGGGAACTGGATACTTGGGACTGACTGTCTGTCTTACAGGATTCGTCGGCATGAACAACATCAAAGCCAATGACTACGTCAATGTAGTAGCTCAACTGATGGCGCACGTTCTACCAATCCGCAATTTCTTCCTCCTCCACGATTTCCCCACGCCTGGCACACCGGAGATGGTCCTTCGGTTCAGAACCCTTGTGCGCAAGCTATGGAATCCAAAAGCGTTCCGGTCACATGTATCGCCGCACGAGTTGCTACAGGAGATTGCCCTGCGATCCTCAAAACGTTTCACACTCACAAACCAGTCAGACCCGGTGGAATTCCTGTCCTGGTTCCTAAACGCCCTTCACCTATCTCTGGGCGGATCCAAAAAGCCATCACCAACACCTACGAGTGTCATCCACGCAGCGTTCCAGGGCCATCTCCGAATTGAAAGCCAAGCTATTACCGCCCACTCTGATACCCAGAATGCCCGCCTGGTATTCACCGAGTCTGGCACCATCAATAGCCAGGTCACACCTTTCCTCATCTTGACATTGGATCTGCCTCCTACACCTCTTTTCCAATCGGCCAACCGGGAGTCCATCATCCCCCAGATTCCCCTGACCACCCTCCTGAACAAATATAACGGCTACACGGCGTCAGAGAAGCTGGCCCACCGTGTCCGACACCGTCTTCTTCACCCTCTCCCACCATATCTTTTCTTCCACATCAAACGTTTCAGCAAGAACCGGTTCGTCTCCGAGCGCAACCCAACCATCGTGACCTTCCCCTCTCCCCGTTCTCTGGACATGTCACCATACGTTGAGCCTAACCCCGACATCTGGCCACCTGGCGAGCCAATCCTCTACGACCTCGTAGCAAACATCATCCTCGACCCAACCGTAGCCGCACCAGGTGCAACCGATGACGCCGTCGACAAGGGCGTCAATGCTGCATCGGGTGCCGGTGGTTCTTCCAGCGGTGCCGGCGGCGGCAGCGAGAAAGTCTCGTGGATGGTCCAGCTCCACGACAAGGCCATGTCGGCCGAGAACGCGCGCACCCAAAACGGCGGTGCCACGGAGCAACAGCAGCGTGGACCGGAATGGCTCGAGATCCAGGACCTGTTTGTTAAGCGTGCAGAGACCGAGACGCTGTTTACACGAGAGGGTTACCTGATGGTCTGGGAGCGACGCAAGGTCCCTGGGAAGAAGGGAAAGGGCCGAGCATAATCTGAACCTGAAAGAGTAAAGACTTAGGGTGTTGATTGGGATGTCTGTATTGCCTTTTCTTCATACATGCTATGCTTTCCAGTTTCTCGTTGCTTCCTCGAGAGCAAGCCTGGTGTATTATTGAATAATGACAAACTTATGTACCTTGGAGTTACTTTTTTGGTGTCCTATTTCGGTATTTGAGAAGCAGTATGAGAGGAGTTAAAACCGTGCAACTGCTGCACTGATTAGTGTAAGGTGACTCGTAAAACATAGCCTAGGTGTTGACAACGCCAACAGAAATAGCACATCATAAGCTCCCCCAACCACAAAACTTCCTACCAATCCTCATCGTCGAACCGACCATGAATCCCCATATCCCGGCTCTCATTGCAATATGCATTCCCCTCATGAGTACCAATCGGCACGTATACTCGCCGATATCTGGCCAGGTTCTTCCGCCAAACCACAGACCCAAAGGATGGACATCCGAAAGTCGGCCAACAGACGAAGGATGTGTGGTCAGCCATGACTGGGCTAATGAGCGGAAGAAGAGTGCTTCAAGGGGCGCAAGAATAATGCCGCTGATTGCAGCTGCGAGATTGGATGCAAGTGAGTCGACCGGGTATGCCGAGAGAAGGGTCACGCGGTGAACACCTGATGAACGGTCGGTAATATGTCCAGGAATGCGAGAGGTGGGTGGAAGTGGCTGGTGAAGGGTATCGTACTGCGTGTCTACGTTGTGGTCTGCGACAGCGACGGGGATTGGCTGGTTGGTGGGTTCTTCGTCGATTGGTTCTTCCACGCCGTCCGGAAGGATGTTTGGAACGCTGGGCTCTGGTGCTTCCTCGATGGATTCTAGCGCCGGAGGCTCACCCTCGGGCTCATTAGCTTGGGTCCGACGCTGGGTTTCCGGCTGCGGGACGCCTAGATCTTGATGGGTTATGATGGGTTGACCAGCGGTGACACTGGAGAGGCCGTCGGTATCTCCTTGCGCTGGTGGATGCAATCCCTGGCGCTGGGCCTGGCTTAAAATTAGAGCCTCGAGGAATTCAGCTATTGATCGTCTATCCATGGCGTCTGCATGTCTATTAAGACCTGAGACATCATTGCCTGCGAGGGCATTTAGGTTGGCAAGATTTGAAGCTTGGTTCTGCGGGTTCCGATTCCGGTTGCCCAATAGTTCAAGCTGCATTGTGATAATGTCAGAGCTCTGATGGATCAAGGATGCTCTGACACGAGGTGATGTAGGAGGAGACGTCTCTGGTGAAGACGGACGAGAGAAAAGCGTATTTGATCGTGAGCTATTTCGGTCCATTGTTGAGCTCTCGCCATTTTGTGAACCGCCTGGTTGGTCTTGCTGGTTTGAAGTGGTCGACGGACCACTTGTTCGCCCAACTGTGGCTATCTCGGAGAAATAATCGTTGCTCATTTCACCGGGCGACTGAGACATGCGGTTTTCATTTGTGAGCACCTGGTGCAAGCCCATAGCCGAATCTAATTGACTCAAATGTGTAGACGCGGTTGTATCTTGTAGTGGAGGCGGTGCAGCGGCGGCAATCTGGGCATCGGGTGTGATTCCCGGGGGTCTGCGTAGCGGGTCACTTGATTCATTCTCATTAGAAGAGTTGAGCTGTGTTCCTTCGAGTTCATTTTGTAACATCTCAATCGAATTTCTGAGAGATTCAATCCTCTCGTCTCTGAAGGACGCGAAAGCTTGCTGGTCTAATGACTTGCTCGATCGCAGTCCAAAGAACGAAAATACCCATTTTCGCAAAGCACCTAGCTCGTACTTGATATCTTCAAACAGCGTGAGATTGCCGCGGTACATTTCTTCGTCTGATTTGCGTCCCAGGGTCGGCACCACCCACTCAATCAGATTTTCTTCAAACGCCACTCGAACTGAGAGCTCATCTGCAATAGTTGCTTTCGGCAGACGCCGACGAATCAACCTATAGATACGCTCTTCAAGATCCGGACGCAAATAATAGCCATAGACGAAGGCTAAGACGCCGGGATGGGTCAATAGACCCACTAGTGAAATGCCCAGGGAGCCAGGGGAGAGATCAGTAGGAAGTGCCGGCAGCTGCAGTAAGGACCCCTTGCCAAACGGAATGAGAAGTTGAGCGCTGGGAATTGAGTAGGGCGACACAAGAGAGAGGGTTTGGAGTATGGAATACATGTAGAACTCCACAGAGAGCATGAGCACCGAGTTCTTCGCCCTGGATTCATCATCAGTCTCAGTCTTGCTCACTGTCGTGGTGGATAAAGGATCTACTTACACTGTGTAGATGAGTCCAAAAAGAGATCGAACACCAAGGGACTCGCCTGTAAGAGACTGGGCATACTCCCGTAGAGAGGCAAAAATGCGTTTGAGCGGATTCTCGCGAGCAATGGCCAATCCACTTGACATTGCCCATGCAGGAATTCCTGCAAAATAGAACCCGAGGATCCCTGTTGATCCTCGCTCGGATTTAATGACATCAAACAAGGCAGCGTGGGCATAATGTTTGTAAGTCTGGATAATAACAGCCAGGTGTTAGTCTAACCCCTAAAGCGATGGGAGTGCATTCACCTGTACTCGACCAGTAAATGAAGAGGTCCACCAGGTACCGAAAAAGACGAATAATTGGTCAAGGGTCGTTATAACAAGTCCAAAATCATTTTCACTCGCAATTTGGTTGATCTTCTGTTGTTCGTTTGGAATACTCGTGTTTCGGTCTTCTCCGCTGACAACAATTCCCATTGTTGAAAGGATATCATTCTTTGCCCTTCGAAACTCCCGCCCAAGAGACCTGGATTCGGGATTTACAGGGTGGCCACGAGCATCATACTGTTGCATGTAGCTATCAGCGTGGACACTCGAAACCCGTCGGACAGGATTAGAAGGGTCAACCGCCGCATTGTCCGGTGCTTCATATGGTGACCGGCCCTTGAGAATAGTCAGTATGATTGGTCTGCCGAGCTGTAGTTTGTTTTAAGCGAGGACATCATAACAAGATGATATGTTGTGCTCGCGGAGCAATAAGATGGCTTAACATGGTATATTCAGAAGATCTCGCTTCCAGAAAGCAAGCCGGGATCATCTTGCCATAGACCACATATATATTATTGCATCTGAAGCAAAGAGAGGATATTCGCAAGTCAAGAGAGGGCGCTTACCAAAGCGAGCCGGTTCAAGTAGGCCTGTCGACCCATATCGTGAAATTTAGCTGGGCCAGTATCGCAGCTACATCGCCTTCTAGTGCAAGCAAGCGAGATGTATCCCGATTATATAGACGCGCATTTAAAGAAAGATGCGAAGGAAGCGCAGTCGAAGGTGGAAGTGACGCGGGTTGGGCGCCTGAGGCACCAGCCATATCTTATCACAGAGCAAACAGAGCAAACAAAAAAAGTTGCCCGCTCGAGCTGCCGTTTTTTGCGACTGAACTTCTCTCCATGGCTGAATTCTGATTTAATATCCTACAGTCATGTCGAAAGCTATTGTCAAAACTACTTTCGAGGCGTCTCGCACGCTCCGCCCTATTTACACTGGCGGTAGCACGGCGCTGGACGCCAGTGGGCGCATCTTGCTGAGCTGCGTCGGCGAGGATGCTTTGATCGTCGATCTGGAGACCGGTAATCAGCTTGCCAGTCTTGAAGGAGTAGGTTTTGTCGCTTTTGTTCTTTTGGTGTCAATTGCAAAGTGCTAACCGCAAGCCACGCAGGATGGAGAGATTGTTACCGGTTTGGCCAGTAAGTAACAATTGCTCTCGTTGAGATTCAAGCCTAACATATTTTCTAGTCACGCCATCTGCTTCACACGCCATTGTCTGCTCGCGCTCAATGTCCATGCGCATATACTCCCTCTCACCTTTCGACGAGTCTTCTCAAACCATTGAAACAGAACTTCTCCGAACCCTTAAGCCCCACACTGCGCCAGTCGTGACTATTGCTGTTGATCCTACTGGTACTTTGCTTTCCACTGGTGGCGCCGACGGCTCGATCAAGGTCTGGGATATTAGAGGTGGCTTCGTCACGCACACTTTCCACGGCCATGGTGGTGTTATTTCTGCGCTTTGCTTCTTCGAGGTTCCTACTGCCGACGAGAAATCTTCCAAAAAGAACAAGCGCAAGTCTACGGATGACGATGAAGATATGGACGAGGGTGCTGTTTCTGCAGGCTCTACTGCAGGGTTCCGCCTAGCTTCCGGCAGCGAAGACGGCAAATTGCGCGTGTGGGATCTGCACAAGAGAAAGTCCATTGCGTCCCTCGAGTCGCATGTCTCTCTTGTTCGCAGCTTGTCGTTCTCTCCTTCAGAAAACGCTTTGATCTCAGCCAGCCGAGACAAGACGGTCATCGTTTGGGATGCGCGCACTTGGAAGACCCGTAGAATCATCCCTGTTTTGGAGAGTGTGGAAGCCGCTGCTTTCATTGCTGATAGTGGGCTCTGTGTTATTGGCGGAGAGAATGGCAAATTGCGTGTTTGGGACTGCAATCGTGGCAGCGAGGTCACAGAGGAACAAGAGGCCGGAGAGGAGTTCGAGAGCGTTGTCGCTATCCAGTATTCGGCTGGTTTGCCTTTTGTCTTGACTGTTCACGCAGACCAGACACTTCGCCTCCACTCGCTCGAGTCCCTGTCTGATTACAAGCCCGGGTCAACGTTGGAGCCCTTGAAAATCATCCGTCGCATCTCTGGAAACGACGATGAGATTATTGATTTGGCCTATGTTGGACCTGACCGATCAATGCTTGCATTGGCCACCAACACTGAGAGTATCCGTGTCGTGTCGGTTGCCCCGTCGGAAGACCGACCCTCGGACAAGGGAGTGGAGGAGTACTTCGGTGCTGATGTCACACACCTTGAAGGTCACGACGATATCATTATTTGCATTGATGTGGACTGGTCAGGACACTGGCTAGCAACCGGCGCTAAGGATAACACAGCACGTCTTTGGCGTATTGACCCAAAAACATCCTCTTATACCTGCTTTGCTATTTTCACTGGTCACGCCGAGTCTTTGGGAGCCATCGCCCTTCCACGGGTACCACCGCCAGTTGGCAGTGCCGCATACAATGACCCCGTCAACCACCCGCCATCATTTCTGATTACTGGTTCGCAAGATCGCACAATCAAGCGGTGGGACACAAGCAAGCTCGCCCCTCTGAAGGAAGACAAGCCGCACTCCCCCAAGGCTATCTATACCCGCAAGGCTCACGAGAAGGATATCAACGCAATTGATATCGATTCCACATCTGAGTTGTTTGCTTCGGCGTCACAAGATCGCACGGTGAAGATCTGGGCCGCCGAGGAAGGTTCCCCAGTTGGTGTCCTTCGCGGCCACAAGAGAGGTGTTTGGTCTGTGCGATTCGCCCCCCAAGGCACACCAATTATCAATACCGATGCACGTACCAGCACAAGTCGAGGACTGGCCGTCACAGGCTCCGGTGACAAGACCGTCAAGCTCTGGAGTCTGTCTGACTACAGCTGTCTCCTGACCTTCGAGGGCCACACCAACAGTGTCCTCAAGGTTCTCTGGCTTCCACCTCCCCAGGTCTCCAACGAGCACGGCGACGACGAAGATGAAGAATCCGCAGCAGCACGCCATAACGCCATCCAGGCCCGTCCCCTTGTCGCCTCCGCCGCTGCAGACGGTCTGGTCAAGATCTGGTCCCCTTACACAGGCGAGCTCGAAACAACCCTGGACAACCACGAAGACCGAGTCTGGGCCCTCGCCAGCCCGACCCCATCCGGCTCCCGTTCAGACGTGAAGCAAATCTCCTCCAAACTCAACTCCACCCCCTACGCCATCGCCTCCGGCTCCGCAGACGCAACAGTCACCTTCTGGACAGACACCACCTCGGCCACATACACCGCCGCTGTGCACGCCAATTCCGAACGCATTGAGCAGGACCAGGAGTTGCAGAACCACATCCGGGCCGGTAACTACCGCGAAGCCATCGTTTTGGCCTTGCAACTCAACCACCCGGGTAGACTTCTATCCCTCTTTACAGCCGCCATCAACGCCGCAGATGACCCAACCCTCCCAGCCGAGGAACGCAAGCGTGCCGCAGCCAGTCTGACCGGTAACCCCTCCATCGACGAGGTTCTGCAGTCTCTGGATCCTGCCAACCTGCGCACTCTCCTCCTCCGTCTCCGTGACTGGAACACCAATGCCCGCACCGCGCGCGTTTCACAGCGTATCCTCTACGCCCTGTTCCGCTCGTACCCTGCATCCACATTCGTGGAGCTTGCGACCCAGTCCGTCCGCGGAAAGAACGGCCGCGCTGCTGCTGGCCTGAAGGATATCCTGCAGGCCCTGTCTGCGTATACGGAGAGACACTACCGCCGGGTTGAGGAGCTGGTTGATGACAGCTACCTGGTTGAGTGGGTGCTTGGTGAGATGGATGGTGGTGTTGGACTTGGTGGTCTCAGTGCTTTGACTGTGGACGATGCCAATGGGAACGGGGATGAGCATGAGAAGGATGTTGTTATGTTGGAAGCATAACTGGCTTGATCTTCTGCCATGTTTGTACATTGAATTTGGCGCTTTCTTTCTTGGAGTACCACGGGTGGGAAGGATAAAAGCCATCTACTTTTATAGAATTGAACAGTGTTTTACGGCTCTTCGACCTCGGTCTCTAGAAAAAATGATTACATACAAAGTACATGTAGCTGGCCATCTTCACGTCGACATAGGATTTCTTGTCTATAAGATTTCTTGTCGCTACTTTGTCACTCTTCACTTTTATTGTCCAGGGTATCTCTATTTTTGTAACACTTTTTAATGGCCGAATGGTGATCAGGCGCATCTCGTGTAATGCAAGTTCTGATATACAACATCCTCCCAATTTCCCGTTCAAGTAATTGATATTTTTAATCGTCGCGACGGCTGCGCCGAGAGTCACGATCGCGGTCTCGGTCTCGATCATGTCGAGATGAGTGGGACGAGCGTGAACTGCTGTACTTATCGTCTCTGTGCCGATCACTACGGTCTCTGTCATGATCTCGATCGCGGTCTCTCCGTCGGTCTTTATCATCATGGCGGTCGCGGCGACGATCCCGGTCATAATCACGATCGCGATGGGAACGATCGTCCCGTCTGCTTCTGTCGTCGTCATCATACCGGGATCGCCTGGAGGATTGGCGGCCACTGGATAGACTGCGATCACGGCGTGAAGACCCATTTCTCCGGTGGGAGCGACCCTCGTCATCATAATCACGCTTGCGATATTCTCGGTCCTTGTCCCGTCCGCTCTTTTCGAGGTTGTGGTCTCGTCTCTCACGCCAGTCGTCCTCCTTGGGGGCAGCTTTTGCCTCTTTTTTCAGGGCCTCGAGCTCTTCTTCGGTAAGGTGCTCACCCGTCTTCTTGTTGCGCATCGTGACGGGCATATATACACCCACTGCCTTTCCGTTCTCTTCGCCTGCCTTCCTGGACGCCTTGCGCATGGCTGATTTACCCCAAGCGCCAAGCTCCGCTTCGGCACCTTTGCCGCCAGATGCATCCTTTGCGCCAATACCGAGGAATCCAGGTCGTCGTTCGGGGACACGGGCATTCTTCGCCTTCTCAGCAGCCGCGGCGCCACCATAATTGCCCTTTCCGATAGATTGGCCGTCCTTCCAGCCCATTCCTCGTAGCAACGCAGCACCAAACTCCTCTACCGGAATGGCGTTGTAGGCATCCAAAGTAGCAGGATCTGGTCGCGAAGCCACATCTGTCCGGAAAGAGCTGGTCTCGCTGTAGTGAACCGGGGCTTCATCTTCGTCCTTTGTAGTTGACTCAATCACAAGATCAGTTCTCCGCTCTACGTCGCCCTTGGTCTCGCGAATGAGCGCCTGCATGGCAATTTCGTCGTCGGTAAGAGGCTTGGTCGCAACAGGATTCGCATCGGGCATGGCTCGATCTTCGTTCGCTGCACCCTTGTCTTCCTGGGCTTCGGACTGCTGTGCAAAACTCAGACCGTATGCCATGCTCGGCGCATCTGTCTGGACCGTGGGATCTCCACCGGGTGCTTGTCCATTCTTTTCCGCCTCTTGCATAGCTTGCACTTCACGGGGAAGCAGATTCTTGCCCTTCTTCACATTGACACCTGCTCGGTCGCGCCAGTTGTTCTTGCTTGTAACTGGAATTACCAGTGGCTGGTTTTTATCGTGGACCGCTTGTCCGTCAACGGTAATCGCGCCACCAGTATGCGTGTCGAAGCCTGAGACTTCTTCGTGAACCGGGGCAGCTTCTTCTTCGTCAGAATCATCGCCGTGCGCTAGTTGGTGAGGCCGCCGAGGGAGAGACCGGCCTTTGGCTGCTGGGGAGTCGGTGGCACGGCCGCGATTCGAGGATTGGAGGTTGAAACCGGTCTTTTTCGAGGGAGCATTTGAGCCGGAAAGAGAGAGGGAGATGGGCTTGGACGAGGGTTGCCCGTCTCCATTGGGGTCGCGTGAAGACATCACGACGGTCCCAAGTGTTTTTCAAGAAACTAAGAATGCTTGAAAAGAGATACCAGAGGAAGGCAGAGCTGATAATCTCAAGAGCTTAAACCGGGCGGTGGCAAAAACGGTTGCGCCTAACACCGAAGTATAACTTCCAAGTTCACAACTGATGATCCGAAGAATTTCTAGCTGACTTCAATGTTTGACCTATTGCTATACGTATTGTACAAGCTGCTCCATCTTCCAGCATATACAAAATTAAACCCGACACAGCAGACCACTGTTCAGATCATGGGTCCACTCATCACATCCAACTCCGCTCCAGACAAACAGACTCCCAGTGGGGTCATACTTGTGTTTAATCTCCAGAAGACGGCCATAGTTCTCTCCATAGAAGCCATGTTTCCAGTTACTGGCAAAAGGATTGCCTTCATTCATATAAGAGCCGCTCTCAGGTGCCCATTCCTTCCAGAAGCGAGATAATAGGAAGATGAAGGAACCGCAGCATGTCGAATGTACAATGCTTCAGTATCAAACAAGTAATACATAATTAATAGATTAATAGTTCTTGCACCCAAAAAGAAGAGTGCAAAAGCCGACAACAAAACGAATACGATGATCTTTTGGTCTCCACTAAAAATGTACCAGAGACAGATTTGAATGCTGAAGATCTTCAGCAGGCAACAAGCAATTGTTTAGGTTAGGTTGAAGATAAGTCGGGGGGACGACGGTGGGTGCCATACTAGAAATAGGGCAATGTTAAAAGGATCCCCCTCTTGTTGATATTCGGACCCCCTCTCCACCTGTCTAAGCGTAATTAGGGAAGGCTTAGTATGTGTATTTCATAGTGTATTTTCTTAGTAAAAATGAACAAAATGGCGTAGAGGAAGACAATAGGCCTCGTAGGGTGTGTGAAGACTTGCACCTAGGTCAATACATGTATACCAACTAGGCCAAAAAGACCACTATGTCAGCCTGACGGCTAACATGCCTAGGACCGATACATATACTACTCAGTACGCACAGTTGTACGCGTGCGCACCCCAGACGCCACGCCGTGACAGTTGAATCTTATCTTCCATAAAAAGCACTCACTAAAGCAAAAACGTTTAGTAAGTAAGATAATATAGACTTGCTCTTCGGTTTACAATAGGGGTCTAAAAAACGGTCTAAAAAACGGTCTGTCCAATAGTGTTAAAATATTTGCTATGTCACTGAAAAGACACCGTGAAATACACATACTACGCCTTCCCTAATTAGACTTAGACAGGTCGAGAGGGGGTCCGAATATCAACAAGACGGGGTCCTTTTAACATTGCCCTAGAAATAAACTTAGATGTCTGAAACTGAGATCGGAGCCTAATCGGGAAGTTTTTGCGTATTCGCATCTAGATTTCCGTTTCTGTCCGCCAGCCCTAACCTCATCGTCAACATGTTCGAGAAGATATCTGGAATATTGTGTCCTAGGATGTTATATGCTACATGTAGTCAATTATGCCAGACTATACCACACATTCTAGAGCGACCGACAGGAAAACAAGCTCAGCAACTACTCCACGCTCTACGCTTGCCGACGAGCCATATTGACCCAAGACCCGCACCACCGCGCCATTTTTTTCTGCTTAAAAGCTTTATTTGCTCCTACCAAGTTATAAAATTGCTAGCCTGCCCCGTCCATATGGCGGCGTTTCCAAAAATACATCGAGGATGAACCTCTACGCGGCAAAAAAGAAGCATAAACCGCAAAGTCTGATCCAAGTGGACCACGATGCCCCACATCCGGGCGTATTCGTTCGCAAATTGCCCGATTGGGAATTTAGAAATAGCTTATGCTGTTTGACCTAAAGACCCTTCAATCTATAAAGATAGGCCACTCCTCAGTAGTAAAACTGAAGGATATACACCATACTCTTTCTCCAAGATCCCAACATGGATATCGTTTACCACCCCGGCGTAAATGGATCCGATCCCTGGGTCGAGTTCTATCCCTATACACCGTCTGCCTCAGCCGGCTATGCCTTCGTGGCAATCTTCGGAATCTCAACCATCGTCCATTTAGTGCTGATGTTCCCCTTCCGTGCTGCATATTTTATACCCCTAATGCTGGGTGGAATATGTATGAACACCACTCAATCCCCTTGAGAAGAAAAGAAGCTTTAGGGCTAACCAACACACCAGGTGAGGCATTCGGTTACTACGGCAGAGCATGGTCACACGAATCTCGAACGGAAATCAAGTCATGGGCATTACAGGAAATGCTCATCATGTGCTCTCCGCCACTCATCGCCGCTACAGTCTACATGGTCCTCGGTCGTGTAATCCGCTCCTTCGACGCCGAACATCTGTCAAGCATGCGAGTCAAATGGCTCACGTTTGTCTTTGTCATGAACGATGTTCTCACATTCTGTACACAACTTGGCGGTGCTGGTGTCCAAGTCACCGGGGATGCCAAGGTCATGGATATCGGCAAAAAGGTTGTTCTGGCCGGACTGATCTTCTCTCTGGTCGTGTTCGCCCTCTTCATCTACATCACGGCGAAGTTCCATCGACGACTCCAGCAAATGCCTACGCCTCTGATTAATCATAACCCTGGTCTTCATTGGCAGCGGTATATGGTGGCGATCTATGTCTCTTGTTTTGCGTTGATGCTTCGAAACTTGGTGCGGACTATACAGTTTGGTGCTGGTCGAACGGCTGATGTCAATACTAAGGAGGCTTATATCTATGTCTTTGATGCCTTTTTGATGTTTTTGACTATGCTTGTGCTGATGGTTTATCATCCTGGTCGACTTATTAAGAAGGCTCGCTACCTCACCAAGATGGGTATGTTCGATGAGCGTATGGGGGAGCGCAATTCTGCTCATATACTGTTGGCGGACACTGAAATGGGTCAGCGCTGAAGCTTCGGTATTGGTATCGTTTTATTTCTTTCTTCGCTGTTTTTATTCTACATTGCAAATAGATTTCATGATTTTAAGAGCAGGACACCTTCCAACAAAGCCTAACGTCGGGGTTCGTACGCCTTTGATCATATCACGACACATCTATCGTACATCGGGTTCCACAGTGACCAAGGGGGTTACTTACTCGTACTTCATACCCGTAGAGACAAATACAAAACCTTACAGAGGAAAAGGCAAGTTCAAAACTAATCATACAATTCATTTCAATTCCAAGAATCCGTCCATCCCAGAGGTTTCGCCTAATCCTATCAATAATACAAGCCCAGACCCAGAAAAACAAAGAGAAGCACTGGTAAGAAAAAAGGAGCCAGTGCATATCGAGTCCGCTATATTGAGGGAACATCGAGGTTTTCGAACGGTAAAGAAATAAGAGCACGCAAACGGGAGTCAAAGGGGGGAGGGATAGGATAGATAAAGGGTAGCGCGAGGTGTAGTGCGATAATCCGAATCAACGGAGGTAGGAGAAAGAAAGGATAGAGGACAAAGAGGGGGTAATAAATCAAAGTAAGATGTGGTGTAAGTATGTACAGTTGAAGGTATAATAGGAGGGAGGAGGTTGTGACAGATGCGTCAGTGCGCCACGAAGACTGCTTTAGCTGGTCCTTCAACTGGTTGCTGTCTGGGCTGCTGGGGCGTGCGGGCTCTTGCTGGAGCCTTGAACACCGGCTTGAGCACTGCCACTGCGTTGGGTTTGAGGGGTGGCGCTACGGCTAGGCTGGGCGACAGCTCCGTTCATGGCGGGCGAGCTAGTTGGGCCAGCGCGGTTCTGTTGGCCAGGCTGAGGAACCCGCATCATCGGGGAAAATCCCTGATTTTGAGGGACCTGCATCCCGGAATTACCGTTCGCCATGTTGGGCGCCGAAGGAGACTGGAAATTGCCATCGTGGGGAACTTGGAAATTAGCCTGCACAGAATTCGCGTTCATGGCATTCGCATTGATGCTACCCGCAGCAGCATTGATCGCGGCCTGTTGGGACAAGCGCTGCTGTTGCGACTGTTGGTACTGATTGAGTCGATCAGTAGCCAACTTAGTTATCTGCTCAGGGGGCATATTCGGGTTGCTGCGCTGGATCTGGCTTTGGATCGTACTGATTTGTGGCACCATGCCGCTCGAAAGAGGATTCGGCTGACCCATACGAGGCGACGGGGTTGATACGCCTTGAGGCGTGCCACCGTGGAACGATGGGCTCTGCATTCCTCCTTGGGCCTGCATGGCAGCGATCATGGCAGGATTGTTGGGGGTGCCATTTGACATGTTCAGATTCGGCGATCCCTGCGATGAAAATTGCTGGTTGTGGAATTGCTGCTGACCTTGCGGTTGTTGCCGAGATTGGAGAAGGCGCTGCTGCTCCTGCAATCGATTCGCTTCTCGAATGACGCGAGTGTTATCGGGGGATGTTTGCATCGCCATACCAGGTCTCGCGCCTGTTCCTTGCATTTGATTGGGCATCATCTTCATAGCCATACCGTTGGGAATCTGGCCGTTTGACTGTGCGCCCGCCGGCATGTTTTGCATTGGCAGAGGGCGGCCTTGATTGACACCGGCACTAGGCTGCATGCCATTAGGCACTCCATTCGGAGTACCACCTGGCAGGCTGGGGTTGGAGGTGGAAGGCATGTTCGTGTTGCTGCGCCCTGGGGCATTTGCCGCTGGCTGGTTAGGCGCTTGACCGGAACGCTGAGCTGCAAGACTAGCCTATATGAGAGATTAGTAAAAGAAAAAGTTCTCTTGTGGAAATCAAGGGTTACTCACTCTCTGTTGCGCAATCATTTGCTGCCGGTATTGCTCTTGCCTTTCCTGCAACTTCATCTCTCTGTCGTACTTCAGCCGACTGAATTCAGCTGGCGATGAGATCGGGGGCTTGGGTTGATTAGCCTCATTGGCCTTGCGTAATGAAGCGAGATGAGAAGCTAGATAGAATGTCAGTGTTGGTGTGTTTGAAAATCTCAGCTAAAACTGACCATGCTGCTGCTTTTGAAGCATAGTCTCCCTCTTCTTAGCCAGCTTACGCATGGCATCAAGCAAAGCAAGATGCTTCGATGACCGCCTCCTGTCAACACGAATAGGCTGTGTGGACCTCCGGCGGATAGGTGGCTGAGGCGGACCGCTGTTGCCCTGTTGCTGTTGCTGTTGTTGCTGCTGTTGTTGAGCAGCCGCCTGCTGAGCAAGCACGGTACGTTGAGCGGTTTCAAGCCTCTGGTGGTAGGCCCGGAAGTATTGTGTCTTGGACATATCAGCCGGAAGACCTTCCAGTCCCACCCATCGCTCGAAACATTCCCAGGGAGTCCGTCTCTCAGCGCCAGAAGTAAAAATAGACGATGGAGTCAGGCAGCTGGAAATTAGAGACCAGTTGTAGGAATACTCCTTAACCAAGCGTCGGAGTTCATCATCCTCAGCAAAAGTCCACTGTGATGACTGACGTGATTCAAAGAACCCAACAGATGGCATTGGGTGTTCGGTTGGAGGCCGGAATGAATGCCCGGGATGAATGCGATCCCGGATGGGTTTGTTCTCGGGGCGGAAAAGGGCGACATTAGTTTGCTCCGGAGGAAGATCAGTAATGCGATGCTCTGAATCATTGTTATACTGGGAGAAGTCATATCTGCTCCGCTTGCGAGGACGTTCGTCATCATGGAAGGTGATCTTGGTCGACGCGAATTTGGAGACAGGCAGAAGCTCTGTCTTCCAGACTGAATCAGGGGGTGCTTTGAAGTCCAGTACATTCGTCCCAGGGGTCATTTGCAATGGCCCATATATCGGCAATTCGTCTAGCAGCTTCTCAGCAGCAGGCGTCATGTTAATTGAGAAGTTGAACTCATCCGAGCCTAGGGAGAAGATAGCGGCGGGAGTCACAGTGTCTTGGAGGTCGTGTCTGGGCTCATCGTTGAATCCATCACTGACGGACTCCTCCTCGGCAGATGGAATAAGGTCCGGAGTGGGATGAGAGCCACCAAATGCTTCATCGCCAGTATCCTCAGAAGGCGGACTGGGACCGGCCTTTGGTGCATCCTTCTCGGCCAAGGTTGGCGAAGGAATCTTCGTTTGAACACGCAGTAGAGCCCGGTGTTCCTCGTCGCTGTTGACATATTCGGCACACCAATCGGCACAGCTCTTTGCGGCAGCAAGCTTCCACTTGCGCTCCTCTCGGAAGTCAGTTCGCATCCACTTCATGTGATCCAGCACTACATCCCAATGTGATCCTTGGCGGGGAGGTTCGACAGAACGCTTCATTTGCCGCAAGGGCCACCGGTTGGCGTTTTGAAGTGCGTAAATGCGCCGTAAAGTACGACAATCCATGGACTCTTGGTATTCAAGCAAATGGTTGTTGGTACTCAATGTCTTGTGTGCGGACGCCAATAGAGTATTGAGGTTCGTTCCTCGTGGGGGAGCGTAGGCTCGGTTCAAGAATAGTGTGAACAGATAGTCTTGTTCCTCGTTCAACTTGGCAACAGCATCCATGTCTCTGTGCAGCAAGTCTGTAGACTCAGGCTGAGAGGGCTGCTGCTTAGGGAAAACCACTGTTGAAAGTCGACTTCTCTCCTTCTCTCGGTCTTTTCGGTCCTTGAAGCGCATTCTGGCAACAGAATCGGGGGAGCCTTGCTCAGAGGGTGTGAGTGGGACTCTCTCATGGTGACTCCTCGGAGTCTCTCCGAGAATCTCAGAAACAGACTTATGGCGGATAGCTCCGGACGAAACTCGGGTAGTCATGCGCTCTGGTTGTGACGATCCAGGCTGAGAAGGAGGGATAGACAATGACGGTTTCTTGACAGGTGTAACAGAATCAGCAGTAACGTCCATTGTGGATGGCGACACAGATTTTGATGCTGATAGCTTCACTTCAGACTCGGGAGCGGGTCGGTCGATATCCATTTCATCTTGCGCGTCTTCAGCTCCTGCGCTCTCCTTGATTACCTCGTTCGAGGAAGGCTGACCGGCATTCACATCTGCGGGCCTCTCTTGTATCGAGCTGGCTTGTTCGAGGCGCAATTGCTCATCGGGGGTTGACGGGACCAAGCTTAATCGTGATCGGTCATGTTTGTGTGGACGACTGATTGTTTCGGCATCCTCGGCCACTTCTTCTGCGGGGCTTGTGTCGGGTGATGCGGCGGCGGGTACGGGTGTATTATTAGAGTAAGGGTCGATAGAGGAGGCGGGTGAAAGAGGTTGTTCGGTATTAGAGGGCCCTAGAGTCAGAGACGGCCGTGCCTCTTTCCTTCGGTGGGTGTCGGAGGGGATCTCCAGTGAGGGAGCACTTGTCGCTGCAATCTTTGTGCGAGAAACCTTGGCTTCGTTTCCATCTTGATTAGCATCGAAGACTGGTGCGCTGCCTTTCTGATCGCGCGAGAATTGGGGGACTGGCGCAGCCGTCGGTAGCAGCTCGAGATCCTTTGGCGGTTTGGAGATGGTTGGCACAGATGGCCGACGTGCTCCATCTGGAGTAGGCGCGACATTGGGAACTGCAGTTCCAGGTTGCGCCGGTGCGGGTGTTTCGCTTTGGATCGGTTCGGTCACCTGCGGAACACCGCCATCGAAGGTTGATGCGGGGGTAATGTCGGTAATAGGTTTGGCCTTGGTACCAGAAGCTGCTGTCGGGGAGACTGAGCTTCTGGTTGGAGAACGCGCACGCGCATGGGCAGGCAGTGGAAGCGTAGCTTCATCGAAGTATCGACCTCTGTATAGGGTATCAGCATTGCGGCATTAAATCATCAAATTAAATAATTGCAATTGGGAATAGAGGAGTAGAGTAATGCAGACAAGGTACTCACTTGGAGAGGTCGTTGGCGTCGAGAAATGCTCGTTCCTTTTGCTGGTAATGCGAGTCCTCGGTCGCGCCAAACCCGACCGTGGCTAGATACAATGCGCTGAGCTTGCGCTTTCGGCGCGACAAACAGTTTCTAGCCACCAAGTCAGTAAAAAGTTCATTTTCCAGCCTTCACAACATCAAAAATACGCGACAGATAATTAATACTTACGCGATCTCATCGTTTTTAGACCGAAGGAGCTCGTCGCGGAGCATGGAGTCTAGCTTGGGAACACAGCATCCGATTAACGCGGGAACAAGGGAAACGGATTGAGCGAGGTCATCCAGATGGAAAAAATCGCTCGAACAAGATAAAAATGATGGAGAAAGGGAGTGAAGTGATGGGGAGCAAAGTCTTCTTTTGAAGGGGGTGAAAATGAGGTTACGGTATGGAAAAAATGTTTGGGAAAAAGGACGGGTGGGTGGTTTGGGTACAGTACTCGCTCCCTCACAAAAATTACACGGGTCTGCCAAGTACCTGGTACTTCGTCCCTTAGGTCTAAGGAAGTCAATAAGGGCGACTACCACTAGAAATGTAATATTCGATGAGCTATCAGATGTTTATGGGAGTTGGAACTGGCTTCTCTCACCAAGTAACATCGCATGTAATGCGTAATCGTCTCATTCCTCCGTTTGCGGTAACTTTGACACCTGAGGCAGTATATTACTGGCCTGGTGTATCGGGCAGTAAAAGACACCTCATACATATGGCATTAAGGCTCCAAGGCTGCAAGGCTCCAAGGCTTCACATGTTATCGGGCGGCGATAAACCACCGGCAGAAAAGCAAAAGAAAAAAAGTTATCCACCCCAAGCTTCGACATCAAACAAGCATTGCTATACAGTCATGGTTAAACGCAAGAGAACCGATGCCCCCAAGGAGGACAAGCCTGCTGTTCCTTCGCCCAAGACTACCAAATCCGCCCCAACGCCATCAGAGTCCCCCGATGCGGCTCTCACTGTTCAAGTCATTACTGGCTCCTACGAGCGGGTCCTGCATGGCTTCACAGCAGGAATCCCAGCTGCCAGCCTGAAAGCCAAGACTGAGGCTGACTCTCCCAAGTTCCAATGCGTGGACACCTTCTTGTTCGAGGCCCATGGATCTGCAATCCGTTGTCTTGCATTGTCACCACTGCCCAAGGTCACCGACTCTGCCGAGTCTCAGAAAGTGATGCTAGCTAGCGGTAGTACCGATGAACGTATCAACTTGTACTCCATCTCCGCTGCTCCTCCTGCTGTGAATGACGACTATCCCTCCGTGCCCACCCTCGCCGGAAACAAAATCCTCGAAAATCCCCGGAATCGCGAACTAGGGTCCTTGCTGCATCACACTGCCAGCCTAACTTCCTTGAGTTTCCCTTCGCGAAGCAAACTACTTGCTGCTGGTGAAGACAACACTATCTCTATCTCCAGGACCCGTGATTGGTCCGTCGTTTCAACTATTAAAGCGCCAAACCCCAAAGTTCAAGGACGGCCAAGTGGTGATACCGCACCACTCGGCGGTGCTCCGTCTGGAGTGAACCACTTTGCAGTGCACCCCAGTATGAAGCTCATGCTGACTCTTGGCAAGGGTGAGAGGTGTATGAGATTGTGGAACCTGGTGACCGGCAGAAAGGCCGGAGTGTTGAACTTTACCAGGGAGGTGCTGATGGGTGTTAACGAGTCGAGATTTAGCAGCGGCGAAGGCCGCCGCATTGTTTGGGACTCACCAGGAGAGGAGTTTGCTGTTGCATTTGAATGGGGTGCAGTAGTTTTTGGAATTGTAAGTTTCTTGCTTAGTATTTTGTCGAATCAGCTTCTGACTATTAGCCACAGGACTCAACTCCCAAGTGCAGAGTTGTCCCGGGACCTCGGAGCAAACTTCATCAGATGAAATATGTCTCTCTGCCCGTGGAGGGTGATGAGAAGAAGGACTTCCTGGTCGTTTCCACGGAAGATGGCCGGGTGATTTTCTACTCAACCAAGGATCTGAAAGAAGCAGAGAATGATCCCGACTGCTCAATCCCCCATGCCACCCCCGTTGCTCAGCTTGGTGGAAAGCAGGCTGGCTATGCTGGCCGCATCAAGGATTTCGAGATCCTCAGCTTGGAAGAGCAAGCAAAGGAATACCGCAATGACTTCCTGCTTGTGACCGGCGGCAGCGATGGAGTGGTCCGTGTATGGAAGGCCGCCGGAAAGGACCTTGCAAAGGCAAAGGATACGACTGCTCAGATTGGAAGGGTTTTGACTACCTATGAGACTGGTAACCGCATCACCTGCTTAGCATCTTTTGTCATGTTGCCTGCAGAGGACCCATCTACACTGTTTGACTCTGAGGAGGAGAGTTCGGAGAACGAGGAGGAGGACTCTAGTGACAGCGACGACGAGTAATACGTGGCTCTCACCTGTTATACCCTTTGTACCATTGATAAAACAACGGCAATGTATTCATGAGCAAAAGTTTTGACGCATTAGAAACATAGAAATAAGTTCTCTACTGTAACCTTTCCCTGCACCACCTTATTTTGGAATTTCTCCAAGTCCACAATTAATTTAGCAAACTACAAACTACATACCATATAAAATAAAAACAGAAATACAATCAAACATTGATGCTATACAAGTGTAGAATATCTTGCCATCTAGACACCGCCCGAGTGGCTCTCCACTACACACAATCCCCCCCACCTACATTCTTTCATCAGTATCGGAAGCAATTTTCACCCGACCACCTTCCACCCTCCACCTTTTCCTCTCCCTTTCGCGAATCGATTTTTTTCTCTTTCGCAATCATGGCTACCAACGGCGATTTCTCCGACGAGGGGTCCCAGCCCGGCTCGCCTTTGCTCGACGCCCACAACGCCCGCGGCGAGGTCGAGGACCAAGAACCTCTTGAGGAGAAGCCCGTCAAGTCCGCGATGAAGAAGCCCTCTGCTCCTGCTCCCCAGCATGTGCGCCCAGAACTCCCCGAGCAGCCCGAGCCCTCGACCCTCGATCTGTCCAAGTTGACTCCTTTGTCGCCTGAGATCATTTGCAGACAAGCCACTCAGAACATCGGTATGTGATCGCTGGATTGTGACTGCGTTTCGACCTTCTTTGTTGGAAGGCATTTTTGCGGGCAACGGATGACTCCCAGCGGAACTGGTTCTGCGCTCCAAAATGCATACTCTGTGAATTTGTTTTTTTCCGGGCACCAGATTGACTAACCGGATTTTTATAGGTACTATCGGTCACGTCGCTCAGTTAGATCCCTTCTTCCGACCTTTTCTTCCTCCGAGTTACTAATATTTTTCTAGCGGTAAATCGACTGTCGTCAAGGCTATTTCGGAGGTGCAAACTGTTCGTTTCAAGAACGAGCTTGAGCGCAATATTACGATTAAGCTCGGTTACGCCAACGCGAAGATTTACAAGTGTGACAGCCCCGAATGCCCCCGGCCGACATGCTACAAGAGTTTCAAGAGTGAGAAGGAGGTCGATCCTCCTTGTGAGCGCGATGGATGTACAGGTCGTTATCGTTTGTTGGTACGTTTCTCGTCCCTTTGCCCGATTTCAGGGCTTTCTCTGCTGATAGCAAGCTAACATTCGATATAGCGTCATCTCAGGTACATTGAACTCCCGATCCGCCCATCAGGCTCGATTTAGGGTCCTTCTGCGTCGAACATAAGCTAACATTTGGTTCCCCATAGTTTCGTGGATTGCCCCGGTCACGATATTCTCGTTAGTCTCCACCTTTTATGGATTCCCTGTTCTTTGAGATTTGAGTCTAACCCAATCTTTGCAGATGAGCACTATGCTTTCCGGTGCCGCCGTTATGGACGCCGCTCTCCTCCTGATCGCCGGAAACGAAACTTGCCCTCAACCCCAGACTTCGGAGCACTTGGCTGCTATTGAGATCATGAAACTCAGCCACATCGTTATTCTCCAGAACAAGGGTATCTATCCCATCTCAATCTCGATTTATGCCTCTATTCATTTTCTAACGCATTCTTCTAGTCGATCTTATGCGCGAAGAAGGTGCGCTCGAGCACTACCAGTCGATCCTCAAGTTCATTCGTGGTACCGTCGCCGATGGCTCCCCCATTATTCCCATCTCCGCTCAGTTGAAGTACAACATCGATGCCGTCAACGAGGCCCTTGTCAACACCATCCCCATTCCTCCCCGTAACTTCGAGGCTTCTCCCCACATGATGATCATTCGTTCCTTCGATGTCAACAAGCCCGGTGCCGAGATCGACGAGCTGAAGGGTGGTGTTGCTGGTGGTTCCATCCTGACCGGTGTCGTAAAGCTGAACGACGAGATTGAGATCCGTCCCGGTCTTGTCACCAAGGACGAGCAGGGCAAGATCCAGTGCCGTCCCATCTTCTCCCGCATTGTCTCCCTCTTCGCCGAGCACAACGACCTCAAGTTCGCCGTTCCCGGTGGTCTTATCGGTGTCGGTACCCGTGTCGACCCCACGCTTTGCCGTGCCGATCGTCTCGTCGGTTTCGTTTTGGGTCACCGTGGCCGTCTCCCTGCTATCTACACTGAGATCGAGGTCAACTACTTCCTGCTCCGCCGCCTTCTCGGTGTCAAGACTGCCGACGGCAAGCAGGCCAAGGTTGCCAAGCTCGCCAAGAACGAGGTTCTCATGGTCAACATTGGCTCTACTGCCACCGGTGCTAAGGTGCTCGGTGTCAAGGCTGATGCCGCTAAGCTCAGCTTGACCAGCCCCGCTTGCACGGAAGTTGGCGAGAAGATCGCCATCTCTCGCAGAATTGAGAAGCACTGGCGTCTCATTGGATGGGCCAACATTGTTGCGTAAGTTCTACAGGCCTGATAATACTTGGATGACATATGCTGACTATCTATTTCTCTGCAGTGGTAACACCCTTGAGCCCGTTCAGCAGTAAAGCAATTCTTTGAATGATGTCCCAGTTCGAAATGGGGAGGTTCAGGGAAAGAGGTCTGTTACGTCGAGGAAAATACGCAAATCAAAATCCTGCTACATCTTCGACCGACGGTCTCTCCGCCCGCCAACCCTCGAACACGAGTCTTGCGATTTACGATCATAGATCGCAGAAAATTTTACGGTCATGACGAATCGGAAAAAGTAAACACATGATATACCTGATTCCCCTGGCAGATAGAGAGAGGACGGGAGAGGAGACATGCATCCCTGCATTGTCGCCACCTTATCAGATTGCCTGCTTCACGCATGTCTGCTGCCATGTTTAAATGACGACAGCATGACAGAGGGCTGGTCTGCAGGATGGAAGACTACCAGGATGCAGGTGAAGTCAGCGAATGAGAGATGTGTTTTGTTTTGTTTTCGAGGGAGTTGTTTTCAAGAGGTTTCCTGTTCATTGCTCTTTTTGTGGCTGCATCGTCGGATCTTGTGTAGATAAGGACCTATATAGGTCTGTGATCAAAAATGTAGGAGGAAGTCATGATTATGACAATTAAGGAGCTTTGCATGTTCAATGTGTTCTTGTTCTCCTGTTCGAGATATAAAAGTAGGGCTAGGTCTTGATCGATGTGGTGTAGATTGAAAGCGGGCTGTATATATATAATTGCGTCCAACAAGCCACCAACGTTCATGACCAATAAGTCGATTTTGAAATACAATCTAAACAAATTGGAACAAAGGCACATAGCAATAGTCTCAGAGTTATGCAAGAACGAAATGAGAAGCATAAAAGCGAGAGCATTCGGATATACATATAGTGAACAAGAGCAAACACCTGTCTACTTGGAGATAGTATATTTCACTTGAAACAAAAAGCCCTTGTAAGATATCACATAATTACTCTTTACAAGACACTCGAATAGTCTACCCAACTAGTTAGTATACGTGGTAGGACTCTCCAGGGCCGGGGGCCTGCAGGACGAGATCTGACTAAGGCCCGCAACAACAAAGTAACTTCTGTCCTTTTAAGACAAAGCAACTTCCTCTTTTCGCCTTGCGCGACTTCAATCATGTATATTCTCGAGGTGAGTTGACTACAGAATGTCATATATCTCCTGACATTGCCCTTCATCGCGTGAAATGTTCTTCAATATGTTTCTCGAACTACTTTCGTAGTGCACTATGACCTTGCTAATCACTTGCTTCCAGCAACTGGCGCGCCTTCTCGATCGCCCGCTCTTTCCATGGAAGAACGTGCTTGTGGGCTTCTCCCTAGGCCAGTTCGTCCTGGAGGGCCTTCTTTCGCTCCGTCAATACAAGATTCTGCAACGAACTAAGCCTCCCCAGGTTCTCGCAGGGGAGGTCACCCAAAAGGTCTATGACCAAAGTCAGGTATGAATGTGACAACCACTGATTATAGACAAAAGCTCATTGGAATATCAAAATAGGCATACGGTCGCGCAAAGGCCAAGTTCGGTCTATTCTCCGGTCTCTACGGTCAAATCCAAAACCTCGCATTCATCTACGGCGATGTCCTCCCCAAGCTCTGGGGCGTTAGCGGCCTGCTGCTGGCGCGGTACCTCCCCGATCGGTTTCAAGGCGAAATCTGTCAAACTCTGGTCTTCTTCTTCGGTTTCAACATTCTAAGCACTGTCCTCTCGCTGCCCGTCTCGTACTACAACACCTTTGTGCTCGAGGAGAAGTTCGGCTTCAACAAGCAGACACTCAAGCTTTGGATCACGGATATGCTTAAGGGTCAGATGCTCGGAGTTGTTCTTGGAGCTCCCATCATCACCGGTGTGCTCAAGATCGTCCAGAAATTCGATACCTCGTTCTACTACTACCTCTGGCTGTTTGGAGTCTTCCTCCAGGTGTTCGCCATTACCATCTACCCGATTGCAATTTTGCCTCTGTTTAACAAGCTCTCGCCTCTTCAGCCTGGTGAACTCAAGACTGGTGTCGAGAAGCTGGCTGAGAAGCTCAACTTCCCTCTTTCCGAGCTCCATGTTATTGACGGTAGCAAGCGCAGTGCCCACAGCAACGCCTACTTCTACGGTCTGCCATGGAAGAAGCACATTGTCATCTACGATACCCTGATTGAGAAGACTGAGGCCGAGGAAGTCGTTGCTGTTCTCGGCCACGAGCTTGGTCACTGGAGTCTGAGCCACACTACTAAGCTCTTCGGTATTGCCCAGTTCCACATGTTCTACATCTTCGCTCTGTTCTCCGTCTTTGTCAACAACAAGTCACTCTACCAGTCCTTTGGGTTTGTCAACCAGCAGCCCATCATGATTGGCTTCCTGCTGTTCTCCGATGCCCTGGCCCCCATGGACGCCGTCGTCAAGCTCCTTATGAACATTCTCAGCCGGAAGTTCGAGTTCGAAGCCGATGAGTTTGCTCAGAAGCTTGGATACTCTGACAAGCTCGCTTCTTCGCTTCTCAAGCTCCAGATCCAGAATCTGAGCACCATGGACGCTGACCCGCTCTATGCCAGCTACCACTACTCGCACCCCATCCTCACTGAGCGGCTCGCTGCGCTTGGCTGGAAGGGCGGCAAGGTCACTAGCAGCAAGGAGGAGGACAGTGAGACGCCCGTCAAGGCAGCTGACCGCGAGCTGTAAAGCAGGCGTGTGAGATCTCTATTTCTTTTCTTCCGGTCTACAGTGTCAGTTGAAGCAGTTATTTCTAGTCTCAACAAGTCAAAATCGAGGCTTGGAATATCCCATCTATTGAATTGAAGCAATCCCTCTAAACTCTCCATAAAATTTTGTCCAGACATGAGATGCAAGATACTTTTGTACTTTTAAATCCAAGCCCAGCCCAGAATGATAAATATAACAAAAAAAAAAAAAGAAAAGTACTCCGACCCAATGCATCAACGCCCACAACCAAACAGGTATATACCCACTCACTCAGAATCCTCCTCGACCTCAACCTCAACATTAGCCTTAGCCTTAGCCTTATTCTTCTTCTCAGCCATCCGTCTCTCCTTCTTCTTCCTCTTGCGCTCCTCCTTATCAATCCCAGCCTCCTGTTCCGCAAATGCCTCAGCCTCAGTTTCAAACTGGGCATCGTTCATCTCAAGATCATTGCCCTCATCCTGCTCCTGCTCCTGCTTGTTCGGCACAACACCAGCCGCAACATCCAGATATTCCTCGCCGGGGTTCTGCTTGGCAACAGTCAAATCGCGACCCAGGTGTTCGCCAGATAGACCTGCTTGCACGCGCTTCAGGTTGTGCAGGATCAGGTTTGGTGCTGCAGCTGTCGTGCGCGAGACGGGGCCGTGCTCGCTGATGCTAGCGTTCGGTTGCAGTGATGGGTCTGTGGCTGCGCGGTCCAGGTAAGCCGCTAGGAAATCATGCGCGGCTGACTGGCTGATTGTTGTGGTGCTTTGCACTGTTGTTGGGGGGAGGGTGGAGGGGCCGTTGGTTGCCATTACGGAGTGGTTTGTTCGCCGACAGGTGGGTTGGTGGCGGTTATAGAGGGGGTTTGCCCAGCGGTTGTTTGGAGGGAGCTGGAAGTCGGTGTTTCTGCCGAGTTGAGGGTGGTTTGCTCGCAGCGCAGGGAGTGGAATGGGCGACGGCGAGCAGTTCGCATCTTGAGATCAAAAAGTTTCGGAGAACGCTAGGCCCGATTAGGTAAGTATTCTTAAAGGGCATGCGATGCTTCAATTGCTTCAGTTCTTTGTGAAATTGCGTAGAAGAAAAAATTTAGCAAAAGAATACAATCAAATTTATAACTAAAATAACCCCCATATCAATATCGAGCCCAATAGCCCGGTACTGCAGACATACATCTCCAGGCGGGTCCGTGCCTCGGCGGCTCCGCGCTTAATTTTCTGTCCAACTTCCGACACCGCGTCTTGAAGGCCTCACATCCCCCAGCTCAAGCCCTCCCAACCCGCCTCAACCGCCTACCCCAAATCGGGCATTCAAATGTTCAGCCTCCGCACCGGGGCCCTGCCCCAGGCCATCCGGGCCTCCACGTCGACCATGCGAGCCCCAATGACCAGGTACGCAAAAGCAAACCCCAAACCGAACCATATAAACCCTCAATCATCCCAGACCAAGAAACCAAGAGACCGCATATAACTAACCCTCTCTTTCCCCCTCGGACACAGGTTCTCCCAAATCCCACAACAACCAACCACATCCGCCATCCTCACCTCCAGACCCTTCTCCCTCCTCTCAACCCCAACCCGCTTCCAACCATCAACACTCGGCTCCCGCCTTCCCTCGACACTCACAACATCCTTCTCGCCAATGTCATCACTCCGCGCTGGGACTGGCCAGGTCCCACAGCAGACTCGGTCGTTCTCGGCTAGTGCGTCGCTGGGCGTGCGCCGTGTTACTTTCCGGCCGTCGCGGCGGGTGCAGAAGCGTCGCCATGGGTATCTGGCGCGGAAGAAGGATCGGAATGGAAGGAAGACTCTTACGAGGAGGCTTATGAAGGGGCGGAAGGAGTTGAGTTGGTAATTTGGTAGTTTGTTTGGGTGGGGAAGGTTTATACCAATGTGTGCTGTGACGGATAGATTGGGATTCATTGTATCATTGTGTTAAGTTATTGGCCCGGGTTCATGGCCACGATGGAAGGGACATATAGAGGATTTACTGAATCCGGATTCTCGGGACTAATGGTTTTCATTGATGTCTTTTGAGATGGGGTTGGGGTTCAGACAGGACGACGTCGCGGGTCTTGTCTGGCGTGTACCATATTACCTCTGCAATATGAGTGTGAAACTTCCATATAGTTTGAATTTTCAGCTTTGTCTTTGTTTTGTTTTGCTTCTGGAGGTTACATGTACTTGGAAATGGGTCATGTTCTTGAGTATGAGAGTAGATTCGTCATGCCTTGTTTATCTAGAGTCTCTCGACACTCTGGTATATACGTGATCTACCCTCTAACTTTACCTGTAATGCATGGAATTCATGATGCATATCACTCCTCATCCTCACTGCCTTCCTCGCTGTCTTCATCATCTTCGTCATCTTCGTCTTCCTCTTCCTCATCGCCAGCCTTCAGACCATAGTCATCCTCGAATTCCTTCAGAGGTTGAACAGTAGGAGTGAAGCCTGAGGTTTCGAAGCCCTGCTTGATAGTCTAAGAATATATGTTAGCATATATAAGGCACAAATATAGAAGATATTACTCACCTCTTCCAAGACAGTCGCGCAGGTGACAACCAAGTTGGCCGTCTTAGGAGCAAACAGTGGCAGAATGATCTCACGAAGAGCACCCTTGATCTCATCGAGGGTGATACCGCGCACATTCTTAAGCATCTTCTCCTTGTAGTCACTAGGCAAGTTACGCACGACCTGGCGAATGAAACTGCCCTGAGCAGCACTAGCAGCAGTCATCTGCTCATTGGCAAAGTTAACCACAATGCTGCTAATGGCACCCTCGAGCATAAGCGGATCGAAAGGCGTAGCACCAGAAAGATGGTCTTCGACAATCTGCTTGCTGGACTCGAAGGCCTTGTGGGCATTGGGAGACCGGTACACATCAAAGTTGACAAAGCCAGTATCGATGTTGTAGCTGAAGTTGGTGCCGTATGCCAGACCAGTGCCACGAACTGCAACCCACAGGGGACCTTCGACGGCGTTCATGTACGAGATTGCAACCAACAGGGCGGGCAGCTTCGGGTGGTCGTACGAGTCCAGACCACGGCCGGTGGCGTAGGCAAAGGACGAGTCGACCGTTGGCATGGGGACGATGTAGGACTTGCCACCGATGTTCTTGCCTGCGTCGCTCAACCGCTCGCGTCGGACGGTGATGGGTCGCAGGTCAGTGCTGGTGCCCAGGGTTTCGGCAAAGGACTTCCAGGCCGAAACGGGGTTCTTGAGCTTCTCGAGGTCGGCAATGACAATGACACGGACGTTGTCGGGCTGGAAGAGAGAAGTGCGGATCTCCTCCATGCGGGCTACGACCTCTTCGGGATTTTCAGCGAGCAGGCGCTTGATGCGCTTGAGGTAGCGAGCCTTGACGAGAGTGGAACGAGCGCGGACAATTGATTCCTGGGCGTAGTGAACCATCACATGGGCTGCGGCGAGCATGTCATCGCCGCTGCGCTTGGAGTCGGGCACGTCGGCCAACAGGCGGGTGTTGATGGCACGAAGTCTCTCCACGTCGAAGATAGACTTCCAGGACAGCTCCTTCAGCCAGGCAATGGCGTTCTCGTACTTCTCCAGCTCGACTTGGAAGGACACGCGGAGCATCTCTGAGTTTCCAAGACCGCGGGCATTTTCCATCGAGTATCCAACAGTGTCTCTCTCCAGCTGGACCACGACTTGCTCAAAGTCGATTGTCTTGCCATCACGCTGGACGGGAACGTTGAAGAACGCTTCGGTGTAGATGGATAGCAAGGGACGCAGTTGAACGGGCACGGAGTCAGCAGAGATAAGGACCGCCAGCTGAACGAAGCTGCTGGGGGTGTGCTCGAAGTGGATGAAGAGGGATTGGTCAGACTTGTCGGCATCGACGACCTGTTGGATCTTGTTGTCAGGACGTCCAGCCTTCAAGGCAGCACCCGAGCGAGCTGTTGTCGTATCCATGAAGTGGATAGACTCAGTTCCAGGGATAGCAAACTTCTCCAAGAGCTCCTGAGGAATCTCCTTGTCGTTCTCTGCCTTGGCCTTTTCGAGCTTATCAGCAAGCTCCTTGAGGCCCTTCTCGCCAAGACGCTCCTTCTGCGCTGCGACTCGGGCCTCCTCGTCCTTCTTCAATGTCTCGGACATCTTGTGGGACGGCACACCTAAGATGGTAACATGGGCCGCATCGGAGATCCATTTCTTGATGAAATCACGCCACTGGTCCTGAGACCAGGTCTCCAGAGTGTCATACTCCTTGAGGGATGCAACATCCATCATGGTCGAGCCATCTCGCTTTCCAAACAGGAAGTCAGAGATGACGTACTCTGCGAACGAGGAGGCAGAGGTCTCTGTTGAGAACTTCCAGGTCCGGCGCTGACGATCAATGCACTCTTTGAGATATTTCATATCCAAATCTTTGCTCATGGCATCTTGGAGAATCTCAAAGAATCTCTTCTCAACCTTTTCTAGTTTTGCTGTCTCGACACTGGTCAGAGTGAAACGAATCTCCATGCTGGGATGGTCCTCAGTCGCATAGTACACGGCACTAGCGAGCTGCTCTTTCTCAACAATGATGTTCTCCAAAAGAGCAGCGGATGAGCCGGCGAGATACAAGAGAGATACATTGAGAGCTCCGGCTGTGCATTGTTAGTTTTGTCCAAGGGAAGCCATAAGGTAGAGCTTTGAAAAACATACATTGAATAGGGTCGGTGCAATCAGGTCCCATGAATCGGATCTCGATTTCACCAAAGTCTTCATCCTCCTCGGGGAATTCAACTTTCTTGATAACTGACTTCTCCAGATAAGGAGCCTGTACGGAGTCCACCCAAGGTCTCTTGAAAGGCGCCTCTGGGCTAGGAATAACATCCAAGATTGTGTCTTCGAATTTGTCCAGAATATCGAGCATGTTCTTCTGATCGACTTCTCCGGTAATGATCAGGCATAGGTTCTTGGGCTGATACATCTCGCGATGGAACTCGCGAATCCGCTCCGCAGACAAGACACGCAGCTGTTCCATCATGCCTCCAGTCTCGTAACGGAAGCCATTACCCTCCGGATAAGTCAACCGCCGGGCCGCCAGGTCAATTAATTCAGCTGCATTGTTCTGCACGCCCTGCATCTCGGAGTACACAACACCGGCATCATTTCCAGTGCCATCGACATGGAAAACTTCGGTATAGCAACCTTCGTCGGTCAAAGTGGGAGCAATGACATGCTCAAGGTAGACTGGCAGGATACGCGCAAAGCCTTCCCAGCCTGCGGTATCCAGCGTATAGGCCGTGTGATCCGTAGCTGTCCAGGCGTTGGTACTGGAGTATACACGGGTAGCCAACTTGTCCAGGAATCCCTTGTAGCGGTAGTTACGGGATCCCATGAAGCACAGGTGCTCCAGGGTGTGAGGGGCACCGGAGTCATCGTGGATCTCAGTGGCAAGCACAAAGTAGCCATTCACCTTAGGACCGGGCTGGTCGATGACGACCACCCTCATGCCGGTGCGCTGTGATTCATACTGGGTGAACTCGCTCGGCGAGTAGTCTGGTTTGAACTGCTGGAGCAGTTTGAAGTGACTGTTTTGCACCGACGGCGACATATTGATCAATGGGGCAGGCCCAGTGAAGATATTTCGCCGGAAGCTTGACAGTCTAAAGGATTTCGTCAGCAAGTTTCATCTCAAGGAGGATTGGGTCTCATCGCCAGCGCATCCACAGCGAGGAACATTCTGATACCGAGCCCGAAACTCAAAGGCCAGAAAGGGTTTGAGCAGATTGAGATGATGAGAACGAAAGTAACCGTATACATCCTCTTCATAGCAACCTCTTATACCGTGAAAGGTCATGCCCACCTGGTCAGGGTTTCTACTATCACATCCCGCCGAGGAGAGACATAAAATGGAGGGGCAGATAGAAAATTGGGGTATCAGATGGCCCCTCCATGAACAACAAAGAGACAGCAAAGACTAAGACTCACAGAAACCAAGTATTTGCCCGACGCAGGCGTAAAAATCGAGACACGATGAGTGTGTTCAGAATGTGTGCTGGACCCAGGCGGAGTTTGCGTCCCGTTCCTTACAAAGCGAGCTCGGTGTTGGAGATTTATGGAACAGTCACTCGGAGTATCAAAATTAGGAATTATATGTCATATCCAGATAGTATCTTGAATCTCTTCTCTTCTTTCCGAACGCGAATATACAGAATGTAATCAAACGTGGGGCGGTGACGCCCAAGGTCACGGGTTGTTGACAGCTAAGCTCTTTGCCTCTACACTTCATTCCAACCAGCACCTTTTCCTCGATTCGCTCGTATCCAAACTCAAACCATTGGCGCCATGACCGGGAATGCCGGAGATGAGGAGATGTGCCAGGCGGTGCTGGGCTTCGTCGCCGAGGGCACGTACCCCGAGGAGAAGGTGGTTGCTGGCAAGTTCCCGGCAGCTGCCCTCGCCAGAGAGCTGGAGCTTATATCCAAGGCTCGTGAGCAGGTAGAAGTACGAAGCTCCAGTTATTCTTTTGCTGATCACGGTTACTGACCTGCTCTGTTGTACCCGGTTAGAACGAGATCAGCTCCCTGAGTCGCGAGAACACCTTTGACGCCGACGACTGGATTATCCAAGCGAAACAACTTCATGCAGACATAGAACGATCCAGATTAACTGCGCGCGAGATTGTCGCCCAGCATGAGCATACCAATCCCCTACAAGCCAAGGTTGAAGACGCAAAGGCGAAGGTCGCATTGGTAGAGACGGAGATAGCCTTCAACGAGGCCGTCGCAGGCACTCTGGAGGAGGTACAGCGGCTGTGTCAGCGGTTGGAAAGTGGCCGTGCTGCCCTCGGAAATGGCCAGATCACGACCGCCATTGAGCAACTGGAGTCTACCGACGCGGCTGTTGGGAATGATTCTTTCTTTACCAATACAAATGTGATGGGCATACTCACCGGAGAGATGGCACAGCTGCGATCCGAGATTATCGAAGCGCTTTATATGCGCTGGGCAGACCAGCTGAAAATCGACCGACAGAACCGCGAATTCCAGGTCTCCAAGGCGGATGCAACTGCTCTTGAGGACACTATCGCGTCACTTGCCCGGATGGATATCCTTACATCTGCCAACCAGAAGTTCCAGAAGGACTTTTTCTCTGCAATTCTCAATCCAATCTTGCTGCCTCGCCCTGATGGTACCAGCCATGGAGTTATGGTGACGGAGACTAGCATTCGCATTGATCCCAAGGCCGCAAAAGCAACCGTGTCAGAGACGTTGGATCGTCTTTCCAGCGTTTTGGGTCATTTGCGACAGAACCTACCTACTGTGGTATCTGCGGCTCTCCCGGAGTCTTTTATTCCAAGCATCGCTTCAAAGGCGATCTCGGAGTGGCTATCTTCTGCCATCCCCACCGAACTAGGTGGTCTTGCAGATTTCGAGAAACTTCTGGACGATGTCCTGCAATTCACCCAGACCATTGAGTCTTGGGGTTGGACTGGCCAGGAAGAACTGGTCTCATGGGTTAACCAGGCCCCACGCTTGTGGTTGACTCGGCGTCGGGTCGACTCACTCGATAGTGTCCGGAAAGTCCTCGCTGCTAGCCAGGGCACAACCAAACAGGTCGAACGTGTCGAAAAAGAAAAAGTTTCTCAGACTGATGGGGCCCTCCTGGAAAATGCCGTCAATGATGACTGGGATGCGGACTGGGATGATGATAAAGATGACACCTCTGTGAAAGCAGATGCATCAAAATCCCAAGAAGTAGAGGAAGACGTTAGTGCGTGGGGCCTTGATGATGACGAGACTCAAGATGAGCCCAACCCAGAGGCAGCTGTATCCACAGAAGATGATGACGCGGATGATGCCTGGGGCTGGGCTGATGAGGATGAAGATGCCCAGAAAGCTGACACTGAGCCTTCTAAACCACATAATACCTCCGCAACGAAAGAAGCAGACGCAAGGAACATAGCCGGGTCTTCGTCGCCTAAGGAAGTTACCCTGAAGGAAGTGTTTACCATTACCGATATTCCAGAGTCGGTTCTCAGGGTGGTTCAGCAGCAAATCACTGATTCAAAGGATATCTCGCAGCCCGCGTAAGTCATGCCTGAAAATTACTACACCTCCGCCTAAGCTAATGGGATATCAGACATGCCAATTCCCGCGTTGCCTCTTCTGGGAATGGTCTCTTGGCTCTTCCGACCCTCATCCTCGCCATGTTCAAAGCTACATCATCGACATTCTACTCGATGAAACTTAGTTCAGGACAGATGTATCTTTACAACGACAGTCTGTACCTTGCAGATGCGATCCGGAGGTTGGTCGAGGAGCATGATCTCTCCAGGCTTCAGTCCGATGTTGAGGCTTTGGAGAAATTCGGAAAGCTTGCTTATAGCAAAGAGATGCAGACCCAGCGCACGATTGTTACCGATCTGCTGGATGGAGCTCAAGGATTTGGACAATGCTCCGAACAACCATTCCAGTCAAACTGTGAGAACTCTGTTAGTGCTACCGTTGACCGAATTCGCGATGTCTATAAGGAATGGCAGCCCATTCTGTCACACTCTGCTCTGCTCCAGTCTGTTGGATCACTCTTGTCTACAGTGATAAACAAGGTTGTCATAGATATCGAGGATCTGGGCGATATCTCAGAGGATCAGTCTCGGCAACTGGTCTCTTTCTGCAACCAAATCTCGAAGCTTGAAGACTTGTTTAGGCCCGAGACTGGTGATGCTGAGGCTTTGCCTGTCACAGCAATCTACGTCCCAAGCTGGCTTCGCTTCCAATATCTGGTCAACATCCTGGAGAGCTCGCTTGCCGACATCAAGTTCCTCTGGATTGAAGGAGAGCTGGGCCTGGAATTCTCCGCCGAGGAGGTGATTGACCTGATTGAGGCATTGTTTGCTGAATCTGACTACCGGCGACGAGCTATCGCGGAGATTCGAAGAGCTCCCAGAGGATAGATGTCAAATGTATAGACAAGCAATTTATTCTTTAGAATCTATCTATATGAATTTATTCACAGAAACTATGTTAGTACTGTATTGCATCTAGTAAACGAGGCCTATCTCCGCGCTCTGCGCAAGTGTGCCGCACGGGTCACCGTATTTTTTCTTCGCCCGTCGAAAATGCGACTGCCACCAGAAAAGATTCCATCTCCAACAACAGCACCAATTAGGACTCGATTTCACCATGAGTGAAGATCAAATCATGTCAGGAGCCTCTGAGGCTGCGCAAAGACAAGTTCGAGTGCAGCTCACCAGTCAGCAGGAGGATATTGCTCTGCCTGAGAGCACCGGCCCAATTCTCGTTCCTACAGGTAAGTTGATGTCGACCAAAAAGTAACAGCCACAGTACTGACTTTCCTTCTGTACAGGTCTTCGCCGTTATGCGCTGTCGACATTGGTAAACAACCTTCTCTCGAGCGAGAAGCCGATCCCATTTGAGTTTTTGATCAACGGAACTTTTCTGCGGACCTCGATTGACGAATATCTGGTCGACAATGGTATCTCTGCTGAGACAACCCTCGAGATTGAATACGTTAGGGCTTTGATCCCTCCCCTGCACATCGCCTCTTTCCAGCACGACGACTGGGTCAGCTCCACTGACGTCCTTTCCACCACTTCACCTGCTGCATCATGGGCATCAGGCGCAACGGTCAAGAAGGGCCAAGAGAGAATTCTTTCCGGAAGTTACGACGGTCTCCTTCGCATCTGGAACATGTCATCCGAGACCATTGCGACATCCCCTGCTGCCACCGAGGGCGGCCACACTGCCTCCATCAAAGCCGCCAAGTTCGTTTCCCCGAACCAGATTGCTTCGGCAGGTCTTGATCGCACGGTCCGATTGTGGAAGTATACCGAGGATGAGGGTGGCTTCGCTGGAAAGATCGCTCCCCAGCTGGAGCTGTACGGTCACAAGTCTGGGATCGAGTCACTAGCTGTACATGCGCAGTCCAACCGCCTGTTGACGGGCTCGTCAGACCACACTGTCGGATTCTGGTCAACCAAGAAGGCCGACGCACCTGCCGCACCAGAGAACTTGCTTCCCTCTAACGCTCGCAACTCGAAGCGCCGCAAGCTGAACTCGTCTGTTAGCACCGCCCAGCGCGGCCCTCTGAATCTGTTGTCGGGACACACAGCACCCGTCTCTGCCGCCATATTTGACGCAAAGGATGCCACAGTTGGTTACTCTGCCTCCTGGGACCACTCTCTGCGCACCTGGGATTTGGTCACTGGCGGTCTAGTTGACACCCGTACCACTTCACACTCGCTTCTCTCGCTCGAGCACCTCCCCGAACTCAACCTCCTGGCTGCAGGTACTGCCGCCCGTCATATTACCCTGATTGATCCTCGCGCATCTGCCACAACTGTGGCAGCTATGACTCTCCGTGGCCACACCAACGCCGTTGTGAGCTTGGCTCGTGACCCCCACAGCACATATGGTCTCATTAGTGGCAGCCACGACGGCACATGTCGCATCTGGGATATCAGGTCTACCAAGACTGACAAGGAAGGTGTTGTTGGTGAGAGTGTCTACTCTATTACGCGGAAGAGCCTCGAGGAGGAGGGCAAGGCCGACAGCAAGCGTGTTGGTGGTGAAGGTGTCAAGGTGTTCAGCGTGTGCTGGGACAAGACGATTGGAATTGTCAGCGCTGGTGAGGACAAGCGGATCCAGATCAACCGCGGAGAGGGTGTCTTGTCTTCAAAGGCATGAAGTTGCACATATGGGCCTGGCGTTTAACACTTGGTTGAGGGCAAAAGTTGAGAATCTACCTAGATACATATTACTTTTTTTACTGTTCCGTCTTCACGTTGATTCTAGCTCGAAACCGGATGTATATCTACTTGCAAAAATACAGTTTCTACGATCCTAAGTATTGTCGAGCATTTCTTTTGTTCACACTAGGTTCATTTCTAGCCTATAATACATCCAGAGAGGTGTGCCATTCACATACAATTCAACCTGGCAAAAACCAAGTGCCAGGTATCAAGAAAACGCCAGTTCCATGCCCCTCACACAAAAGAGCGTGAGACTATTCTAAAAGCACACAAGTGAACGAGCTACCGTCCAATTTATAGCCTCCGCTCCATGCGGTTCAACCGGACAGGAGTTTTGATCTGTTAAAAATCCATTAGCCACAATCCACCTTCAAAGCAAGCCAATAGACAATGCAACGAGAGATAACTCACTTGAGTCCGTGTCCGCTGTCCCCTCACAGGCAAGCCCAGTGCGTGACGTCGGCCGCGGTATGTTCCAGTCTCTTTCAGACGCTTAATATCATTGAGGACCTCTCTGCGCAAGTCATTCTCAATCTTCATTTCCGATAGCACGGCGGTCAAATCAAGGACCTGCTTGTTGGCCAGCTCGCCGACGCGGCAGGTTGGGTGGATGTTGAAGCGGGACAGGAGGCGGGAGGAGCTGTTGTTGCCGATTCCGAAGAATGTCTCGAGGGATTTCTGTTTTGTGCAAGCATTGAATGTTAGTCGAGGCTCCATTGGGTCGAGATCGTGGTGACGCTGCGGGCGCATGAGGGTTGTCTTGCCTTGAGGAGGTTCCGCTCGGGGAAGTTAACGCCCAGGATGAAGACCTGGAGAGATTGTTAGTGAGACATCCATGTGTGCTGTCGATGTCCCCGACTTACCATCTTGACGTATTTTGGCTGGCTGCTGTCTTGACTTTGGGATGGAGTCCGTTTGCTCGTTGCTCTCGAACTTCCGGGAGAAATCATCCGGCATCAATGTTTTTCCGGGGACAATTCGCAAGTCAGGCTGTGTATTTGCATTGCATAATTCTGTATTTAATGTAATAAACTCTATCCCACCAGCTATTTATTAACGGCTGAATTGAAAATTACATGTTTGGAAGTGGAGTTCTCCGCACGCCATTGCAAGCTGGCCTCCTCTACTTCTCCCTTCTTCAGTCCCCCAAAGCAGTGACAATTAGCAATCATGTATTTCCGGAACTTATTCCTGTCTCTTTTTGTCGTCTTCGCTGTCGGCTTCGCGCTGGTCCAGGCTGAGGAGTCCAAGGAGCCCCGTGGCCCCAAGGTCACTAGCAAGGTGATTACTTTACCCTTATGCATTTGACCGGCTCGATGAAACAATCTGACTGGTGGTTTAGGTCTACTTTGACATCCAGCATGGAGAGGAGCCTCTTGGCCGCATTGTGTTCGGCTTGTACGGCAAGACCGTCCCCGAGGTTCGTTAAGCTACATCCCATGAAACTGGCAATTGAGGATTTATCGCTGACGTCGTTCTTGATATAGACCGCTGAGAACTTCCGGTATGGATTGCTGGTTGCGCCAACGCTTTCAATGTTCCTGTTTAAGCTGACCACGCTTTTAGCGCTCTGGCTACCGGCGAGAAGGGCTTTGGTTACCAGGATTCTACCTTCCACCGTGTTATCAAGGACTTCATGATTCAGGGTGGTGACTTCACCAAGGGCGATGGTATGTTATCTCTAACCTGGGCTGAGGCGCATGATGCTAAGTGCATACAGGCACTGGTGGCAAGTCGATCTACGGCAACAAGTTCAAGGATGAGAACTTCAAACTCCGCCACACCAAGAAAGGTCTCCTGAGTAAGCATTATATTCAATCATTTCATCAATCAGTGAATGTTTCGGATATCTGACCGTTCCTAGGCATGGCCAACGCCGGCAAGGACACCAATGGCTCCCAGTTCTTCATCACCACCGCCATCACCTCGTTCGTATCCCGTTATTACTACCCATTATGTGATCCGTGGCTGACAAGTTACTAGTTGGCTCGATGGACGTCACGTCGTCTTCGGAGAGGTCCTTGAGGGCTACGAGATCGTTGACAAGATCCAGAACGTTCCCAAGCTCCCCGGTGACAAGCCCAAGGAAGCTGTCAAGATCGTCAAGAGCGGTGAGCTCCCCGTGGAGCAAGAGACTGAGGACAAAGGTAGCCGTGATGAGCTGTAGATAGGTGACTGTCTGCGCTGTTTCCTCCGCTGCTGGTTGGTGGCTGATGATGCTGGATTTTAAGAAATCGACCAAGAGCCGGTCACCGAGCCGGTCACCGAGGCTCCCGAGATCGTCAAGACATCTTATTCACTTCAGCCGCTGGTGATTTTCTTCGTTCTGGTTGCTATTGTGGGTGTCTGGATTGCCCGCCGGCGCAGCCAGCAGCAACAGCAGGAGAAAGAGCACTATGATGCGTAAGAGTTGAATGTATACTTTCCCCAAATGGGCTGTTGAGTATCTCATGTTACATCTTTCATTAAGTTACAAAAATAACCAGAAGTAGAGGAACTAGAGTTGTTATACTTCTTGCACTCTTAAATGACCAGTCAGCTCCGTTTTCTTAGTCAGACACGCCCGGACCCAACCAACTGGCAAGTAAAAAATAAGAAATTTTTTTCGTGGCGGTCAGTACTTGGTCAGTACCTGGGCGGTACAGCGGTTGTCAGCCAAAACTGAGGTTCCTCATGGGTACCAACGCCTCCCGTTTCGTCTCATTACCTCACAGTACGGTACTGCGACACTCTCCAACTGACGATTTGCCTCCTTCCCACACACTTCAGTTCTCTCTATCCCTTTTTTTCCACTCTCCTCTCTTTTCTTCTAGAGTTCTTTAGATTTGGGAGATTTGCATTTATCAGTTTCTTGATTCCTTGTTTGCCCACTCCATCTTTTTTTTTAGGTGGAACACGCAAACCCCGATCTTTTCACCGTCCTTCTCGCAGTGAAGGTATCTTTGAACGTGATCCTTTTTTTCTGCAAGTATCTTTCTGAGATTGCTTGCGTCCTGTCATCTTCTCGGTGAACCAGAAAAAAAAACTGTTCGCATCTCTTCTTCCCTCTTTGCACTCCACCTTCTGACCTGAGTCCTTGCCACAGACATTTTCAACCGCAAAAATGGCCGACGGTCTGCAGATGGGAAACCTTTCCCTCAACGAGTCCCAGCACGCCCCCGCCGGTAACGCTCCTGGCGCTGGCCGTGCCGCCTACATTCCTCCACACCTCCGCCAGCGTGGTCCCGGTCCTGCTCCTGCCAACGTGGATCCCGCTGCTGCTCCCGCCGGCGGCTTTGGTGGCCCTCGGTACAGTCTCCCAAATCAAACCCCCATGAATTGTCGCTAATATGAGTGGCTTCTCTAGTGGTCCCCCCGGTGGAAAATGGGCTAATGCTAACGCCCCCGACTTCAGCCCTCGCGGTCCCGCTAATGGTAAATCACCCAACATGCCGAACCCAATCGGTCAACTTCAACCCTTCGATCCCCAAGCTTACGGACATCCAGGATCCTCTTATGGTGGCGGCAACTACAGTGGTGGTGGTGCTCCGCAAGTCCGTGGCTCTGGCGATGGCCAGTGGCGCGACGGCAAGCACATTCCCGGTCCCGCCAACGCCCGCGTGGAGCGTGAGCTGTTCGGTGTTCCCAACGACCCCTCCAAGCAGCAGACTGGTATCAACTTTGCCAACTACGATGACATTCCCGTTGAGGCCTCCGGTAACGACGTCCCCGAGCCCGTTACTCAGTTCACCAACCCCCCTCTGGACGACCACCTGATCTCCAACATTAAGCTCGCCAGCTATGTTATCCCCACCCCTGTCCAGAAGTACTCTGTCCCCATTGTCATGGGTGGCCGTGATCTCATGGCTTGTGCCCAGACCGGTTCCGGAAAGACTGGTGGTTTCCTTTTCCCTATCCTCTCTCAGGCTTTCAAGAACGGTCCCTCCGCTACCCCTACTTCTGCGGGTGGTCAGTACAGCTACGGCCGTCAGCGCAAGGCTTACCCTACTTCCCTCATTCTTGCTCCTACTCGTGAGCTTGTCTCCCAGATCTTCGATGAGGCCCGCAAGTTTGCTTACCGCTCTTGGGTCCGCCCCTGTGTCGTGTACGGTGGTGCCGACATCGGTTCCCAGCTTCGCCAGATTGAGCGTGGCTGCGATCTTCTCGTTGCTACTCCCGGTCGTCTCGTCGATTTGATTGAGCGTGGCCGTATCTCCCTCGCTAACATCAAGTACCTTGTTCTTGACGAGGCTGACCGTATGTTGGACATGGGTTTCGAGCCCCAGATTCGCCGTATCGTTGAGGGTGAGGATATGCCTCTGGTCCAGGACCGCCAGACTCTCATGTTCTCGGCCACCTTCCCCCGCGACATCCAGATGCTTGCTCGCGACTTCCTCAAGGACTACATTTTCTTGTCCGTCGGTCGTGTCGGATCTACCTCTGAGAACATTACCCAGAAGGTCGAGTACGTCGAGGACGCTGACAAGCGCTCCGTCCTCCTGGACATCCTCCACACTCACGGCAGCACTGGTCTGACCCTCATCTTCGTGGAGACTAAGCGTATGGCCGACTCCCTCTCCGACTTCCTCATCAACCAGCGTTTCCCCGCTACCGCCATTCACGGCGACCGCACCCAGCGCGAGCGTGAGCGTGCTCTGGAGCTCTTCCGTAACGGCCGTTGCCCCATCCTGGTTGCCACTGCTGTTGCTGCCCGTGGTCTCGATATCCCCAACGTGACCCACGTCATCAACTACGATCTGCCCACCGACATTGATGACTACGTCCACCGTATCGGTCGTACCGGTCGTGCTGGTAACACCGGTATCGCCACTGCCTTCTTCAACCGTGGCAACCGCGGTGTTGTCCGTGACCTACTCGAGCTCCTCAAGGAGGCCCATCAGGAGGTTCCCTCTTTCCTGGAGAGCATTGCTCGCGAGGGCAGCGGCTTCAGTGGCCGTGGTGGACGCGGTGGTGGCCGTGGCCGTGGCTCCAACGCCACTCGTGACGTGCGTCGCGTTCCCGGTGGTATGGGTATGGGCGGTGGCTTCGGCGGCGGCTCTGGTTACGGCGGTGCTGCCGGTGGTTCTACTCCCTCCTACGGTGGTAGCTATGGCGGTGCTGCTCCCTCCTACGGCGGCGGCGGCGGCTACGGCGGTGGTGGTAGCTACGGCAACCCCTCCGGCTCCTCCGGCCCCTCTTCCTGGTGGTAAATCGGTCGTGGTCTTTTGACGAGGCCGCCGGGTCTGATTGGCTCCATTGCTTTATTTTCTTTTGTCTCTCGTTGACGGATACGATCAGAACGAGTCCCTGAGTATCTCTTTTTTCCTCTCTTGCTATCTCTCAGGGACGGCTTTGTCATGACCGCTACGACTTTCCTATGCTTGTTTTAGAGTCATTTTCTCCATGTTTGCGCATGTTTCTTTAATCCTGTTACCTCTGTTGTGTTCCTTATGCCCATCTTACTTGTTCTATACCAGGCTATAAAAAAGCCTGGTCTAGAGGTGGGGCATTGGCGCAGTCGGATTGCCTGTTGCTTTCGAGCAAACCGTGATCGGCACTGCATGAACATCATAGATCGCGTTGTCTCTTTATCTTTTCCCATGTCCGCTCTCGTCAGATACCCCTTATGTTCGAGCGTTCCCAGCAGGGGACACGTTCGAGTGACGCGCGTGCGCCGAGCGGAGAATGCCGGCTTTTCACCCTCTCGAAAAGTTCTCTCTTTCTCTTTGCATCCTTCTCGGTGTTTGTTATGGCTGCATTATGTGCAGCATAGACTTTTTACAGCGTCGGTATCTCATGGCGGACATTTCTTTCCAGTTGCTGCCTTCGTGCGTTCTGCGGTTTCCTTTTTCCAAAAAAATATGTTCTTTCTCCGGGCTTCTGCTGGTGGGCGAAACAAAAAAATGGTTTTACTATGCATTCTGTATGGCGTTGGCTTGACCTGCATCCACAATATCCTCTGCTTTCTGGTCCTGGAGGCTGATTGTTTCCGAGTGGGAACACATCACATTATTTCCTTGTCTGTTCTGATCATTTTCTCGGACCTTGGGAGGATGGGACGCTGTCGCCGCCGCTGGATGAATGTGCAGGTTCGGAGGAACCTGAGGCCCTGGGCCATGAGAAGGAATTCTCCAATGCAATTTTGAAAAGTGTTTCCAAATCTGTATGACGTAGCCTAGTGAATTGCAGCCCGTGAAGATCAATTGTGTGTGTAAAGTGTAGATGTAGATGTAGATATATAGAGCTTTGACAGTGCGTGGCAGTACTGCCCAATACGGGTAGATATCACAGCTATACCTTCATGGGCACTCGGCACTGCTTTCTTCCTCGATTTTCCGGAACTTTGACCTCATTTTTCATTTTCCCTTAACCTCACTCTTTTCCACTTCCCCCCTTCTAACCTTTTTTATCCTCACATTGTTGTTTTTGCTGGTACTTCTGCCTTTTTCATCGGCCGCCCTACTAGGGGGCATCTCCACTGCCCCAACCCGCGATTTCTCCGGTTTTCAGTCTGTCGCAAACGTGTCCACCTTTCCCCCATACCCACCGTCCAATATGGCCGACATGGACCAAAGCATGATGGACGAGTCCTTTGCGATGTCCGAGGCTGCGGATGACCAGAGCAACGGCGGCTTAACCGCCAGCGCGACGGTCGGTACAAGACGACAAGCGAATGGCACCATTGGCTCTGTCTACTCGGGCAACAAGATTCGGCACCTCAAGAAAGAAGACGGTATCCCTCTGTGGCGCAAAGATATCCAATACCAGTTTTTGAAACTGGTGTTTGAAGACAAAACACCAGTCTTTACGCGGTACCCCGACGGACAAAAGGGAATGGACTTCGCGGATGTCTACATCGATGCGATGGCCCGGAGCAGCAAGACTAGCAAAATCCTCAAGGATAAGTTGCAGAATGACAAGCCGGCAGCTATCAGTATGGCCATGGTCTGTCTGCTGGTCAACTTCGGTCGCATGAATACCACTCTGAACTGTACGTGGAAGCTCATACATTCTCTGTCTACAATGCTAACAACAATTGCTTTTGTTTTCTAGTCTTCCCCGAAATGCGTGCTCAACTCCGAACCTACCACTCGATTCCTTCATTACAAGCGCACCAGGACTCCAATGCCTACAAGCAGCTGCAAGATGCCCCGCGTCTCAAATCTATCCTCAAGGGCGCCTCTGAGGACGCTGAGCAACCGAACACACTGGATAAGATCAAGCGGCTAAATGTGCCTCGGACAAACCCGGTGAATCTGATATTCGTTCTGGCGCAGTACGCCCCCAAAGTGTCGGAAACACACTTCTTCCCTCCACGAGACTTCTTCGATTTGGTCATGAGGTCTACGCTTAGTAGTCAAAGTCGCGCCAGAGCGTTCCTGTGGTTGATGTGGTGGTATCTGGAGAGTGACTTTAGCCGTGAAGCGGCCCTAAACAATCCGTTTGGTGCTGGTATGGAAGGCGAGGGCTCTGAGGGACTACCTCTCAAGGTGCCAGCCTTTGATATCTTGACCGAGGAGCAGTCGAATGAGGAGAATGTAGATACACCCGAAGAGCAGGAATATGGAGAGTCGAAGAGACTGGAACGCAAGCGTACGTGTGCTTGCCATTGAAACTCGGAGTTGTTGACTGACTCGGTGCAGGCATTCTAGAGGAAGAAGAACCATTACCACGCGTCCCCAAGCGACCCAAGAAAGGTAAGCTCAATCTGAGATAACTGAGACATCTTTCTGGTCTAACTTCCATCCACAGAATTCGGGTTTGACGAAGAATCATTTGCTGGAGACTACTCTGGCTTCGGAGGTCGCGGCTCTGCCATGTCCACCCCTCTCCACCCCTCTGCTAAACGAAGCTTGGACGACGAGGAAGATGATATGACTCCTGGTTACTCTCGTCCGCGCCCCAAACAAGCCAAGCGGGAATCATCACTCAACCGAGCTATGGGCCAGCAGAGGCTCGTTTTGAAGACGAGGATGGATCACACTCCGGATGTTTCTCCTGCGCCTCCGGGCTCCAATCATCCAGTTCTCAACCGTTTCATCGCCGAGCCTTCATTGTCTACAGCGCCTGGACGCCGACCACGCCCATTAACACAACACCAGATTGCTGTGGAACAAAATCGTCGCCAAAGGATCGACTATCTCCTTGCCAAGCGCAGGTCTAATGCATACCGTGTCCTTCGTGCCAAGCGGGAGAGTGAGATTCCTTTCGGCCGCTACGGTCGCTTGCTCCAGAGTCTTCCCGAAGGCTACAATACAGACGATGAAGAAAACTCATGGGGCAAGGGTGGCCTTTTCCCAAACCCAGACGAAGAAGACGACTTTGGAGAATGTGCCAGTGTCTTCCTGTCCGTAGTACGGAAAGCCGCGCGACGACTGGACCGCTGGGATTGCGACGAAGCCAACGGGCCCAAGAAAGATCGCAAGCAGGAACGCGAGGAGAGATACAAGGCCCGAGCAGCCCTGGAGGCTGACGTGCGCAACTCCAACAATCGCTCGCGCCCGCGTGCCTCGCGCCCTAGTGCTGCCGCCAAGCGCAAGTCGGGTGTAACAGCTACCCCTGGCACAGCAAAGAAAGCCCAAGCGTCTCGTGCCAAGGGCCACCCTGGCTACCCCGACGGTCCGGGCGTTGCCTCATCAGCCATGGGCACTCCCAACTGGGACCCGGAACATGGACACGACGACTACATGGAAGGGGAGCTGGACGATCTCGATCGCGAACTGCTCGGTGAAGGATCCGATGGCGATTCAACGGATGACCAGGACGATGATGACGATGACGAGAATTCATCTACGTACGATGGTGCCAACGGCTATGCACGACATGAGGCCTCATCCCCGCCCCCGGGGGGTCTTGGTGATCACCGCGAAGGTGATGGCGACGAAGTGATGGAAGACTAGGTAATTGGGATGGCGTTTGAACTCTGTGTATCATGATCTACATTTTGTGCTTTTCGGCTTAAGGGTCTTGTTTAGGCGTGAATTGACTGTTTCGAATCACTCTGTGTAGGCTAAGCTCGTACTGATATGGCTATAAGACTTTACACAATCTACATTATTAACCCTTATGTGTAGATGCATTCGAAAATGGGCAAACAAAGAGGCTGAAGAGAGCCCAAAGTAGGGCGAAAATAATGTACGGAGCCGTGTACTCGCTTTGAGGCTTTTGTGTAGAGACAGTCCAATACTTCATGGCACTGTATACACATTGATGGGGCCCCCCAGTTGTAAGTGGCGAAATCTCCGAGGCTTCATGCAGTGCATAAGCATCGTGGAGACTTGACATCAGTGGACAACATGTGATATTCCCCTCTTTCTCTATGCCTCTGCAATGTCAGACTCATTATCTTCTCTTCTATACTTCTCCTGCTCATTCTACGCTCGAAGATCAATAGATCAGACCATCGTCATACTGTAGAGCGGGACAGACGTTGTGGATGCTGCAGCAACCAACAGCACAGAGTGGATTCCTAAACAACTATTGAGACCTATCTGTTTCTGTCGCCCCCTGCATCTTCACAATTGACACATTTTTGTTGGGTAGCGTCATCTTCCGCATCCGACCAAACCCCAAATTTGACATCGGACACTTCATTCCCTTCACAACTCCCCGGAGAATCGTCTGACGCCCTCGTACGATTTGCAACGCGTGATACGGAACGGGACTCGGTCGAATTTCGCCGTGCCGACCACTGGAGACACATTTCCACAAGCTCAGCTTTCTTCAACCTCAACAACCCCCCGAACCTAGCCACCATGACAGAACAACCACGCATCCTGCGCCCACGCCCAAGACGGCCCTTCGACCTAGCACCAGCATCAGCCGAATCCTCCGGGCCTCCAACCCCTGCCGAATCGACCAGCACGGAGTACCTAAACCCCAGCAAGGAGTACCTAAACCCCAGCGCAGCGCCAGGGACAGGGCCCAACTCAACAAGCGTCAGCCGCACCGGCTCAATCATGAACCTAACCTCCTCAACCCTGTACGGTATCTACTCGCCCACAGCATTCGACAGCCTGCGCGACGAATCCAGCCCCTGGGGCACGGAAGCCAATTCCCCGGCGTCAGAGTACCCGCCTGAGCCGTCGCAGCTTGCAGCAGAGAAGTCGGCCATTGAACCGCGGCGGCTGGCGCTGCGGCGCACACGCTCGCGGTTGAGTCAGGGGCTGTTCCGGGGCGTGATCTTGCCGCAGGTTTTGAGCAGCGCGCTGCTATTTGGGTTCGGTATTGTTTACGGGGTGATTACGGTGCATCTTCATGAGAATCATTGGATTACCCCTGTGAAGCTGGAGAATGTTCATTACTACGATTCATGGCAGTACCTCGGGATTTGGGGGTTGGCTGGAATTGCGCTGGGCAATTTGCTTCCTTGTTTGGATGGCTGGCGTGAGGGTGAGCTTGAGAAGGCTGATTCCAAGCACGCGAGTAATGAGGAAGAGCGCGACGACCGGACTCCGTCTTGGGTTACTGTTGCTCGGAGTGTTGGTGCTTTTGTTGGGATTGCTTTTGCTATGGTGTGTGCTTATTTTTTTTCCCCCTCTGTTCTTTTCCGTGTGGGACAAAGCTGACATGGCGATTTTTTTTTTCTGCAGCGGAGACTCCCTTGGCAATCCACCACGCAAGCCTCTCTTACTCTCGCCCTCGCCAATCCCGTTCTCTGGTACCTCATTGACCGTACCACGACCGGCTTCGTTCTCTCGACTGCCGTTGGCCTGGCCGGCATGGGAGTGGTTCTCGGCCTCAAGCCAGAGCTGGTACCTGCGTCTACTGGCCCTTCATTAGGTGCTAGCATCCTGAATGGTACTGGGCTGGAGAACGCGCTTGGAGCAGGCATTACGCAGGAGAGCCTTGCGGTCCGCACTTGGGTCGCGAGTGTCATTTTCTGCGCGTGCGTGTGCTTTGGAAACGTCGGCCGTCAGCTGGCCATCGGAGCTGGCAGCAGAGATACCCTGAAGCCATGATAGGCTCAAAAGTACCTGAGTGTACTTCAGCTTGATAACTTGAAGGATTCGCGTCAACGCTATATGAGGGCGTGAAGACTGATACAGAAATAATTTATGCGATAGATATATGTACGTTGTAATAGAAACTGGCTCTGCTCCAACCTGTCTACTCTTAAGACTGTGTATACGTGTAGCATCATAGATGAAAACATAAATAATATAATATTGATATTGAGATTCGCGATGTGGAATCAATCATTGCAATCCCCACTACATGACACAAGGTCAAGCAGGCACTGCACCCAAGATCGACACCTTTAGCCATTTGGCACTCGGTCTCCATTCTCTTTACGATTTCCGTACTTCATCAGACAAGTCCTCGTAGGAACGCTTTTTGGAATGTTATTTTTTGCGTTGTTCATGAAGAAAAAAGAAGAAAAGAGGAAATGCGCCCAGTGGAAAAAAGCTTTTGAATGTTCGAGTCACGTGTCACGCTAGGGAGTTCTGCCGAGAGAGATTGCTGACTGGCTGATATCGAAGGCGGAGGTAGTAATGGCCAATGGTATCTATGGTAATATAACCCGCCCAATACAGCCCCTCCGATTACGGTGTGACCCCGCGGGTCATTTCTCTTTTTTTCCTCTTGTTCGTCATTGCTATATACCCTGTTGTCATTTGGATTCAGGTATGCTCGTTGCTTTTTGGTGCAGATCAATTGCATAATGCAATTGAAATTTGATTGACTGTGCTAACAGATCTAGGTTCGACTCCATCATGTCTCAACAGAAGTCTGGTATGTGACTCTTGGCTTCATAGATCGGGCATTACCCAGACTATGAATTGCTTCCTCCGAACTGGTCAAAGCCAATGCTAACCTCTTCTTTGTTTCGAATAGCTATCATCTCCGTCTATGACAAGACTGGTCTCCTTGACCTGGCCAAGGGCCTCGTCAAGCAGGATGTCCGTCTTCTCGCGTCTGGCGGTACTGCTAAGATGATCCGTGAGGCTGGTTTCCCCGTCGAGTAAGTTGCCTCGTGCAAGTATACTGGAAGCTTAGGGTTATATACAGCTCAGGCGCTGATAAAATGGCAGGGATGTCTCCGCCATCACCCGCGCCCCTGAGATGCTCGGTGGCCGTGTCAAGACCCTCCACCCCGCCGTCCACGGTGGTATCCTCGCCCGTGACATCGAGTCCGACGAGAAGGACCTTGCCGAGCAGAATATTGCCAAGGTTGACTACGTCGTCTGCAACCTGTACCCCTTCAAGGAGACCGTCGCCAAGGTCAACGTCACCATCGACGAGGCCGTCGAGGAGGTCGATATCGGTGGTGTGACTCTGCTCCGCGCTGCGGCCAAGAACCACAAGCGTGTTACCATCCTGTCCGACCCCGCTGACTACCCCGAGTTCCTCAAGGAGCTCGAGGCTGGTGAGATCACCGATGCCAGCCGCAAGCAGTACGCCCTCAAGGCCTTCGAGCAGACTGCCGACTACGACTCCGCCATCTCTGGCTTCTTCCGCAAGGAGTACGCTGGCAACGGCGTGAAGCAGCTCTCTCTGCGTTACGGTACCAACCCCCACCAGAAGCCTGCCTCCGCCTACTCTGTCCAGGGTAACTTGCCCTTCAAGGTCCTCAACGGATCCCCTGGCTACGTTAACCTGCTCGATGCCCTGAACGCCTGGCCTCTGGTCAAGGAGCTCAAGCAGGCTCTCGGCTTCCCCGCCGCTGCTAGCTTCAAGCACGTTTCTCCCGCTGGTGCCGCCATCGGTGTGCCCCTCAACGAGAAGGAGCGCAAGGTGTACATGGTCGACGACATCAAGGGCATCGAATCCTCCGGTCTCGCTCAGGCCTACGCTCGTGCCCGTGGTGCCGACCGCATGTCCAGCTTCGGTGACATCCTCGCCCTCAGCGACATTGTCGACGTGCCCACCGCCAAGATCATCTCCCGCGAGGTTTCCGATGGTGTCATCGCCGCCGGCTACCAACCCGAGGCTTTGGAGATCCTCTCCAAGAAGAAGGGCGGCAAGTACCTCGTCCTCCAGATGGACGAGGACTACACCCCCGCCCCCGAGGAGACCCGCACCCTCTACGGCGTGCAGCTGACCCAGCATCGCAACGACGTCGTCATCTCCCCCAGCAAGACCTTCAACACCGTCATCACCCCCAAGAACAGCGCCGCCCTCCCCGAGGCTGCTCTCCGTGACTTGACCGTCGCCACCATCGCCCTCAAGTACACCCAGTCTAACTCGGTCTGCTACGCCCTGAACGGCCAGGTCATCGGCCTCGGCGCCGGCCAGCAGAGCCGTATCCACTGCACCCGTCTGGCCGGTGACAAGGCTGACAACTGGTGGATGCGCTTCCACGAGCGTGTTATCAACATCAAGTGGAAGCAGGGCACCAAGCGTGCCGACAAGTCCAACGCCATTGACCTGCTCTGCTCAGGCCAGACTCCCCGCAACGACGCTGAGACCGCCGAGTACGTCCGCGTCTTCGAGGAGGTCCCCGCTCCTTTCACCGCTGAGGAGCGTGAGGCCTGGCTCGAGAAGCTCAGCGAGGTTGCCGTCTCGTCCGATGCCTTCGTAAGTTCCTTCACAATTTACCATCATCATGTTTAATCAATACTAACATCAAATTAGTTCCCCTTCATCGACAACGTCTTCCGCGCCGCCCGCTCAGGCGTCAAGTACATTGCCGCCCCTACTGGCAGCCAGAACGACACTCCTGTCTTCGAGACCGCCGAGAAGCTGGGTATCACCTTTGTCGAGCAGGGTATCCGTCTTTTCCACCACTAGTTTGAGTTTCTTCTGCTAGTAGCCATCTTTCGGTCTCTTTCTCTTTCTTCTATTTCTCTTTCTCTCCCTTTTTCTCTCGTCTCCTTTAACACACCTATTTTCTCCCTTCTCGTAAAAAAGTACCACCCTAGTGTGGTTTCCACTGTGATGGATATTCGATATGATGATGATGTCAGCTTTTCCTTGTTTGTGATTTAGAAATATAACATATTTTCTTCGTGTTATTTGTCTGAGGTAATAGTCTCTCTTGAAGGTAAGTTATATAGAACAGGAACATTTTCTTAACCCATGTTTCCTATTCTATTCGCCTTTAGAACTAAGTCTCTGCCCTATAACGTTTATAAAAGCCTTAAACCCTAAGCCCTGATCGTAATTCTGATTCTCACTTCAAGCTGGTTGGACACTGTACTGTCGAATGAAGGTGCTGTCGCAAACATCGCGGATTCGATCTTGCCGTGGAGGAAAAGAAGAAATACAAACTGAAGCTGTTTGGAATAACACCTCAGGGCAGATCCTTTAATCCCGATTAGAGTCGAATCTATCTGGCTGCTATATGGGGGTTCTGCGTCGGTCCTGATCACAGCCCTTTTGACATGATTCGGCCAAGAAAAGAACATAATTGAAGCCAAATGATACGCTGTTAAACACTGACAATGAAAGCGACCCAGCGTTTACGGAGGACATAGGGAAGATCCTATTGTGAGCTTCATTTGCCTGCTAGCTTCGTGCCATCGTGGGAGACACAGCTTCCGTCACAGGACTTGTCGCACATTGATCCCTGGAATATACACCTAATCTGAGCATAAAACAGCTAATATGGAAACTTCTAGAGGAAATGCAGTTGAGCTATCTGATTCCGAGGAACAGATCATGGCCTCATGCTCTTGAAGCTCAACATCCCCTGACTTGACAGCTTACGTCGGGCGCACTGTGTGACGATCAATTTGATCCTCACATATCGCCTTCAACTTTCCATCTCCAGTAGCTGACCAAACTTAGTTGCTGCTCCCCGCACTCTAACTCGATATTGTCACATCGTGCAATTTGCAAAAGAGTCTTCCGTCGGAACTCCGCAGCCAACGGGCGGCCTAATCGGAGCACCGGACCTGAGATAACCAACCCGCTAAGGCAAATCCCGCAGAAATGCCAGAGAACAATATTGAAAAGACAAGATAAGGACATAATAACCGTGCGGAAATTGCCCTCATATCTGCAAGATTCAATTGATCAGGATCTGTTGAGAAATGCCGAGATTAGCCTTTCCAAGGATGCTTAGCCCTAAAGCCGTGCGTTGGCTTGCAGCTTGTCTCGGGCATCGTGCATATTAGCCCGCAGAACACCCAATCAGACTCATCGTGGTGAATTGGTACCTGTCGCTATCTCAGATGGGGAAAGCAGGGTTGCAATCACAACAAGCCCGTTGTTAGTCCCTAGTATTTTAAGGGGCCCATCTCCTCTCCCCTGATGTTGTCGTATATACCCCTTTCTCTTTTTCTCCGAGATGTTGGTACGTCAAGTGTGTCTCGCATTGGCGATTGCTGCCCTTTCGGGTGCTGTTCCTGCGCCAATTAAGCATGTCTTGCATGAAAAGCGAGGCCAGCATGCCGACTGGGTGAAGGGTGATCGCATCAAACGTGACTCTGTTTTGCCTGTGCGAATTGGTCTGACCCAGAATAATTTGGACAAGGGTGATGCCTTACTCATGGCGGTGTAAGTCGTCGGACTTTGTAACTGTCTGCATTCCAATCACTAAGACCTGCATAGCTCCGACCCTACCTCGGCCAAATATGGAAAGTACTGGACCGCAGAGGAGGTGCATGATATGTTTGCCCCTTCCAAGGAAGCTGTCGAATCAGTCCGGAGATGGCTCCAGGCTTCGGGGATTGACGAGTCCCGGGTCGTACACTCGGACAATAAAGGATGGCTGGCTTTCGATGCCCATGCCCACGAAGTGGAAAAGCTGTTCCTGGCTGAATTCTATGAGCATGAGCACGCTGGTACCAATAGTATCAAGATTGGTTGCGATGAGTAAGGCATTATACATTCACTTGACTTTTGGATCTGAATGATTGACGAAAATTAGATACCATGTCCCAGAGCACATTCAAAAGCACATTGACTACATTACCCCTGGAGTCAAGCTCAGCCCGGTCGTCAAGAAGAGCTCAAAGGTGAAGCGTATGTCACACTTGGCTCACTCCAAGGGCAGCGTGGAAGTCAGCGACTCCAAAGGAGCGGCATCGGTCCCTGCCAAGGCGTTGTCACTTGCGAAGAACCTCCAGACTTGCGGATCAGAAATGACTCCTGACTGCATCAGGGCTTTATACCATATTCCAGTGGCCAAGAAGGCAGCCGCGGGCAACTCGCTTGGTCTGTACGAGCAGGGTGACTACTTTGCCAAGTCTGACCTTGATCTGTTCTACAAGGAGTACTCTCCAAATGTGCCACAGGGTACCTATCCTATTCCGGCTTTGATTGATGGGGCGAACTACTCTGTACCTGCATCTAGCTCGCTGAATGGTGGCGAGTCTGACATCGACATTGACATGGCGTAAGTACAGCACACTCGGTTTGATTAATTCTGGTATATTGCTAACCATTCCTAAGATATGCTCTCATCTACCCTCAGACCGTCACCCTCTATCAGGTTGACGACCAGCTCTACGAGCCAGAGGAGGTTGCAACCACTAACCTGTTCAACACTTTCCTCGATGCACTCGACGGCGTATGTGCTGCCCTCCTGCTGAGATGGTTTTTTGCTAACATGACCAGTCATACTGCACATACAGTGCCTACGGCGAGACGGGTAACAACCCAAAAATTGACCCGATCTATCCCAACCCCCGCCCTGGTGGTTACAAAGGTACCTCCCACCGTCCACTTAGCATCTCAAGTACTCACATATCCATTAGGCCAACTCCAATGTGGCGTCTACAAGCCCACAAACGTAATCAGCGCCTCCTACGGCCAAGCCGAAGCCGATCTCCCGATGCCCTACACAAAGCGCCAATGCAACGAGTTCCTGAAGCTCGGCCTACAAGGCCACTCAATTCTCTTTGCGTCTGGCGACTACGGCGTAGCCTCATTCCCTGGCGATGGCTCCACCAACGGCTGCCTGGGCCCCGACTCAAAGATCTTCAACCCGCAATACCCATCCAACTGCCCATACGTCACATCCGTCGGCGGCACAATGCTCTACGCCGACCAAACTTACAAGGACGACGAGAGCGTCATGCACGCCAATCTGGGCGGAAAAGCAGCGAACTTTAGCAGCTCGGGTGGTTTCTCGAATTACTTCCCTCAACCTGATTACCAGAAGGCTACTATCAAGAAATACTTTGAGAAGGCTGGGCTGAAGTACCCCTATTACTCGGAGATGAATGTTGATCTTAATAAGACAACTGGTCTTTATAACCGGATTGGTCGTGCTTATCCTGATGTTGCGGCTAATGGAGCTCTGTTCCCTGCTTATGCTGGTGGCACGAAGCATCATTTCTATGGTGCTAGTTTGTCGTCGCCGTTGTTTGCTTCTGTGTTGAGCTTGGTAAGTCGAGTCTGGAAATTCTCTTTTGTGATGAAGCTAAAGTTTCTTGTTTCTTAGATCAACGAGGAGCGTATTCACAACGGCAAGAGTCCTGTTGGTTTCGTGAACCCCGTGCTTTATGCTCACCCACATGTTCTCAATGATATTACTAACGGTACCAATGTTGGTTGCGGCTCAGATGGCTTCAGTGCTATCGAAGGGTATGTCTATTTCTCTGGTATATGTTTGTGGATGTTGCTGACAGATTGTGTAGATGGGATCCGGCTACTGGGCTGGGTACACCCAACTTCCCCGAGTTAAAGAAGCTGTTCCTCTCTCTGCCTTAGGAAATATAAGTAGCATTTGGTATAAATTTTTGGAGATACGAAGCCATGAGTAGCCGCCAGCTTGGGGGCTCGTTTTACGTCATGACCATCTTACAGCATTGCCTGTTACGATCCCTGTTTATAGTCTTGATAAAAATCAATATTTCTATTCGAGCTTCTGCACATATTATTCTAGAGTAATCCATGTTCCGCATTGTCTAAATGCCAGTTTCATGCCCTAAGTCATAATGTACAGAGTAGGATGAATTAAGCTTTTAAGCTCTGAGCTTAATGCACGCGGTACATGAATTCAGGGCATGCTTGTTGGGACTCTTGCTTTGTGCAGCAGCAGGCTGTATATCATTAATCTGAACCCAGAATAGACACATACAGATACAGCCGCGTTAGAATGGCCTCGGTTAATCAAGAACAATCGCCCATGGAGGGTCATTGAACAGCCTTACCACCCACCCACAACGAAACTACCGCAATAGAAAGCCAACTCAAGGCCATCTAACAAAAGTAATCTGAGAACGCCCATCTTACAACTCCAACTCCAACTCCCACTCCCTCTCCCACTCCCACTCCAACCCAGGCGATGCATCAAGCAAGGCATCCTCCCCCAGAGCACTAACAGCCAGCCATGGGCTACTCAGTAAGAGTCTCCCATCCAGCATCCAAGCAACCCACCAGTCCCATAACCCAATTTAAAGACCACGAGCCTAACCAAAACTAGGCCAACCCCCCACCAAACCCCCCAACCCTAACACCAGACCATCAAGTCTTCATCTCAATCCACCACCGCGGCGAGCTCTCCCTCGACGAAAGCAGGCGCGACCTCGGGTATAGTGCCTACCACTGGGGCGTACTCCTCGCGCCCCGAAGCCCCAAAGGTGCCTGCTGCCACGCCTTTGACGTGACCGATGGCTCATCGCCAGATCGACTGCTGCGAATGGACCATAACCCCAACTTTGAATGGCTGTTTCGTGTGCGCTACTATGTCAACCCGGATCATAGTGGGTCGTTGTTGCTGAGGATCAAGGTTGGGAAGGTCAGAATTGGCAATGGGAATGGGAATGGAAATGGAAATGGGTACGGATCTGGCCATGCATTCGAGAACATTCATGCGATTTTGCGGTCCATTCCGTTGCCGGTTAAGGGTGCTGGGCCGAGTCAGAATTGTGTGGGGTGGATTCGGGCTGCTATTCGGAAATTGCAGGCCAATGGTCTTGCGGAGGACTTTGATGTTGATGCTTTCATGGCTAATGCGCTGACTTTTGTTGATCGGCGCTTGGCTGATGTTGATCGTGTTCCTGATGTTATCAGTCACTTGGGGAAGAGGATTTGATGGAGTAGTTATTGGAGTTGATAGGGTGGCTGTTTTTGTTTTCGTTGGCTTTGATTGATTGAGACTTGTGGATTTTGTTGCAAGATACCCATTGATTTGAACGTTGATAACTTGGGCCTGTGGGAGATGATATCCTCCTTTGTCTCTGTGTTTGTGGTCCTCTGCATAGGGATGCTGATGCTCATACTGTGGAGGTTGGAGTTGAGTCTTGAGCTTGGTATGGAACTTTACATAGAAATGCAACGGCTGAAGTTGTGCCTACGTGTGTGAGAAGACATGGACGTTATTGGTAGTTTTAATGCTTGAGCATAGGCTTGGTCATCATAACTATATTGAACCTGATGTGGTGAACTAAAACCTCGCTGTCACTTCAATATGGAACATTGAAAGTTTTCAAAGCTTCCTTAGCTTTATTCAAGTGCACAACATCCATCAGGGGGCATTCATCAACATGGAGAGATCAAGGCAGGGTGACCCACGGCAGAGGAGCGCCAGGATAACCAGCTCCACGACCACTGGCCAGTCTGTTAATGAGTAGGCCGAACATATTCCAACTCCCGACAGCATGTACACCCCTTTCCGTGCTCCGTGCCTGGACAGAAATGTGGAAAATACAGGCAAAATTGAGCCGGTGCTGTAACATCCCGGACCCAATGGAGACTATACTCTAGACATTTGTCTTGGTTGGAATACCACCATTGCTTTGGCACTCAAGGAAACCAGTTACGGTTCTTGGAGTAATCCCATTTGCATCATGGATCTGTCGGTCTTCTCTGAGGCGGCGCCGCTTGTCCATTCGATTCTTTTGTAGAGAACTTCACTCTCATGTTGTATGATCAGATGCTCATATCACCACCAGCATATCGTCAATTGAATCCCTTCAATGGTCCGTGTTCTCAGTGCCATGGCGTGGACCGCCTGTAGTGTCACATTGACAAGCCAACAGCCTCGATCTGAGTCCGTCATGGCTGTGGATCACTCTTGTGAACATTCTTTGCGGTCAGTTGTCCTCACTGGTTCAATATCATGGGTTTGTGAGGACATGGGGCCACACGCTCGCGGTTCCAGAATGATGTATGCCGAAAACTCAAATAGCAATGACTTGACACGAACCGAGAACGATCATTGTTTTCATTCTACGTGAACGCCACGCAAAAGCGATGTTCAAATCAGATCGAGTATTGACGAACGAGGGGACATTTGCTTGGGTTTCCTGTAGAGAGCATGGTAGAGACACTGAGGCATTTGGGTCTTGGACCAAGGACAAGCTTTGGTTCTTGCGATCTCCATTTCGGCAATAACCTTGTTACCCTGTTTTAGTCCATTCCAAATACTGTCCGGTTTGGGAATGACAAGATCGATAAGAAGAAAATCAGAACGAGATATGACTTCGATTCCCCAAAAGGCGGGGAGATCGACACTTCTTCGTATAGCCAACAGGTTGTGCACCGCCAATTTCGTTCAGTCAAAGAGTACTCCCAAAAGGCTGATATTGAGGCACATTCGTACGTCGATATAGATTTCACTGTCGAGTCATTCGATCACTTTTGGCCTTCATCCCACACACTTGATGCAAGGCTCGATGCTGGCCATACAGGAGTGGATATGAATCACAGACTGTGTCATATAATCCAGTTTATTTTCAGGTGTGACCCCAGGGTGCTATCCCCTGCGCCGATTGCCAAGTAAAGCCTGTCTGGACAGCTTCCAGATCTTCGGCTTCCCAGCCGGGTTTCTTCGGGCAAAGCCAACAGCAAGTGGACGCCAATATGAAATGGGCATGGCACTATGGCAGTCTAGCATAGCGGACGGGTCGATATCAATGGAGAGAGAATACAACCAACCACTCCCACGCATCGGTTCGGACGTAGAGAGCGGTTTCTGTAGGTGGTGGTCGTACTGGATTTGATACTATATCATGAATGAAGAACCTGGTGAAAACCTGTAGTTATATTGGGATGATGATGAATGATCCTCATCTCTCTTGAGAGAAGACTGCATATCTCCTAAGGCATTCGTGACACCTTAGGCCACTAATGTGCTACTGTCACTTTCCACCACTACATACTACCCCCTGATGAATCAGCCGTCCCTTGATTGATCAGTGGCGGGTCTATGTCTCATTCTTAGTCTCATCCTCTTCCTCGTTATCATTGGCCTGGCTAGGGCGGTAGGTCCAGGCGGAGATATCGAAGTGGTCGAAGTGGTCGCAGTGGTCGCAGGTTCCGAAACGGGTAGTGGGGCAGCATTCTATACTAGTTAGACAGTAGTAGAAGTAGTATAGTAGACTTACCTTTAGTCATACCAGCGTCACGGCATGGGACACAAGGAACTGCCTTTCCTAGCTCCTGACGTAGCTGGCGGATCATTTCGGTCACAGCAATCTATCTCGATATGTTAGCTCACTAGTATAGCACTGCTATAGTAATAGTACTCACACCACCATCACGGCTATCTAATAGGATATCTCGAATACATGACCGTCCAACACTCCTCCCAAGTATCATGACTCGCCGGCGCTAGCATTCAGCGAAGGCGGGTCGGTGGGGGGGCCTAGTTCCTTGCGCCTGAAGAAGGAATCCTTACCGAAAGCCCGTTTCTCCACTTCTATCATCTCACAGAAAAGACGAGCATAGGTTTGCTAGGCCTTAGCTCTCCATGGTATGATGTAGTCAGTGGCGGCATGCTCATCTTCTCCGAACAAGGTGTCCAATTCTGTAGAAACAGAAGGTTCTGTCCAACGAGCACGACCAACTAAGCAATCAGAGATCAAACCCTCTCCTTGGAATCGCAGCGCTGCAGGAAAAGCGTATGGCAGACGACCGTACTTGCTGCTAGTGAACCCTGAAGGTGTTCTAGCTGCCTGCACGAGATCTATATGGGCCGCTAAGACTTCTTCCCAAATGCCAGCTTCTGTGGCGTCTAGGGCAGAAGCGGCGGCACCTGAGAAGATGCAAGTCGTGCAACTGCCTTTGGCAATAACCTGTGGATTGTCGTTAACATGCACGGTCATTCGGTGCTGATGAGTTTTCACAAATGAAAACAAGTGAGTGCATTTCAGAGCTCCGAAGCGAAAACCTTGATCAATGGGTTTTTTCGAGGTCAGCTCGACAATGCCTTGCCGTCGTTCATCTCTGGATCTTGGCTTTCTTCTTAACCCTTTAGTCCAGGCCGACCACGGGAAATGTGCTCAGCTTTTCCCTTTCCAAAATATGTGCTCCTTTAGTATGTTTTCTTCGAAGCAGAAAAAGGTAGTCTGTGTCGTGTCCTTCTTTTCGTGGGTAGCCAGATTAACCACTCATCACCCACGCAACATGATCGGAGAATTCATCTCGCGTAATTTTAAACTGCAGCCTATGGCCACTCGTTGAGCCAGTAAACAGGGAATTCCGGATCAGCGGAATCTGGTCATCTCACTCCCAGTGTGTGCCATCGACGCTAGCTCTAGGCAACCAGCAAATGCAGCCGCCTTGCAGGACCCCAAGCGAAGCAACCCATAAAGAATTTCCACCCCAGGACAGATGATATTGGTGGCCGATTGCCGGAATGCGGGGCTAGGTCCGTGGTTGCGGCTCTGTCACAGGTTTTGATGAGAACTGGTCAATATGTAGCCTTTCGTGACTATCTGCACATCTAGAGTTCTTTCGGAAACAAAGCAACCTCCCAGGCCATGTGTTGTCATGTCGGTGATGGCCCCTTTCTGCGAACACTCATAGCCATGATGTTTGGTTGTTTTCAGAATTGATTCCGTGCTCATCACTCTAGTGTGGTATGTGGTATCACAAGCTATATAGTTTCCATGTCAAACAGCGTTGCGGTGGTGTTGAATGGAACAGCGCTTACTTGGTCACGTTTCTCCCGCCGGCCCGGACGAATAAAAGCGGTCGGGAATAGAAACGGATGGAGGGTATTGATCAATTCCAGCGACCCTCAGAGTCTCAGATTGTGTTCCCTTTGTTTCAGGTGGAAGAGCGTAGGAATTTCTGCTCCTCTTATTGCCACGGATAGATAGTTCCGGGACATTTCCATCTTGGTATCGACGTGAGTTAGCTAATGAAATCTGTTGATTGACTAGACTCATGCTCACTGGTGGTCAATCAAGAACCTCAATTCTGTTCGAAGAGACTGGTGGAGGCATTGCTCAAGAGAAGATGAGTAAGGTGAGATATATTTTGATGAGAGATGGGAGATGAAAGAAAGTAAACATAGAATATATATGTATTTGTGATGTGAGGGTAAGGAGGAGAGAGAGGTGTCGTAAGGAGAGAGATATATATATGAAGAATATGAAGAAGAAGAGGAAAAAGAGAAAGAAATATGACACATAAGAAAAAGAATTAACGTTATACAAGAACAAAGAGAAGTATACTGAGAGAAAGAAAGTGACAGAAGTTGCAAAATACAGAATTTGCAAAAGCACCAAATAACATCGAAGCTCAACCCGTTCAACTTCAGATATACTTCACTTCATTCCTAGGCCATCACTTCCCCCAGAACTACATACCACATTCGACTATCATGTGAAGTCACATGACAGGACCACCCCCAGCCCCCAGGTACAAATCTCAAACCTGAGCATCAGCTGCAAGACCAGATACCAAGCATCCGCACCAACCCGTGGAATACCGGCATCAACCTATCGACATGAGCGATGAGCATTGAGGTATGCGCTAGGACCAGCTAGGAGGTCGGAGGCTCAAACGTGAGTCACAAGGACAATAGTGGAGATAACGGACAAGTCCATCCGCACGGATGCCGCAATACCCAGAGAGCGATTAACGGTGATTAAAATTCCCGAGAGCGAGTCACAAGGCGCGTGTCGATCATCCGGACGCAAGTGGACATAGAAGGACATAAGGACATAGCATAAACGAACCCTGTGGAGTTCATAAGCTTGGGAAGTTGTGCGAGCGGAACTCGGAGATGCGAAGTCCGTGTCCGAGTTGATTTTTCATCCGCGGCTCGGGGTTTATGAGTAAGCGGATAGTTGAATTCCATGGGATTATGCAGACTGGCAGAATTAGGATAATGGTTGTTTATTGATGATTAGCAAGATTGGCGAATTCGTCATGACTTCATATAGTAAGGTATTACTCATGTCAACTATAACCAAACACCGAACACCATCCCCAAATCACATCACCAATATACACAAGTTAACTCATGAACTACTAGACCCACTAAAGCTAGTCAATTCTAGGAAAATGCCAATCTCACAACACAAATCCAAACCGCCGACCCATCCCGGCGAACGGTACCAAATAGCCGAACCGCAGAGGCCACATCTTGATGTCATCGATCTGTCAAACTCGGATCTTTCGGCCTCTGGCGGTGATCCACCGATCTCTGCCATGGGGCGCCATTGGGCGTTCATTAATCTAAAGCAGCTCAAGCCATGGCTTTGTGCCCAAGAGATTGTGTTTTCACTATCTCCGTGAATTGAATTGTTCTAGGCTACGGCCTGATCTCGACTTGCCTATTGACCTCATCTATAGTCGATAGTTCTCGTACTGGGCTTTTGTTGATGTTGGTGTCATTAAATACAGGGTCCATGGATTATATTGGGTCGAATAAGATTTCAATGGAACGGTGTGGAATGCTCGAGCCGTTTCTTGCAACAGCATCGTACTCGTTTATGGTAGGGCTGGCATAGGTGGGGATGCACTGAAAAGGGAAAACTCAGCGAGTCCACTCTCCACCTTGGGCCTTGGGCTGCCTGGCTTGGCTCGGTGATATCCGCCTACACGCCGAGCGCCAGGTATGGATGTATTTACACTCTTAGCTAATCCCTGACTTCATCCACCTGGGCATGTATACCGCCAAGATATGGACTGAAAAGCAGGGCAATGTACAGTGACAATTTGTGACATACGCCAAACACGCTATCGCTTAGGTAGCCTCTTCTTTTTCGCATGGTACGTACATATATGCCGGGCGCAAGGGAGATGAAGACGCATTTACATGGACATGGACATTACATTCCACAAGTGAAACATGGGGCCTAACTACTATTGGTCCCCACAGTTGCAAAGACGAAAAGAGTGCCCGAAACACAGGCAAGGAGTGAGGCGGTCATACATGTACATGTACTTGTACAGACGGTAATCTCGATTCCCCAGGCAACGCTTTAACACGTATACGTATAACTCATGATAAGGATATCCTTGTAGTTATAGGCCGACGTATTTCAATTGGGTTGCCTTGAGGCTGCCAATTCTTGGTAGTAGGGATTCTCCACCAGCTGCACAGCCTGCACATAATTCATTCATCTGGGGAATGCTAAATCCTTTGCCAAGACTCGTACTCGTTACAGTATGCGGATAGATTGTGCCGTGCTACCAAGGTCTTGAGCCTCTTTGCTGACATGCCAGGTCATACATGTGCTTTAATCTGCAAGGCGTGTATTTGAAATGCAATATGGTATAGAGTTAAAAAAACACGGGGATTGGAAATCAATGATTGGAAATCGCGACAAGAAAGTCTGTTGGTTTATATCCGTGGTGTATCCGTGGACTTATCGATGGATTACTCAGGTTTGTAAGGGAAATGTTGAATAATCGGGAGAAGGTGCGACCGATGGTCCGTCCCGGGCTACGGCACGGATTGGTCATCCGAGTCCCGGTGACTCACTATGAGAGAACTTGCACACACAGTTACTATGAATTAGAGTATTATCACTGTAGATTGTAGAGTACAGTACATGTGTAGTATGTGCAGTATGTGTAGTATGTATTTTGTCAATGATCTAGACCCTTGCATGTAGCGGTGAGGCTACCAGGTGTGTATCAAAAGCTCGGAATTACATGGAAATACCAGATCGGGAACCTAATTTTTATTTTTTAATTCCGGTGGGTCAGTCATCCGTAAACTCCGTCCAGGTCGGACAAAAAAAATAAGAAAGCCCGATGCCTCAGATATTAAATAAACCTGGATCGCCAGGGTTCTTCTATTTTAATTTATACCTTATAACATTGACTTATAACGTTAACACTGACATCTCTTTTACACACCAACACTAACGTGTATCGGAACATCAAACTTGATCTGTCTCATCCCTAGCTCACACCGCCCCCACTGTGACTGGATGACGCCTAATTGAGTCAAACAAGAGTCATACTGGAAAACATTCAAAACGCAGCCGTGCCCACCATGGCTACTACTTCTTCTACTCTCGCCTCCGCCAGCCCCTACTTTGACTCCCTCGCCAAACGCCGCCAACAAAAGAAGATGAGCATCACACAAACATACTACCTCGCTCATACTGCCCGGAAGAAGCTCACCCGTGAAGCTTCTCGGGCAGACCACGATCTCCGCCTGCTAGTCGGCCACGCCAACCTCCTCGACTCCCTTATGTTCGACCTAGCCGATGCAGAGCGCGAACAAGAACGCTGGTTCAACCAAACCGTCAGCGGCGCCACCAAGGCCTCCTCCAACGACCGTCACATCCAATGGGCCTCGGCCTCAACGGTAGCGGAAGAGCCCGAAGATTGGGAAGAGGACACCTCCGACCTCGACTCAGACGTCAGCGACAGTGACGACTCAGACTACGATGAATCAGACTTCGTCATCAACACCCCTGTCCGCCGCCGGGCTCCTTCACCCGTGGCTCCCTTCCACGAGGACCTTCTGGAAGAGGACGACGCCGACGACACAGACTCAGACTTTGAATACGACGACGCAGAGGACCTGGACGAGCTCAGCTTGACCCGGTCGCCGTCTCGCCAGTCTCCACCCGAGCTCCTCGCTGACTCGGATGGTGAGTCCGAGGACGAGGCTACACCGCCATCCCCGCCTCAGCCTGCGCTTGAATCCTTCAATGAGAAGGAACCCGCTACCACGGCCATTGCGCTGGCGGGTTCCGAGCAGGCTCATCTTTTTGAACAAGGGTATTTCGGTGCACAAGAGCAGAGTACCATTATCGAGGCTTACTAGACACTTGATTTGTCTATTTGCCTTCTTTTTGATAACTCCATTTTACGATTCTTGCTCTTGTGTACTATACAGCGATGATACCCGATCTTCTTATTTATTATTCCACCTCTCACATCTTCATTTTCAACGGCGTTTTTTGGTCGGTCGCTTGGAGCGCACCTGTTGCACAATTTGAACTACTGCATACCCCTCTCATCTCTGCGCTATCTGTGATAGCGGCCCAACAGCTCTCCCTGCGTGGTCGAGACTGCATTGGAACATTCAATTTTGATCCCAACCGGGACTGGAATGTATATACAGACAAGACACATGTCTTCTAACGAAACAAAATATATAATAAAAATATTAAACAAACCAAACCATCTTCTCCAGTAACAGTAAGAGTAACAATACCTTGTCAATTTCTATCTACATCTACAGCACGTCACATCTCATCTCATCTCCCCTATCAATCCCGGCAGATTAACCCATGTGACCCGTCGATCCTTGTAAGTCAGCGCCCCGAGCGCGGATAACGACCAAGTAGATCACCGCCAACCCAGCACGCCATACGCCGTCCTTCACCGCTGGTGGATACGTCAGAGAGATCAGAGAGATTTGCGCGACTAGGTTAGCATGCTAAACAGGTAGTGTTAAGACTAATTTATAACTAGCTATATTGTAGTAGTGATAGTGGCTATAGTGTCGTGAAGGGTTTTACTAGTGTCGTTGTATTATTAGCTTTTAGCGTTCTTGGTGGGTTTTCAGCAGGCTTGATGGGTTTGATAGGGGTTTTCGGACGCTCCGTTGTGGATTGTGGGCCAGTTTGCAAGGCTTTAAGTTGTAGCTGGTTTGGGACTACGGACAATGAGGCGCTAACTCATTATATGGTACCTAGTCGAGGCTTGACCGCTGAAAAAGAAAAAAGGCGCCATGCTCACTGCGCGAATTCTTCGAGTTGATACCTCACAGTAGCTTCCAAAATCGAAGATCCCGTTGGAAACTCACGCCTTACTTCTCGGGGTGTAAAAATCTCTTCTCTAACCAACGTAGTTCTATCGGACAATCAATAATGAATCAACGGGTAATCTGCTAACTGCGAAGGGCACCCCCTTTACGTTTCCTCCAGGCCAGCTAGTTTGACCTGGTGATTGGAAGGACCACTGCCAAGGATCAGCGACCATTGAGCCAGTTTAGGTCGTTGATGCCTGCTAAGCTCGGATCCTCCTATCGCCGCCGATCTCGGTGGTTCATATCCGGAAACCGCATTTATTGCTTTGACGCAAACGAGATGTCAATACAGCCTGGCTGCGAGTCCAGTTTACATATCACATGATCCAGGGTTCCAGCTCAGCGGGACCCTTGAAAAGTTCAACGGGACCCTTGACAATGATGACTAATGATGGGTCCCGCTCAGCTTTTATGTCCCAATTTTATCTATTTATGTTGATTTTTATACAATATTCTAAAGGTTTCGACCCACTTAATTCTATACCCTACTAAAACGTACTATCTCCTAATATATCTCTCTATATATATTGTATATTTGTTGCTTTTGTATCTACTTATAAAGAGGGTGTAAAAGGATTCGATCAAAATAGCCTTCTATATTATAAATTATAAATAAACGAGTAATATTAGGTGATCGAAGGGTGTCGAGATCACATAACCTGGGTGGTCATGTGACCCTGGATGGTCCTGAGAGTAGTTAAATAGTTCTTCCAGGGTCGGAGCTTCTCTCCTTCCCCGTCAGTCTCTCTCAACTAATAAACTACCGTTATTGCTTGATTCTTTTCCCCTGTCAAGAAAGGGTTATACGGATCAACAAAGAAAGTGAGAGATATATAATTTATTAATAATAACAAACCACCACTTCTCTCCTTCTTCACCACCCAAATTTCTTTCCTAGGTATAAACATCTGTTTACAATCCTCTCTAACGCTTTTTTATAGATATTAACTGTATCTAGGACACTAGTATAGCGAACCTAGCACTCCAGCCCGGCCTAGGTCTAACCTAGGACGATTTTACTAACGAGACGGTTTTGACCGCTACCAACCCGGACGGTTTCGCGGGTTACGCACACAGTATGTGGACACAGGACGCGTTGTTTATATATACTAAACATATCTAGGCCCAATCCCAGACAACAACCTAGGTTAGAAGCCCATTGCATACCACACAGCGATTGCAGGTGGTGCACGCAAGTACGATATCAAGGCGGCTGATATCGCGCGGAACCCTCCCCCAAACCCGGCCCTTATCCTCAACAAGGAGAACATTGGCGTGTATATTGATTATACAAGGCAGGATTTGGGACCCGGTGAGGTGCTGGAGCTGAACGAGACCCATCATTAGTCACTATTTTCATGGGTCCCGTTGAACTTTTCAAGGGTCCAGCTGAGCTGGGTGTCCTTCCCTAACTGCGGACGGTTAGGCATATCCAGAAACCGCACTTAGTTAACTGCGGGCAGACCGCGATTTAGCAAACAGGCCAAATAGCTGAGCCCATGATTTACATCTTTTATGCAGACTTTGACACTTGGATAGTAGAGAAGCTGATAAATACGCAATCATAGATCTAAATCCTACATAATACAATCAAGTTATAAGTTCTAATATTTCCTTAACCTGATATATGAAATCTCGCCAGGAACTGCCATGCTAGATTTTGCAATCCAGTGTTTGAATTGATATCAGTCAGCACTTTTATGCGTCTCAGCATAGCCTAATTAGGTTAGTTATTTATTTGCGGTTTCTCTGCGGTTGACTGCGAGCGGCAACCCCTCATCTGGAACGTACTTGCTCGAAATCAAGTCTCCCCCCGCATTGCCAGGATTTCCCTTTGTAATTGGCACGATGAACGTCGATGTTCGGAGAAAGTATGGATGGGGAGATGTCTGACTCAGTCATGAGAGTGCAAGAAGCTGTTACATCTACGCGCTCTCTACAATAAGTGTGTTCGTGAGAATTACGTATAGTCGCTTAGATTGGGATCCGCATGCATCCTGCTACGTTGTCAGTACCCCCAATAACAAGGTTGGTAAACTGTAGGCATACAAGATTGTACGGTGAAATTTGTGTAGTAACGAAAAGCCTTGGGACAATTTCAATGACCCCCTGAAATGTACACCATTTGTTACCGAGTCCTATTCAATCTTCCAATGCCCACACGAGGTGAGAGGTGATTCAAGAACTCTGTTTAGTGTCTTTACAGGTCCGCTCGGAATCAGTTTCACCACTTTATTCTCTTCGGTTCTTCTTAGACCTTGACTAGATCCACTTCAGTCTACATCTGGTCTAGATCATCTCGCTCTGTCGAATAGAAAATGGACGTGAGCAAGTGTCTCTCATAGACTGACCACATTAGGCCTGGCGTCGCTAAAAATAGACATTCGAGAAACGTTCAAAGAGAACAAAATGGTGAAGCTGATTTTGATCCGCCCTGTACATCGTGCTGATGATTATAATCTATTCGCTTTCGCCCATTTGATATACTGCTAAGTTGGATGGAACCTAAATGGATATTGCATGTTGTGAACCTGGGTCCTGGAGGGACTGTCAAGAAGCCATAAGGGAGAAAATTTAGATTGCTAGACAAGAAATTGCTAGGATAAAGAAGAGCAAGCAGAGAACAAATAGAGAAATAGAGAGAGAGAAAGAGAAAAAAGAACGATCTAAGTCCTATGTAATGGAGAGGTTACCTGTCTCTCTGATCGGAAATGGTGATCTCGACGATGATTGTCGAGTCATCTGAGCTCCAGCATGCACAGTGATGAGATAAATTAACTCGGGCAATGTATCTGTATTGACCCATCAGAAACAGCTGAGGAGCACGCCAAGTCAATAGATGCAGCCCACCAAATGCAAGGGCTGGGTTTGACTTTGCCTTCCAACCCTGAATAGAAGAGGGGCAGGGATTTGAACTGATGCAATGTGATACCGATTTACTAGTGTGTCAGGGAGAAGTACACGTGTAGGCAAGGTTTTATACCTACAAGACCTGCGTGATTCAAAACCTCCCCTCTCCCCTCGAACTCGTACTTATATATCAAATAAGCGATGTCTTCATCTCTACGCCAGAACGTCATCATTGTCGGAGCTGCTGGCAACCTGGGTCCCCATCTGGTCTCAATTTTTGACGCCGACCCTCAATTTCATGTTTCTATCCTGAGTCGCACTTCATCCGACTGCAGTCAATTCCCACCACACATTCCAGTCCACCGCGTCGACGACTACAACACAAACGAATCTAAGCTTGTTGAAATACTCAGGGGCCAGGATGTAATCATCAGTGCTATCGCTGCCCAAGCCGTGCTGCATCAGAAAGCGATCATCGACGCCGCCCTCAAGGCCGGCGTGAAACATTTCGTCCCATCGGAGTATGGTCATGATACACGCAATGAGCAGGCCGCGAGATTGCTTCCACCTTTTTTCGTCACACATAAACGACTGGTTGTGGAGTATCTACAAAGCAAGGAGGCTGAAGGATTAAAGTGGACGGCCTTTGTGACTGGGCCTTTTTTCGAGATGCAAGTAATATTCCGGAAACATTGTAATAAGGGATGAAGAGCTTACACCGCACGCTTTCAGCGCACTTCCCCATATCCTGGGATTCAATTTTCAGGAAAGGCGTGCCATGATCTTGAAAGATTATGGTGATCACCATTGGTCCACGACAACTTTCAACACCGTTGCTTTGGCTGTCAAGAATGCTATCTTAGCCACCGAAAAGACTGCCAACAAGTACCTCTTTATCGAGTCTTTCAACGTGTCGCAGAAGGGAATCTTGTCCACACTCGAAACTCTGACAATGACCAAGTGGAATGTCAGTTATCATGATGCCGAAGAGGAGAAAGCACTGGCGTTAGGGAAACTGTCTCAGGGGAACTACAGTGCGCTGCCGACGCTCATGTGGTACGTTACGTGTGTCGAAGGGTATGGCGGGGATTATATGAAACACGAAGAGAGAGCGAATGACTTGCTATCACTGCCAGAGGAAAGTTTGGAAATTGCTTTGGCGAAAATAGTAGTATAGGTCTGAAAGAAAGACAGTCCGAAAGCCGCCAATCACAATTGTGTCGAAATATGGTCGACTGAGCAAATCTATACTTGGACAAGCGCCAGTACAACTCCCACTAACACGTAGAGAAGGCTGCCCAATAGCCAAACAATCCCAGCTCCTATTCCACTCATCTTCAGACCCACGTTGAAGGCATTCGTGAAACAGAGGCTTCCCAATATACTCCCCGCTGTCTGCATCAATTCAATCCCGGAGTATAATCTCGCAGTCTGTTCTCGTTTGACCAGAGCAGTGACAAGAGATCGTGCGACTATAGAAAACCCTGCTCCAGTAGCGTGGAGGCATATGCTTGGAATCAGCAATATGGTCGAGGTAGAGAGGCCAATGCCCAGTGATCCCAAGATGAGAGCAATATCACTCAAGCGTGCGACTTGAAGGTCTCTCCTTGGTAGGGACAGTGAATACAGAACTTTTTTCGAAAGGTATGGCAGTAGAAAAAGGAACACGGGGATCGTTATAGCCATGTGAAGGGAAGTAAGTAGATGAGCTCGTGCTAGAGTCCAAGCGAAGCGTGTCGAGATGTACTGGGTGAGGAATGAGGAGGAGCCCTGCGCCAGCTGCACCGTAGAGAAGGAGAATAGAAGTAGAAGTAGACGGCGATTGAAAAGAAAGAGGTAAGGCTCAATAAAAATTGTAATCCTCTCCAATAGTAAACGATGTATAGGCCCTGGTTTCGAAGATGTTTCGCAAATTGATGATGACTCGTCCGAGCATGGTGGTGCTGATTCCGACGACTTTGGTACCATGTTCATTGTCTCAGGGAGGGAAAGTGCACAGCCTAGCCCAATCATAACAGTCCCACAGCCGAGTAGCAGTGGTATCCAAGGGTTCAGAGTCATCAACCCGGAGCTGATGGCACTTGCAAGAAAGCTCCCAACCTGACTGGCGAGTCCGACTCGGAAGAACAATGTTGCTCGTTGCGCATCTGTTGAGAGATCAGCCAGCATGGACCAGATCACGATCAGTGCTACCATTGGTCCTCCACCTACGATCCAACTGAAAGAGGCAAGCCAGATAGCCCGGAGAGGCAGCGCATCAGAGAACCACAAGACGGAGTTGGTGATTAGTGCGTTGAGTACAAATCCAGGAATAGTGAGGCGGATAGCTCGCCGGCGACCATATCTATCTGCCAGGATTCCATATGGGATGGAGCAGATAGCACCTGTGAGTAATGTTAGCACGAACGGTTTCAAAGGTTGTCTTTACTCCGAAGTTGACGAACATAATAAGCCCTCGAACAGGTCGGAATATCCTTTGACAGTGGCAACTTCTGTCTGCACTGCTGTTATTTTACACAAGTGTTCAGGAAGATGACCTGTCAATGGCAGCCGAGCTGGGTTGTGGCGACGCCAGTATTTATCGCAAGCGATGGTCTCGATCACCCGCACCATAGGACCGGGAATCATCTGGCCACCAATCTCAAAAGATAACAATATCACGATCAATGTGATCAACAGCCGAAGACGAGTGCCTTTCGACCATTCCGAGTCTGAACCTTCGCTATACTCGGATTGATCCGGTGCGAGCGGGTCACTTGTCTGCGTTGGGAGGAACGGGGCATTCTCGCCATCGCGGTGATGACCGAGATCCGGCGACGAGCTAGACATGCTCATGGAGGATCATACGAAGGGATGGGCCGATGAGAATGGAAATTCTTGAAGTGACGAGCTTCCCAGGATGCAAAGCTAGTGTGGGGTTGTCATACACAAAGGGTTCAGATCGGCCTTTGAGTTTGACGATCACAGAAGCCGGAATGGCGGTGATTGTCGTGCATATTCAAATGTGACGGACGAATCATGTCGGCGACGAGACCTCCTTGCTCCCTGCATTAGATATGTGGCGTGGAGCGTTGCTGATTTTCTGCCCGGGTCGATCCGTTCCGAGGCCGTATTTGAGAAGGCAAGATCTACACGTGCACGCTCAGAAGGCACGGATATCAAAAATACGAGAGATGTGAAGGGAGCCATCTCCTGAGATATCTGGAGATGGCTCCGATGACGGTTGAACCAACCAGAAGACCTGACACAAGTCATGAATTGTACTAGGTAGCACTCCCCGGGGCCAGGGCTCTTAGTTAGGTGAACGTTTTCTTTGAAAAGAAACAGCACTGATTCATTGATTTTATTTACTTTGCTCTAGTGTGTTCATACAAGAACGGCCGTCTATCGAATCCCGAGGACCGGACTGAGCTTGGCTGAAGCCTCAGTGTCTAAGATTGTTATCCATTATATTAGAAACCCGAGATAGATAAGGCTGCCTGAACTGAGTTCAATTTGATTACGACCCGAAAGTAAAGCAATATTGGAAATCAAAGTGGGCTAGAGACTGCACAAATTATAGAATGCACACCGATGAACAGGAAAACTAACACTAGCCACAAATCGTACTCAATTCGGGAACTCGTGCAAGATCATCACACACTCTCTGAACGAACAAAAGCAAGGCGCTTAACTCTCTCTCGCAAGGAGCGTGTAGGTTGTTTGATGTTCGCAAAGGCTTCGTGAACGATCCCATCACTATGGCCGTCGATGACAAGGCCATTAGACGCTGGTGGTGGCTTCCTCGTCACGCTTCTCTGGTGCCACGTAATGGGTATAGTAGAAACGCTTCTCAAGGGCCTCGCCAGAATGCTCGGAAGCCTCGTCACGCTTCTCGGGTGCCACGTAATTGGTGTAGTAGAAACGCTTCTCAAGGGCCTCGCCAGACTGCTCGGAAGCCTCGTCACGCTTCTCGGGTGCCACGTAATTGGTGTAGTAGAAACGCTTCTCAAGGGCCTCGCCAGACTGCTCGGAAGCCCCATCGCGCTTCTCGGGTGCCACGTAATGGGTATAGTAGAAACGCTTCTCAAGGGCCTCGCCAGACTGCTCGGAAGCCTCATCGCGCTTCTCGGGTGCTTCGTAATTGGTATAGTAGAAACGCTTCTCAAGGGCCTCGCCAGACTGCTCGGAAGCCTCATCGCGCTTCTCGGGTGCTTCGTAATTGGTATAGTAGAAACGCTTCTCAAGGGCCTCGCCAGACTGCTCGGAAGCCTCATCGCGCTTCTCGGGTGCCACGTAATGGGTATAGTAGAAACGCTTCTCAAGGGCCTGAGAAGCGGACTCTAGCTGGTCATTGTTGGAGACAGGAAGTCCTAGGGTGGGCCCTATGGCTCCGAGGAAAGCAACAAGATAAGAGACGTGCATCTTGAGTCGAAAGAGATTCTTGAAAGAGTAGAAAATTGTTGACGAGGTGATTCCAAAAGATGAGAGTTGTATTCCTCAGTAGAGCTAGGGCATTTTATAAGTAATCAACTGTCCGCAATCCCATCATCTGTTCGTCTCCTAGACATCCAAAACCACCACGGTCTCTGCTACTGTAGATCATGCTAATAGCGGTCATATACTCAAGCCTGTATTACATAGTTCATGCACCTAGGTTGGCCATTATCCTGGCTACGTTTGAGCATTCCAGTGGCGCCCAGCTGCTTGAGGATGTGGCCGACTCATCACATGAAATGAGTGTCCTGGCTGGCAGATATCATGCTAGTGGTGGTCAGCTGCTTGACACTATACCCAATGGTTACTTGTGAATTATCTCTATCACACTATCTTCCTTCAGGTGGCAAGCTGGACACCCCGCTTTGTTGATACTACAAGACGCAAGTACCGCATATGCACGATCATATCGCATATGCATGCTCATGCATCTTCATTCTTCGATTATGGCGAATGTGATCAGGCTGTATGCCCCTGATATCGTATTTGAATGTCGTGATCGAGTGAATAGGTGTCCATCTGACGAAACGCTACGAGCCAATGGATTTATATTTGGTTCTACCGTTTGGCCTCTAAGTGACAAACTCTTCTTCAGGCGTTTTCTGTTATAATGTTGACAACTATGTAATGGAAACTCTGAAGTCGCTCCAAAAGCCTATTGTAGTATTCAAACTGGTTATGCACGCAACAGTAGCAAAGGTCTTGAGTAAAACATATATCCAAAGATTTTACTCAGGAAATTGAGACTAGAATGGTCGGTTTTACCCGCATGCACGCTCAATGTAATGCTAGAACTAGCTATGAGGGTATAATTACCCGTCTACGGTCAAGCCAATAGATTCCAGCTTTTGATCAAACATCTCCGTCAGTTCCCTCACTGGATTTTGGGCAAAACAGGGTCAATGCCAAGAAGTACTTCCCAGTGATCAGCGCTTATCATGAGGTCAACCCACCAATCTGCTCTCAAGAGTAAGCTCACTGGACTTTTCATGTAGGTTTTGAATAGTTTATGCACCAGAGTAGGTTCTCTGCACCTGTTTCAATCAGTTCAGCTCAGCCTATGGCCCCTGCAAGGGGCTCAGAACGCCACAGATCATTTCCGAAATAGTGCTAGGGCTGTTCCTCCTACTATACATTGAAAGCATCTGAATCCAAATCTATAGTAATTCATACGGTACCTTGTACCAGCTTCAGTGGATAGCTGCTTGCCTTAGATCTGATTTAATCTTCCTTTCCACGTCTAACCTTTCACAACACCCCTGTCAAACACAATGGGGTTCTCACAACTTTGGAAACTTTTCCACCGAGAGCCCAAGTTTCATTCACTCAAAACGGAGGCTGAGTATGAAGAAGAGGGTGACATTGAGTCCGAAGAGCTTCTTAGAAAGAGGAGCCTTGCACAAAAGCCGGCTCATTCAACCGCCTGGATCTTCTTGACGATTGCAAACATGGTCATAATGAGCATTACCATCGCTGTGGTGTTCAGTGGTAAGAGAGTTTTCGAGAAGAATGCTAGTCTCAGACCAGTGTCATGGTGGTGTAAGTCTCCATGCATTAATCAAACTACTCCATGATTTTGACAACGGTGATTCACACTGTAGCACCCATCCTCGATGATATACAGATTCCACAATATGAAACAATGCTGAACGGAACACTTTTCCCTTTGCAAGAGGTATCAATTGCCCGTGAGGAACCCAGTGCCGCGAACGACCAAGCTTGGCATCAATATGAGAAGGTCTTGACCCATGTCGTCACCCGCGATCAGATCATAAAGCTAGGCAAAGATCCCGAGACAGTCGCTCGCTTTGATGATGAATACTGGGGCATGGGAGATGATGCCTACATGGTCCAGCTCGATGTGATGCATGTAAGATGTTTCTCGCCCCTCACGCAATTGAGATAGGAACAGGAGTAAACATGATAGTGACTGACACGAGAGATCCACAGCAAATCCATTGCCTGAACATGCTCCGCAAAGCCGCTTTTGAAGACTATCCGGGCTATGAACCAGACTTGGACGCCAAAGACAAGATGTGGTGGATTCATCTTGGCCATTGCACCGATATATTACTCCAGAACCTCCAATGCAATGCAAATACGGAGGTCTTAACCCTGGATTGGGTGGAAGATCGCCAGGCACCTTGGCCAGACTTCAGTGTGAACCGAAAATGTCGCGACTTTGATGCGCTAGTTGACTGGCAACACAACAATGCTGTTGACGCCGACAAGTTCGATGCAATGTCGGCCCCTAAAAATGCTTTCGTGTGGCCGGCTCCATGGAAGAAGCAGGACTACGAACTTGGTATCAAGTTGGGCGACCATCATCTGCAGGAAGGGGAAGCTCTCAGTGATCCCCACGAACATCACACTCATCCGGCCGCAGGACATTAGTTTTCTAAGTGAAAATGTGATTTGGGTAGAATACTTTTGGTTAGTCTACGATAAGCAAGGGAATGTTCCTATAGGAATGTAGTTTTCAAGCCCGTAAATAATTACTGTCGGTAACCTGAGGCATTGCCTGTGTGTAGATCCTTCTTTGTCTTGCAGATCTAGTTTTCTCCCTCGGCCTCTCTCTCAATGTCAGGCCACGATCAAAATGATGGGTCGTTGCTCTCATTCAATTGGGAAGGAACGTTGGGCACAAACGCCTATAAGGCTACAGAGATTGAGCGAGTAATACGCCCATTGACTTTGTATTTTATATTGGTAACCTTTATCATGTAAAATAATGCAATATAGTCATGCACGAAATAAGGTGAGCTTACAAAATAGACTAAAATGCCTAACGTATAGGAGTTGATGGATCTTTTCCAACTCTCAAGAGAGCGGAGAGCCCAACAATGCACTATTTGGTGATACAAGGATTGTCATTGTCATGCGTGTGTCGTACAACTACAGATACCACTCTAAAGGAACTTGCCGGGCGTTGTACAGAAATATTGTGTGATCGCCGTTGCATGCAGTAGACTCCACTTATTATTGGCTTGGCGAGCAGCTCAGCTACATGCACGTACATGTAGGTTCATGTTGTGTTAAGTTACCCTCAAGGCATGTACGATGCAGGACAAGCTCCAGCGTCAATGTTCTTCGCGTAGGATGAAGTAGTCGAACAAATCAACACTCACCGCTCCGTAATGATAAGAGGTCAGGAGAAAACAAAGTCAATCTATCGTATTGACGAGACTAGAAATCACCTGGGAAAAGAAAAGAGGAACAGAGAAAGTGTATACTATACGGAGTAGCTGAGTCCTGGACAAACAAGGGGGTCACCTGACCCTCCAACACGTAGCACTCTCACATGTTGCCTTGTACTGTTTACTTCCCAGCAAGTGTCTAATCAGCGCAAGAGACCGAGTTATTGGTCTGGACCGCTTGTTTGGCGATGATTGAACATTTCAGCAAATCCAAATGTCTACCGGATAGCGACAAGATATTCGGTCCACGTGTGGCTATTGATTGTCGAGACTTTGACTTCACATTCTTGTTTGAAGATGCAATTCTGATACTTCTACCTGCTTTGATATTCTTACTGCTCATCCCGGTTCGGATTCGACAAGTTATCCAACACCCGGTCCAGCGGCTCTTCCATAGGTTGGGAGTCTGCAAGATTGTGAGCATCAACCACAAGGCAGCATTCCAATTGCTGATACCCCGTCGCTAGGTGTTTTTGGTTACCTTGTGCATTTTACAAATCGTGTATACTATTTTCGGAAATCGGAATGAACTGTTGCACACCTCAATATCCACCGCTGCAGGAGTCACCAGTACAATCGCCATAGCTGGAGCTGCGCTGGTGTCGTTTCTAGACGCGCAACGCTCCATCAAACCTTCTTCGCTTCTTGAACTTTACTATGCCGCTCTTGTGATTACCTATCTTCCGCGATTACGTTCACTCTGGCTTAGTCCCAGTCCTGACTTTGACTTTCTACGAAATCTGTGGACAGCAAGCTACATTCTGACTGTCTTGCTTGCCATTCTGGAATCATGTGGAGGGCAAATTCACTTCTCTGGGTCGCTAGAGTCAAAAGGCCCCAGGGAAGAAATCCTTGGATTCTGGGCCCGAAGTCTCTTTGTCTGGATCTTGCCTACTTTGAGACGGGGTTACTCCAACACACTTGACGTTCCAGGTCTCCCCCAACTAGACCCTTCTCTCGGAGGCGAAAAAGCTCACATTCACCTTCAAAAGGCTTGGAGTGATTGCAGACTCCGCTATCGACTTTTGAAAGCCATATTCGTTGCCTATGCTCGGGATATCCTCATATGTATCCCGCCACGTTTAGTTCTCGGTGGCTTTACATTCTGCCAACCGTTTCTCATACAGGCCGCTATTAAATTGTCAGAGCAACGGGCTTCGCCACCCATCAAGGATTATGGCAGAGCGCTTGTGGGAGCGTTCGTGTTGGTATATCTCGGGATGGCTGCAAGTTCTGCCAAAATCCGATTGCCAAAAGATCTGGGCTTTTGCTAATCTGTTGAAATTAGGTATCAAAGGCAGTATACGCACGATTGGTCAATCGTGTCATGGGTATGACACGAGCTGGCCTCATGTCCATGATTTACCATTGCACTTTAAAACTGAACAAGAACAAGCTTGGTGACTCGCAGGCCGTCACGCTGATCGGAACCGATGTGGAGCGCATATGTAACAGCTTACAAGCCTTCCATGAATGCTGGGTCTCTGTCATCGAAGTTACCTTGGCTGTTTATCTTTTGGAGCGACAGGTTGGCCTGACTTGTGTGGTGCCCACAGTTGTCTCTCTAAGTTCGTGCACGATATTAAAACGAGTCGTCACAAATTGCACGCTAACCGGTTTCACAAAATAAATAGTTTGCGTGCTGGGTACTATGCCTATTTCTAAACACATCGTTCCCGCACAGAAGCAATGGGTCGTTCGAGTCCAACGGCGAATAACGACCACTCTAACGATGCTCGCCAACATGAAGTCGATTAAAATGCTTGGACTGACAGGGACTCTCGATACGATAGTTTCCCATCTTCGAGAAGTGGAGTTGAAGACATCGGAGGTCTTCCGAAAGCTGCTGATATGCACTGTCACACTTTGTAAGTCCACACCACCGAGCAAGATATAAGACGATTTTAACAGTTGGGGGAGTATAGCAAACCTGCCGGCAGATTTTGCTCCATACGCGACATTCCTGGTATACACAATTGTCTCCGTCAAAACGCATGACAGCTCGCTACTCGTTGCCCGAGCTTTCACATCATTATCTTTAATATCTATCCTGACCAGCCATCTACTTACGTTCATCCAATCTTTGCCCCAGTTTGCGCAATGCTTGGGATGTCTGAGCAGAATTGAAACCTACCTTTGCCAAGTCGATCGAAACCCAGAAGCAGACAATGAGACAACCGAGAAAATTATGAGCCATTTACACCAAGTGGTTTCGCCGAAAGCATTCGATCCTTCAGTTGCACCAGAAGAAACCCAATCTGACAACAGCGTTCTCCTGTCAATGGAAAACGTCGACATTGCTTGGTCGCTGGAGTCTGACTCCATCTTACGGGACCTCAACCTGACCATTACCAAGGGAATCACGGTTATAGTTGGCCCGTCCGGCTCTGGCAAGTCCGCACTTATTGAAAGCATCATGGGTGGCACTGCGGTTCTGAAGGGTGTCATCAACATGCCACTTTGCGCTGTGGGATACTGTGCAGAAACGCCCTGGATCCTTAACGACACTATCAGGCACAATATCATCGGCGTAAAAGGCCAAATTGACCAGAAATGGTATACAAGATGTCTTGAAATGGCTGCGCTCACGCACGATCTCGAAGCATTGCCTGCAGGCGATTTGCACCTGGCGGGTAGCAACGGTAATTCCCTAAGTGGTGGGCAGAAAAAGCGAGTGGTAAGCAGATTGATAGAGAGCTCAAGAGTGAAGTCATCTAACTGTTCTCCGTCACCTAGGCCCTTGCTCGAGCTCTTTATTCCTGGTCACCGCTGCTAATCCTAGATGATGCCTGGAGTGGCTTGGATTCGAAGAATGCAAGACTTGTTGAAGACAGCCTGTTTGGAGTGAATGGCTATTGTCGACAAGCAGGCGTTTCTGTCATACTGACTGCTCATACTGGTATGATTCTCTTTTCTCGAATGGGAGCGTTTCCTCCGTGCAGCCCATGTTAATAATGTTCAGTGCCTCCATTTGCCGAACAGGTGATTGTTCTCCAAGGAGGGACAGTTTTCGACTCGGGATTCTACACGGATGTGATATCGCAAGCCCCGGAACTTGCTAGCAGGCTGCCTTCAGACATGGCTGAGGGCATGGAGCTTATAAGAGATGGCGGTGGGGCGGCGATGAAAAATATACCGCTAACAGCTGACGCTAAGCCCAACCAGCCTGCGTTGGCATGCCGAGCGGTTGACCGAGAAGATATTTCCTGGCGCAGTGGTACCTGGAGCACGCATCGGTACTATATCAGCCGAGCAGGCCGATGGAAAATCGCTTTTTTTCTGTTTTCCTGTCTAGCCAGCGCTCTCTTCGCTAACATTGTTAGTAAGTCAAGTGTTTTTCCTCTGCTGAAGTTGAAGTGAGCTTACATCCTTTAGTGCTTTGGATCCAGTGGTGGTCTGAAGCGAATGCCAAGAGCCCGAATTCAAGACCAGGGTATTATCTAGGAGTTTACACTGTTTTCGTTCTTTTGAACATAGGATTCTACATCGCCAGTTGCCAGTAGGTATTGCCGTTGAACGACTGGATGTCTAACACTGATACCAAACAGTTTACTCATCATCGGGATCATAAACAATACGGCCTCCGCATTGCACTCGGACCTTTTAAACACCACCCTGAACGCCCCATACGGCTTCTTTTCGATGACGGAAAGTGGCACAATAGTCAATCGATTCAGTCAGGACATGGATCTCATTGATATGAAACTCCCAATGTGTGCAATTGGTTTCACTGGAGGTATGTGACCTATTGAATCCCTTCGTCGTCAGCACTGCCTTCCTCTTAACTGCGATCTAACTCCTTATTAGCGGCCTCGCTCTGCCTAATCAAAGCGATACTCCTGTGTGTGGTTGGCAAATACTTTGCTGCCACAATACCTTTCCTCTTACTCGCCATTTGGCTCATCCAGCGGTACTACCTAAGAACATCAAGGCAGGTACGGCTTCTTGATATAGAAGCAAAATCACCCCTCTACACGCATTTCTCCGAAACGATCGCAGGGATCTCTACGATCAAGGCATATCGTTGGCAAAACCGGTTCCAGCAAACATGCGACGAACATATCAACAACGCCCAACGACCGTATTACACGCTCTTGTCAATTCAAGAGTGGCTGGCATGCATTCTCGATCTGGTGGTCGCTGTCATGGCCGTGATTCTAGTATCCATCACCACATTCTTCAGTGAAAAATTTACTCCCGCAGAGATCGGCGTCGGTTTGAATCTGGTTCTCACTTTCAATAGCGCGTTAGCACAGGCCATAACCTCATGGACACAACTCGAGACCTCCATGGGCGCAGTCGACCGCGTGCAGCAATTTCGGGACACAACTCCATCTGAGCACCGTCCATGGGGGAGACCAGCACCTCCACATGACTGGCCGAATCAGGGAGTCATTTTTTTTGATCGAGTCACTGCTTGTCACGGGTTCGCAAGCCTCTTTCCAGCCTCTTTCCAATCCAGGCACGGCGTCTTTTTGGTTGGCAGTACTGACCACATCACCTACAGTTCGAACATGCCCGCCGCCCTAAAAAATGTCAACCTTACGATCAAGTCGAATGAAAAGTTTGCGATCTGCGGTCCATCGGGGAGCGGCAAGACATCCCTGATTCTGACACTGCTTCAAATGATAGATGTCCAATCAGGGAGTATCTCTATCGATGGAATTGACCTGCTGAGCTTACAGCCCGGTGATGTGCGCTCGAGGATCAATGTCATTCCACAAGATCCGTTCTTCTTCCCAGGCACCGTAAGACATAACCTGAGTCCCACCGCAACCACCCCAGATACGATGATCGAGTCCGCCCTGCAAAGAGTCGGCCTCTGGGAGAAAATTTCCCATAATGGCGGCTTGGGAGCAAATCTCCAGCCCACGAGTTGGTCAGCTGGAGAAAAGCAGTTATTGGCACTGGCACGATCGTTGGCATCAGACAGTCAGATTGTCGTTCTGGATGAAGCGACAAGTTCGTAAGTTCTCTCCTTTCCATATTTTCTTATTCGGTGCGTTTGGCTTTGGCCTACTGTAGCTAATAGTTGGGCATATTCAGTGTCGATGCAGCCACCGAAAAGGCGATGCAGGAAGTAATAGATCAGGAGCTTTCCAATCGGACTATCATCACTATTGTACATCGGTTCGGCTATGTCCATCGTTTTGACCGCGTCGCTGTGCTCCAGGGGGGCGAGCTTGTTGAATGCGATACTCCAAAAGCTCTACTTTCCAAGGATTCAATATTCAGAGGTCTCTATACTGCCTCGCTGGAGCAGCCTCCATAATGGGCACCTTCTGTTTAAGTATGAGCATCTCTTTGAGTGTCAAGAAAATCTTCAGGATAATTTACCATCGACGTCGGGAATCTCAGTTTGTCGTGTGACCGTCCCGAGGAGAGCGGCAAGCGGGTGGGCCCGGGGCTCTTATAGCTGCATTGACGAATAACAAGAGGGGGAAAGAAAAACAGTACCAAGAATAACAATTTACAGCATGTTTCTTACATTGCAACTACACGCCTAGAAGTTTGGCGGTGCTAGACGGTTCACCGTTTTCCCGTTCATGATAACCAGACCCTATCTTGGCACTTCGTTGCTTGCGGCTGAGATATACCTTGTCACACGTATGGATTCGTATGACATTTAACTTAATTGTTGTTTCGAATAAAGACTATAGGTTATATTTTCCCCCCTGTCATTATCAGTAGCTTTAATCTGACATCCAGTTTCTCGGAATAGAACGCCTTATCTGTAAGTTGGTGTCAATTGCTAACCTAATAGACATTCAAAAATGTCCGAAGCTCCCTACTTCTCAAAGCCCCCCGTCTAACCATTGTGTCAAGGACATGGCAAATAGAGATGAATTGTCTTTATCTCCGAGCCTGGCGTCGACTTTAAAGGTCCACATACCGCTCTTCAAAAACATTGAAGGAATCTGGAAATCTAGCAATATATCCCCGCGGCCGCTACTAGGTAGGTAGTCAACCTGAGCGCCCGTGGAATCGCGAATGATAAAATGGGCTAACTCATTAATGAGAACAGTTTTTAACGGCATTGTAAGGGACTCTGGTTCTACGTAGCTACCGTCTCGGTAGACAGCAGAGCTGCTCACAGAGAGGGTTGCATCAATAAGGCCCTTATCAGAGTCCTAGTCCCTTCGTTTTGGATTCATATAGATGGCCACGTAGGTAGACAAAAAAGACACGGTCGCTTTAGGATGTCAGGACGTTTAAGGGGGCATATTAAGGAGGGGATCTTACGCAAGAATAGGCGTCGGGGCAATCTCAAGGAACTCGATGTTAAATAGCTGGTCTTCTTTTGGCACGGTATCATATATAGCATCGTTGTGGCCGAAGACCTTGTCTTCTTTGACCATGACGTTCACGCCGATGGGAGGCTTTTGCTGTACGGGTTTGGCGATGCTAAGAACAGCTAGGTGTGGCAACACAAAGAGACAGCTAGCGTGAGATATTCCACTTTCATCATCTATCGGTGTTGTGGATGGGATTGAAGATGAATTTGTGTGAGAGTGGGAAAGTAATCAGGCAGGTGCTGGCGTTATGTCAAGTGACTGCTTACGATGCTCCCAAGGTTGTCAACAATTGAACCATTGGAGGCATCCATACTATAATCACGTGACATCTCGTGATCTAATGGCTTGTATAATAAGCCATTACCTCAGCTAACTAGTTAACTAAGCTTATTGCCTATCGATAAGCGGTCACCGCCCTGACCCCTCGCTGCATCGGGATGCGTCACTGCTACCTCGTGACCAATACCCTATATACCATTCCCCAACCAAAACATGACCGGGCGACCTGTGGAATCTTGAACTACATGCCCGAGATGCTTCGCTAAACCCTACACTCCCACCCTCACCACCCACGGGAGAACAACCAACACACCCTCTCCGGATCATTCGCAGTTACCTCAATCAACATGTCTGCACCAGCTTCCCCCGAACTCTCCTTCGACTCTGATGACCGCCCAGAATCCAGGGATCATACGACAAAAACCACATCTTCCGGCCACACCCGCAATGCCAGTGACAAATCCCGAGACTACAGTCCCCGGCGACGATCGATCCAGTTTAGCGTCGGAGCCGCGGAAGCTCAGCTGCCGGCTCGGAAGTCGAGTTTAAGGGAAAAGCGACTGTCTTATGGTGATACCCCGACTAGGGAGAGGGAGTTGGAAGAGAAGGACAGGGAATGCAAGGCCGCTCTTGCAAATCGCGGGCCGTCCCCGCCTCCGCCAAAGTATGTGTTTTCCAACCACATTCTCTAAATTACGCATACTGATCCACGGCAGGACATACGAGCGAGGCGTTTCGTTTGATACTTTTGATAATTTCGACGCGACCGACTTCTCCCTTACCTTGAACTACAAACACAAAGGCTACCAGAGCACGCGACGCAGCAGGACGTTTTTGTGTGGAACGGACCAGAATGATTACTCAGAGTTTGCGCTCGAATGGCTTATCGACGAGCTAGTGGATGATGGAGATGAGATTGTTTGTCTCCGGGCCGTGGAGAAAGATTCGCGCATAGCCAGTGACGTCGGCATCGAAGAGGGCAAATACCGACAGGAAGCAGAGAAGCTGTTTGAGCAGGTTATCCAGAAGAACAGCCAGGATGAGAAGGCCATCAGTCTGGTGCTGGAGCTTGCAGTCGGCAAGGTCGAAAGCATAATTCAGCGCATGGTAAGCTCCCCGAGAAGCTTGTTGAAACCTCAATCTGACGTGCTCTTTCCTAGATTCGCATATATGAACCTGCAATGCTCGTTGTTGGCACGCGCGGCCGCAATTTGAAAGGAGTGCACAGTCTCCTACCCGGTTCAGTCTCAAAATACTGTCTTCAACAATCGCCCATCCCCGTTATCGTCGTGCGTCCATCTCCGAAGCGCCAAAAGAAGAAACTCAAGCGCCGGGCAGACCCGACTCGCCGGAGTTATAACCATATCCTTGAATTGAGCGAGCAGCGCGGCAGTCGCATTTTTGACGCTAGCTCTAGCACCGAAAGCAGTACCTCGAAATTACCAGGCGAGGAGGCTGCCGTCGCCGAGGCTCTGGGTCTCCCCGCCTCTTACTCAAATGCGAATTCGCGGAGCTCACTGTCAGTCTCAGACCAGAGTAGTCTCAGCGTTGATGACTCGGACTCAGCTTATCCGGCACGAAATTCACTGGATGCCGTTGTCATGGGGAGTCCGGCAGAGAGCTCCCAGGAGAGCGTTGTTGCTGGTGATGAAGGCGGACAGAGCAACTCTTCTCCAGATGGAGCTGCGGATTTTTCTTTGCCTGTCGAGCAAGACGATTCAAATGATGATTCCTCGGCGGCCGAGACTGCAAAACCCAACGAGGTAGACGAGACCTCTGAGAGCAAGAACCCAGTATCCATTCCTGTCATTGAAGTGTCAAATGACAACGACAGAGACGCCGCGAAGGAATCTTGAAAACATGCATAGCCTGGCCTTTCCTTTATTATCCTTGTCCCCGTTCTGCTTATGCACCGGGAACCCTTTCATATATCACGATGCATACGAAACCCTACACGATAACTTTATGTAGTCTAGGTCTAGGTTTAGGTCTAGTCTATGGTCTGTGGTGGGAGAGATTGCTCTGGCTCTACTCTACTCTACCACCAATACAATGCACTCATTCTTAATGGCTGCCATGGCTGCACACTTTCTGTAATCTACAACTTCACTTACCTCTTTTGTCTCTATCTTCTATCTTTACCTGTCTCCCACGGAGAAAGTAACACAGTAGACATTACGGACGCAAAGAAACATTGTAGAACTGATAAAGGCCGAAGCATCCATTCAATCGCATCGTAGCTTTAGCTTAAGGCTCCGGGTATTGAGAAAGACAAGAGAAGAAAAGGAGAAGAAGAGGGTATGCAAAGAAAGGAGAGGGAAAAAAGAGACAAGGAAGTTCAAATATTGGCAATTCCTTCTCGTCTGATCATCACCACCACCACCACCACCACACCATCATCACATCTCCTATCTGTCCATCCTCACCAAGATATTTCATTTCTCCCCTCCTCAAGCAAAGCAAAGCACCCCCGAGACAATCGACAACCCCATTCAACCGGTCATGGCCATAGAACATGGAAAATCAACAGATATCAATCGACACGGTATAGATATAGAACGTTGTGTGTGCCCATTTGTGCCTACTTTTCAACATTCGACGTTCAGCATCAACATTCGTATTTCATCTTTCCCTCTCCTCTAACCTCCACTCCAGTCTTTTTATCTCGGGCCACTCTGTAAAGCGAAGCGAAGGAGAACAATAGAATAAAAGAGGAGACAAGAAACGAAGAAGGAAAAAAGAAGAGAACAGAGAAGGATAATAAAAAAGATGTCAAGATTGTACACTATGAAGAGGATTCGAATTGGGGGGAAACAGTCATAAGAAGGGGTTTAGTAAAAGAGAAACGATTCCCCGTTCGAAACCGACCAGTCGGGGAAAATGCAAATGGGGGCGACACTGTGTGTGGGAAGAGAGCACAGATTAAAACACAAAGAAGCGCAAGGGTGGATTTGGAAGCAAGATGGAATCACAAGAAAATGAGGAAATCTTTTGAGAAGAACCAAAATAATGGAAACGTTGATCATTACTCCTAAGGAAAACTTTCTATGCTGCGGACTCGCCATCCTTTGACGGGGTTTTTGAGGGGCGACGCTCAGCGGCCGCGGGCTGCGACTTGGTGAGCATGGGAGAGGTGGGGTTTGACGGCGGCGAGGTCGCCATGTTATCCCGGTCTTCGAGAGCGGCGAGAGCGCTAAGAGCTGGATATTAGCATGGGGTTGTTCCATAGGAGTTTGAGGGAAGGGGATAAGTTGCGTACCTGAAAGCGTTCATAGACGCGGTGTCCTTGTCTTCCTTCTTGCCGGCAGGAGGAGTGCCAGTGCGGCTGCTGGCGGCGCTGTCGTCGCTGCCGCGAACCAGATTGCCTCCGGGACCCAGGTTCTTGCGGCCGCTGTTGGTGCGCGAGCCTCCTGCTAGCAGGCTAGACGGACCGAATGACATTGGCTGGTTGGTGTTGCGAGTCGCGCGCAGACGGCGGAGATCATCGCTGCCGACCTTGCTGGAAGCGTAGTCGGGGGGAGGGGCTTGGTTGTTGTAGCTGAAGCCGCGGGCATCACCACGGCCCATTTGCATGCGGCCACCACCTCCACGGTTGCTGTTCTGGCGCTGGCGCTCAGCTTCGGCGGCTTGAGCGGCACGGGCAGCCTGTTTTGGTTAGATGTGGATACTATGGAAATGAAGTAGCGGATACTTACAGCCTCGCGAATCTCTTGAATGGTCTGGGGACCCTTGTCAGCCTCCTTGGAGTTCCAGCGCGCAGCACGGAGATCAATGATATCCTAGAAAGTGAATTAGTTTCTGAACGACACCATAGCTGGGAAGATACTTACCAGTAGCATGAATCTGAGACGGCTGGGCAGGTTAGGAGTCTCAACCATGAGGTTGATGCGAGCAAAGTAAGCATCCATCATGGCTGGGCCCTTCTCGGAAGCATCGAGACTGGCACCAATGGTGCGGAGCAGACTGGTCAAACTCTCAACCTCCGCCTCATCGGGAATACCTTCGTAGTCGACAAGCTTCTTAACACACTCGTGCATAATACGCTCTGTCAACATGCCGAGCTTGTAAAGCTCACCAATGAACTTGACGAGACCAAGACCACGACGCTTGGCGGCAGCGGCCACGTAGTACTCGTCAGACATCATAGCAATCTCCTCAGTAACACCCTCGGGCTTGGGGGGCAGGTTGATCTTCCAACCACGCTCGAACTCCTCTTGACAACGGTTGAGCAGGTACTTGCGGAAGAGACTGCCACCAGCAACGACGTTGCCGGCCTTGTCGCGAATGTTCTCATCCTTGATCTCGGCGCTCATACTCTCGAGCATGCTCTTACAGAACTTGGCGTACATCGGGGCCCAGTGGGCCTCGTCAGTAGCCTTCTCGAAGGTGAGCTGAATGACCTGGCGCAAAGTGCGGCCATCAGACTCGTCCTTGGACTGTGAAACAATTTCGAGGATCTGGCCGGCGATACGATCGAACTTCTCGGGGGTCATCTTGTTGAGAGCAGCCTTGACCTTACGCTGCACAACGTCGGGAGCCAAGTAGCCCTCGCCACCAGGGGCAGGACCAGCAGCAGACTGTCCGACACTGCGAGGCTTCCAACCGGACGCGGAAGTAGTGATGGCCTTGAGGTCCATACCAGCGGTAAGAGGCATGGTCTTGTTCTGTTCGTGTTCACTCTTGCCACCGTGCTTGGGGCCGGCCTTGCTGCCTTGGCGAGGACCCTTGCTGTTGTTGCTACCACGAGGAGGCACACCACTGCCAGTGCGAATGCTTCCGGGGCCGTTGAGGCCAGGACGAGAGCCAGGGAAGGGACCGAAGTTTGATGATCCGCGGCCACCCATTCCGGAGCCGCCCATGGGGGGCATACCACCAGGTCTGGGGACAGTTCCGAAGGTACCCATAGGGAAGTTACCAAGGCCGCCGCGCGAGTTAGCACGGCTACCGCCCATGCTGGGAGTGCGAGCGGACTGAGGCCGGGAAGAGGCATCATTGTCACCGACTGTTTCACGAATGCGCAAGTCCCAGTCGACGGAGATCTTGTCCTTGAAGATAGCCTGGAACTGAATCAAGAAGTCCCGGTCGTAGTGGAAGCGACGGCCAGCGGGAGAAGCAGCATTCAGAGCAGGGTTTGGAGGAGTAATGGATGGAGGGTAGGTAACCTTGCTGAGGTCATCCAGGAACTTGGCGTTCTGCAGAGACTTCATACCAGGGGTGGGCTGCAGGGGCTCAGTGGGCTTTGGGGTATCAAGCTTGAGACCAGCAGGCTTCTTAGCACCGGTAGGCTTAGCCGGGGGACCCATGTCAGAGACAGGGGTGACAGCACCGCTGTCGGCAGGAGTGGATGACTCGGTAGCACCATATCCACCCTTCTTGAGCGATGCGAACGCGTCCTTGTCACCAGATTCGCTTTCTCCCTGGGCGCGAGCGTTTTCACGGGCAATCTCACGAGCCTCGGCCTCAGCCTCAGCCTTCTTCATGTTAGCCTCGTAGTTCTCACGCTCTTCACGCTCCTTGCGCTCAGCTTCGTCCTTCTTGGCCTGCTTGGCACGGTAGTATTCTTCCTCAGCAGCACGCTCCTTGGCCTCGATTTCAGCCATCTCGCGCTCAATAGCATCGAAGTCGATTTCGTCGTCATCGGCGGGAGCGGGAACAGGGGCAGGGGCAGAGGTAGGAGCGGGGGTCTCCTTGGGCTCTTCAGGAGCAGCCTTGTCCTTGATGCTGAGGTCCTCGACGGCGGCGCGAACAGCCTCGGTCTCGTCCTCCTTCTTGGGCTTGGACTCGGCTTCGGTGGTCTTGCGGGCAGCCTCGTCGGCCAGACGCTTCTGATCAGCCTCATCCTGCTGGATCTTCAGACGAACGGCATTCTTCAACTCCTGCTTCTTCTCCTCATCGGTCTTGGCGGCGTTGGCCTTGCTGTCGGAACGGTTGTGCTCAGTGGCGCTGGCAGTTCGCGGGGGAGGAGTAGCTGTGGGAGGGGGAGTGAATTTCACAGGAGAAGGAGTGGCACGTGCGGGGGATGCAGGGTTCTTTTCGAAGGTCTTGACAACACCACTGCCAGGGTCTTTAATGACAATGGGGCTCTTCTTGGCGGGAATAATGAAGTGAGGCTTGGGAGCGGGGCTGTTCGAGGTACGGCTGGCGTTATGGGAGTGGCCAGAAGCAGCGGGACCGGTGGGTGCCGAGTTGTGGCCGCTGAGACTCGATCCTGGACGGTCAGTAGACATAGATGGCTCACGCGAGAGAGCAGGCGCCTGGGGACCCCCAGGGAATTGGGAGCCCATCGGGTTCGGGAACTGTGCTTGAGGGTTGAAGGGCATGCCGGGACGAGGTTGCGGCGATGGGGGCATGTAGAATCCCTGGCTATAGTAAAAGTTGGGGTCGTACGAGCCTGGGTAAGTCTTCATCATTGTTAGAATCTGTTCAAACTGGCCGCTTTCTGGTGCAAGATCCACGGGGAAATCCGGGGTGAAGGGTTTGTTTTGTTTCTTTTTTTGGTGATTGCCACGCCGGGCGGGAGGTTGGGAGGAATTGAAAGCAGAATAAGAAGGGGGTCTCACAGCTTGAGGGCCAATGTGTTGGCCGTAACCGTAGGCGCCGGGAGGCATCTGGCCATGGGCCATGGGGACCTGGTTCATTTGGGGAGTGGTAGGGTTGACGTTGGCCAGGGCAGGGCTGCGGTTGGCTTGGTGCGGTGAGTTGGGATAACCCATAGGGCGACCTTGGTTGGGGCCATGGAACTGAGGGCCCATGTTAGGACCGCCGCGAGGCTGATTGGGAGTCTGGCGGAAACCGGGGTTAGGCGAGTAGGGAATCTGTGGTCCCTGGTAGCCAGACTGGGAGTATCCACGACCGCGGCCGCCTTGGTGGGGATAGCCAGAGCGTCCAGGGGCGTTGCCCATGTTGCTCATATCGCTGTGGGTGGATTGAGACGACTCGCGACGCAGGTGTTGGGGACCGTGAGCGAGGGATGTCTGTCAAAATTGGAAATGTGAGCAAACGGATCGGACCTTAGGTTTAGAAAAGTGGCGCACGTATAATACGCCACATATCATGTGCGAGGTCAGAAAAAAAAATACAGCAATACTTACGTTGGCATCGCCCGATTCTCCAAAGCTACCGAAATTAGGTACGTTTCCTTGCGCCTGGTATGTCGATGGGGGAGGACGGCCTCCGCTGGATGCAGGCTGGGGAATGGGAGATGGCGAAGTCTGAGGAGAGGTCACACGAGGGTTCGCAGAGGGAGCACTCAGGCCAGCCTGGGCCGGGTTGGATGCAGGCACGGCGGGAGCGCCCATGTTGGGGGAGCTCTGCTGGTTTGCGAATCCGAACTGAAGGCTGTTGGGACGACTAGCGGCGCCGTTGGGCATGTATCCGGAGGTACCGGCGGATGAGATGGTCACAGAGGGCTTGCGAGAGTGATCGCCCTGGGAAGCCGGAGCAGTCGGGGCGCCATTGACAATGGTCACGCCCGAAGCCTGTTGGTTTTGCATGGGTTTGCCGTTCACAGGAGAGACGGAAGTCGACTTCCCATGTTGCGCGGAACCGCCCACGGTGGCTGGAGCGGCGGATGAATCCGTCGCGGACTTCTTCGTTGCGTTGGCGTAGGACTTGGGCGCCTGGGTGGACGCAGGGGTTGCGGGCTGGGTCGAAGCGGAGGTCGCGGTGCTCTGTGCTTGTCCCGACTGAGGAGGGTTCGAGGTCATTAGACAGGTGGTGTCCTTAACGCGCGAAGGGAGCGAGGTATTTTCGAGGGAGGAGACGAGGTGATGTCAAGGCGCGGAACGTGACAAGGCCACATCCAAACCTGGAATGTCTGCACACACAGTCAAAGGGATGAAATCGTAAAAAAAATAGGGATGAAAGATCCCAGATGCAATGAAGACCAGGTACGCAGCAAATGAAGCAGCGTTTTGGTCGACAAGGCGGGTAGTTGATGATTTGATTTTTCTCAAATGGGTGGGTGAAGGGAAAAAGTCGTTTCGGTGGAAAAAAAAATTCGGGGTTTGTGGAGGAAAACGAAAGGGTAGAGATCGCGTCTACGAACGAGTCAGGCTCAACTCACCTCAAAGTAACGTTCTTAATCTATGATTCTCGAGAGAATCAATACGTAGTATTGTAGTTAAAAAGTATTGTTGAATTCAGAGAGTCGAGGGGAGGATTCTGGGTATCTAGTTCCGCCACCATGACATCGCCTATACAAAGAGATCAAGTCGCGAGGAAATGACGGAACAATATGACTCAGGGGGAACCTGAATGTGCAGAGCAATACTAGTCTCGAATGTTCAAGGTTCTATTGTACTATTTTGTTCAATACACATACTTAAGACTCCTTTATACGTTCACATTGGTACTTTTGTCCTTATGGTTTCTATTGTGGGATGTGCTTTCAATAGCATTTCGTAACCTCACTTCCATAACATCTTTATAGACTGTTCTATACTCGAATCCCACGGGAGTATTCATACTCATTTAGCGGAGCAGTGAATGGCCAGAACCTGCCACATTTTAAGCATCACGCCCAACCATGTCTTGGCGGCACGTGATCCATACATCTCGACCTCTTTAAGTTGATGCGAGGGACGTGACTCACTGCGTTAATTAGTGCTTATTCTCCGATGAGATCATGAGGCTCATCCTGGCAGCATCATCCAGTGGGCACTGATGATCAGTGTGGTACAGTATCTCTCTACTCTTCATATAGTGCCACATGAGGATATCCATCAAGAATGGAACCATGGTAATAAACAGCTGAAGTATGTCACGGTGGCACTATTCTCTTGTTCATATAATGATAGTTTCAAAACAGACGGCCTGGAGACATATGAATGGTCATTAGCTAGCAACGCTTATTACTCATACGGAAAAGTAGCTCTTGGTAGTAGTATCGAAACAGTCACAGCTCTCTGCGTTTAAAAATACCCCTGGAACTTGTCATCCCCTTCGCATTGCCTCCGTGGCAGAGGCAAGGATAACTAGTATCATGTGACGATCGGTTGATACTAGAGACCAGAAACTTGCAGTCCTCGTTGGGACTAAATTAGGAGGTCTCTGGTTATCTTAGAGAGCAGAAAGTGGAAACCACATTTTGGGCCCGAATATGACGCAGGGGCACAGCAAAATGAATTCAGGCCCGAGAAACCTGGCAATGACATCGATAGGTTAGTCCAGTACAGTAGGACTAAAATGCATGGCGAGTGCAGCTGTCTCATACATTGGAGTACTCTTGAAAAACTCTACAGAAGAGCTATAGCTCAGATGTGTAGGACAACATGGAATCCGGATTCAGATCAAGTTCGATTCAATAACCGATATAGCAAGGTAAGCCATACAGGTCCTCCATTTTCCAGCTCAGCAAAAGCAAAATTTCAGGTTCTATTTTTGGTTTGCGGGGATCTACTCTATCCCTTAGAAAGGGCGAAACATCCCCAGAAGGCACATCAGGATCGATCATAGCCCGTTGCGCGCGAGCGAGCAATCTCGTCGATAGCCCGCGCGGCGAAATCACTACCGGAGGAGCCAGCGGAGTCCTGCTCGTTGCCGAACCAGCCCGATGTCCATCCGCCGCTGGTCTTTCGGGCCGTGCGACTACCCAGGTCCTCGTTTTCGACCACCTCGAAGGAGTTGTCGCTGCGGTTCTTACGTAGCGGCACGCCGTAGGCAAGGTCATCTGTCTCGGGAACATCCAGGTTGATGCTCTGCTCCTCACGGGTCAGGGTTGACCGGAGGTGATCCAACAGCTCGCGCTGCGAGGAAATGAAGTGCGCCTTCTCGGCTCCAGACATGGAAGACATCTGTCGCTGAAGCAGATTGCCGCTGGCGGACAGCTCCTCTTCCCGCGCTTCGCGAGTCTTGCCGGATGTTACCGAGCCCACGGCGGAGCTGAGAACTGAGTACCAGTCATTGTTGGCGGAAGCTCCGGCAGTGGGGATGTTGAAGCGCGACAAGAGGGACTGCGCGTAGGAAGCAGCATTTGGCTGGGGCGGTGTGGATGGACGCTGCGGGGGAAGACCGAGGACCTTCTCTCGGATCACATCGATCGCTTGGTAGAAGTACTGGAGTCCCAGGGCCTTGGCGCGCTCATGGGTGCGGCCGATGATGTCTTCGATCTCCCGCTCGTGGTGTGTCAAGAAGGGGTCCACGTAATCCTGGTATAGCAAGCGAGCCCCTTGCGTCTGGGGGAGAACGAGATAAGACAGGAAACATAGGCGAATCCAACTATAGAATGGGAACCTGGGGGTTATCCATAATCAGCTTGCGATCTCGGGATGGCTTGAAGTGGGGAATGTACCATCCGATGATAAATACTGTCCAGGATTCTGCTAGAAGAATGACGGAGAGCACCACCCAGTACATCAGCCATGGTGCGAGTTGTGAGGGGTCTGAGGTTCGGAGGGCTTTGTAGGAAGCAAAGACGGGGAAGAGGATCGTGATGACCGAGCTAGACGATAGATCTGCGTTAGCTTGCTGTCGGACCCATGTTTTTCGATGTGGACTTTTGAGGCATGCACTCACGACATCAAGTCCGCGAAAATTCCAAACATGGTGGGCGATGTATGAGGAACTGATGTGAGAGAAACTCCAGGAGAGAAATCACAGCTTTAATGGAGAAGCTGCACTATCGTTTTCAGCTCCACTGTCTCAGAGAACAGAGGACACAATAAAAACCGGGACTAGGAGAACAGGCAACAACAAAGACAGCGGCCGGCCGCTGAAAGATGGTGAGAGCCAAGGTGAAAAGCGCAAGAAGTGCAGGTGGAAACATTAAATGGATCACACTATGACGACTGCATGTCAGCTGGATAGACCCGGCACCACACATACATATTCGGCATTTCTTCTAGATCGGTATTTGCATTTGTCCTCCTATCCATGATTTATAAGTTCAACAATCTTTCATATCTATACTTTAATCCCAAAGGCCATCTCGAACTGTTGTGGTCCTAGTCCCCGTTCCCCGCTCTCCAGTCTCATTCTCTCCTCGCATTTGCAACAATGTGCATCGCATTAATCTCAACGGCGCATCCTGCATACTCATTGATTGTGATCAATAACAGAGATGTAATATCCCTTGCTAGAAACCTCGAGCCAAGCTGACTGATCTAGGAATTCCTGCATCGCCCTACGTCATCTCCGGACTGGTGGCCGGAACCCTCCTCGCATGTCCTCGGCTCACGCGACCTAGCCAGATCTACAAATGGAACCTGGATGGGCGTCACAAAGTATGGCAAAATTGCTATACTCACCAACTACCGCGAAGACAAGGCTAGCGAAGCCATCGGAGTCTACAGCCGTGGATTGATCGTCAACAGCTGGCTGACCGGACCAATACACAAGCAAGAAGCCACTCGGGAATTTGTTCGAGCCATCGCCGCCAGCTCCGAAGCCAAGCAAGTGGGTGGATTCAGCCTTGTATGTGGACACATTAACGAGCCGTTGGCTATCGTCTCCAACCGTTCGTCCGGCATGGATCATATCACATGGGTTGCCACAGAGAAGGACCAAACTCGTGGGCTCAGCAATACCAGTGTTGATGATAGGACCTGGCCAAAGATTCTAGATGGAGAGAGACTCATGGAGGCTGCAATTCAGGACCATGTGTCAAATCAAACAGAGGACGAGGATGCTTTGATTGAGCAATTACTACAGGTTCTCAGCACCGATACGTTGCCACGACTTTCACAGGGCGCAACTCTCGATACATATATTCAGCATCTGCGTGAGAGCATCTTCATCCCCGTCATCGGAGACACAAACCAGCGTGAGCAAGCTGCAGACACTCCAGCCAACGGATCTCTGGACCAGAATTATACGTCTGGGATATATGGAACACAGAAGCAGACTGTCCTCCTGGCACGACCAGACGGGCGAGTGCGATACTTTGAAAGGACGCTGTATGACAACGACGCTAAGGCTGTACCACTCGGACAAGGCGATAATTCATTTGAATTTATCATTCAGTAGCACTTAGAACTCAATATGATACCAGAAATGCACTTGGCAATATCCTGCCCCTTCACTTTTCAACTGAGAGCCAATCCTCTGTATAACACAAACACACGTGACATATGTTGCCCGTGACCTGGGTCATCACGTGTGCTGACAAAAAGAGCAAAACGCCCGTACGGCGGTCTGATTCAGTGAAGGCGGTCTAATACTGCCAGAAAAGGGGGGATATAATCCCGTTAAGAGATACTCTTTTCGCCCTACGGGGCATTTGGTCAAATGAAAATATACAGAGAAGATTAGCATGGCCCCTGCACTAAGGATGACACGCTCAATCAAAGAGAAGCTACCAATTTTTTTTTTTCCTTACGAAAGCTTTTTCGAGGTTATACACAACACGATACAGGAAGGCCGCCAGTGTCGAGGGCGCGGCCCGTGTTCGAATTCGACCGTGGCCAATTATTTTGCATATGCTTGCAGCTTTTATGGACTGCTAATCATTTTATGGACGGCTAATCATTTAAAACCGATGGATGGATGCTGGAATAATTGCTACAAACACAACTTTCTTTTTCTTTAATAGACAAGAAAATAAATATCTACCAAGAAGTGTGGTGGCTGTGGGGGTGACCTGCCTGCCTAGCCCTGGAGGTGCTTGTTTATCATCTCGTCCAACTTCGACCTCTCTCTTCCTCTCCGACAAGTCTCACTAGGCTGATGCGTTAATGTTAATGTATCTCAATTTGCCTCTCTTACCTGTTCGAAGAGGAACCTCCGAGTCTCTTTGGGCAAATTATGCCGGAGATCGCAACGGCCATATTAACCGCCCCGTCGTGTTTCACCTTGAGCAATCGCTCATTTACCCAGCGCCTCGATCTCGGCTGTCACCCCAAATCGGTATAGCCGATTCTAGAATGTATCAGATTAATATCGGTTTGATTACTTTTCTTTGACGGTGAGAGTGGTGCAAATTAACGTTCTGGAAACTAACCCTGACTGACTGCAGCCATTCATCTCCACCCCCGTTCCCATCATCGTATTAACGGCCAAGTCAGCATGCCAATTTCCGTTATACTGGATCTATCCTGAGCTAGATTGACCTATGCACTAGTCTAAACCGCTTCTGGCCGTTCGTGCTGGGACCTATGACCCCTGGGTAATGTGAACCATCGTCTTGTTTCTCCGGTGGCGGAGAAACCCTTCCTCATTCGGGTTATTCAGTATGGAGCTCAAGATTAGCCTCGACCGGGATACCGGTCATCACCAAGTCGAGGACCATCTGAGTGGCTGCATTGGAGGCCACAAACGGTGAGCCCACATTCATGCGTGAGATCCTATTAGTCTGCGCTAAGCGCAGTTTGACAACGCCGAGTACACATATGGGACCACAGGGCTATATAACAGACGGCCTCCGGGTTCTTGTCTGATGTTCATCCAAATTCCTCAAGACTGGTTTCTTGACATTCATTCTTTATTTCGCAATTTTACATTCTTTTTCGTCAAACTCGACAGTCATTCCCTTTTACATTCAAAATGAAGTTCACCAACCTTGTTCTGGCTGCCAGCGCCGCAAGTCTGGCCGCTGCCTATCCCCGTGCACGGGATGTTGTTCCTGCAAAGCAAAGTATCAAGAAGCGCAGCTCCGGCTTCACCTGGGTCGGTGTGAGCGAGTCTGGTGCTGAGTTCGGCCAGGGTAATGTCCCCGGTACCCTTGGCTCAGACTATACCTGGCCCGAGACCTCTCAGATCAAGATCCTGAGAGATGCCGGCATGAACATCTTCCGTGTCCCTTTCTTGATGGAGCGTCTTATCCCCTCCAGCATGACCAGCACTCCCGATTCGACTTACCTGGCTGCCTTGAAGACTGTAAGTTATACACGTTTGACGGGTCCGTTTGGTAAAGAGACAAGAGGAAACTCTAACAACTACGATCTATAGACTGTCAAGTTCATCACTGACAGCGGTGCCTATGCGGTCCTTGACCCCCACAACTACGGAAGATAGTGAGTTGCATCAGACTTGAAAGATGCTATATACTGACATTCAATTTCCAGCTCTGGCAGTGTCATTTCATCTACCGACAACTTCAAGGCTTTCTGGAAGACCGTCGCTACCGAGTTCGCTGACAACGAGAAGGTCATCTTCGACACCAGTAAGGAAATTAACTCTTTACAGACTTAGTGAATATACTAACGATCTTCTCGTATAGACAATGAGTACCACGACATGGACCAGACCCTCGTTCTGAACCTGAACCAGGCTGCCATCAACGGTATCCGTGCTGCCGGTGCCACCACACAGTACATCTTCGTCGAGGGTAACGCCTGGACTGGCGCCTGGTCGTGGACCAACAACAACGACAATCTGAGCGGCCTCACCGACCCTCAAGACAAGATCGTTTACGAGATGCACCAGTACCTTGACTCCGATAGCTCCGGTACCTCCGAGACCTGCGTCAGCAGCACTATCGGAAAGGAGCGCATCCAGGCTGCCACCGAGTGGCTGCAGACCAACAAGAAGAAGGGCTTCATCGGTGAGTTCGCCGGTGGCGTGAACAAGGACTGTGAGGCCGCTGTCGAGGGCATGCTCTCCTACATGTCCGAGAACAGCGACGTCTGGATGGGCGCCGAGTGGTGGTCTGCTGGTCCCTGGTGGCACAGCTACATGTACAGCTTGGAGCCTTCTGATGGCCCTGCTTACTCGACCTACCTGCCCATCCTCGAGAAGTACTTCGTATCCTCCGACTCTGGTTCTACCGCTTCTTCTTCTTCTTCTTCTTCTTCTTCTTCCTCCACCAAGACCGCCGCCCAGACCTCCACCACTACCGCCGCTGCCATCGAGGTCACCAACACCCCCAACGGCCAGGTCCAGGTCATCTCCAGCTCTGCTACCCCAGTCGAGTCCGTCTCCGCTCCCCCTACCACCGCTCCCGCTCCCACCACGATCACTTCCATCACCGTTGACCTTCCCGTACCCACCTCCGCCCCTACCACTCTTGTCAGCGTTACCTCCGCCGCCCAGACCACCTCTAGCGCCGCCTCATCCGCTTCTTCCTCTACCAGCGGAGGTGTCGTCAAGCAATACTACCAGTGCGGTGGCATCAACTACAGTGGCGCCACTACCTGCGAGAGCGGCTTCACCTGCGTCAAGCAGAACCCTTACTACCACCAGTGCGTTTAACGGGGATGACTCTTATATGAGCGTATAAGCGTACAGTCTAAAATCGGGGATGGCTTTTCGAATGGCGGCTTGGCAGATCTTCTTCTGGGTTGATCTTTATTTACTTTTATACTTTCTCTTCACTTCTTTTCTTCGATTCTACTATATAAATTCATTTGGACATTCACTTTATATATCATATCTTTAGTTCCCTGTATTCAGACGAACTTATTTAGCCAAGACGCCTCATGGGAACCCGGCGGGTATCTGGTGGGAGGTTGTTTGGGAAATTTGGGGTATAACGTTAGTTAGTGATAGGAAGTAAAACGCAGAGGCTGGAAGCCAAGATGTACCTCGGCCCATTGTGGGTGGGCAATCGCTAGGTGTCTATACTCGGCCATGATCAGGGGGTCATATAATCTGCGTTTAGAAGTTGAGGGAGTAAAGAGATGCAAGGATGCAAGGTTGATTTAAGAGTTCGGGAATGACAACCAGATCTAATCAGATGAAGATTGCGAGGTCGGCATAGCACCACTTTCCTAATCGGGACCACGGGGCGCCAAGAATTCCGTACATGAAACATAGCAAAGACGCGAGTTCAACCAGAGGCAGGGAGGGTCCTTGGCGAACCTGCCGAATTGATATAATGATCCACGGTGCCCTGGTAGGAGGACTGAAGAAGAAAGGACCGATCGCGACTATTCAACCAATGTGGAAAGAGCCAAATAACCACAGGCATTTGCAGTAAACAGCAATTTTGAGTAGAGATCTGACACATGTATACCTCGATAAATACTATGGCAACAAAGAAAAGTCATGGTCATGCGCACCCTGCAAATAATCGTAATCATCATCAACCCACTGCACGGCAGGCACCACACGCCCCCAATCAACCTTCCCCTCCAAACTCCGCGGCAATACAAACTTAAGCTCACTCCGATACCAGCTCGCAAACTGAATAGAAACAAGCATAACTCTCGGATCATCGGTCCGATTGGGCATCCCAGCATGCCACAACCTGAAATCCCGAATCATCAATGAACCCTTCGGCAACCCAGGCTGAATACCAGGACTAGTCCGCCTCCTCTCCTCTAACAAATTGGCCTTGATCTGCTTATGCTCAGTGGTTTGATCCAGCACAGATTGATCTGTGTCAGTATGACTACCCAGCCACACCTCGGTCGCTCCATTCTCAGGCGAGGTCTCGACAAGATTAACATTGACACAGTAGGCGAATGGCATACGCGGCATGTCAAAGTCAATATCGATATGTACTGGCTGTCTCTCTGTTGCTTTGAATGCCGTGTTGGCGCTGTAGAAGCGCATTGTTGGGTGTGGGCCGATCATGCTTTCGATTACGGATGTTGCGAAGGGGTTTGCGATTATATCCTCGAAGACGTAGTCTGGTGAGCAGACGGGCTCCTGTTGAATGTTGCCTGTTCCTTTGCCGAAATTTCTATGGGTCTCTGTGCGTGCGTAGAGGGTTTTTGCTTCGTCGACCATTCGCTCATTGAGCTTGTCTAGATGGGATGGGTTGATTGCGTTCTTGAGGACGACTATTCCATCGCGGTGGAGGGCTTCCAGGCATTTCTGCAGGTTGTGTGATCCGATCTTTCGAGTTACAAGCTCTTCGTCGGTTAACTCGATGAGCTTGATCTGGGGTTCTTGGGAAGCCATGACCTGAGGCTGATGAATCGATAGATAATGTATCTTCCTTCATAATATATGGACACATTTTTATATATATCCAAGCCCCTCTGGTGGTAGGAATGCAACGTTGCTTTCGGGACGACGTAGCACGTTTCCCCTCATCCAGTTACGACCCGACTGTTGAAGTTGCCTGTTTGGGTTAGTGTGGGGGGCATGGCCCAGACGATACAGGAGATCTTGGATATTTTGAGCATCTAGGTACCTTTCATATATGAAATCGCAATTTTTACCAGTATTAGCTGTGTCTTGTGTTACGATACTAGTTAGGCTCCAACAGGCTAATAGAACTTTGATTGATTGATTGATTGATTGATTGATTGATTGATAATGTGAAGGTGTTGTAGCAGACTGCGATGAGTTAGATGATGATTTTTATTTTGATAATATATCATTCGACTCACCATATGAGAAAGCAATGTTGCAAGTTGCCATAAACCCAGTCACGAGGTTGGTCTCAACAAATGGCTTGACAGGGACACCGTTGTCTTGTATGCCGAGGGCGATCATAGTTACCATAACAGCGGAGAGTATACTGATAAGGCTAGTAACCATTAGCTTGGGCAAGCACAAAAATGAAAAACTAACTCTTATATAATAGAGAGTAACTTATAACTTAGGGAGATTTGGTAATCATATACACTAGCAACAGAAATGTCCTACTAAACTAGTAAACATAAACTATAGAAAGGTGGTAGACGAAAGACCTCAAAAATGGCAATCACATTCTCCCCTTATATAAAACTTGAAACCCTGATTCTTTATTGCTAGCTATGAAGCATTGATGCATGCTACATATAGGAATCAAATTGACTGGAGTAAACCGAGTCATGAAACTTCAGGTATGATTCTTGACATCCACTTAAAGGCACGAGTCGGACTTGTTGTCACCACCGTCATGACATCCCTTAGAACATGTGTCTTTCACGTGAATAGACCCGTTGCTGCCGCCGTCGCAGTGGTAGAGGAAGTAATCATAGTTAACCGTCTTAGGATCGGTACCATATTCGTCGATAGCCTTCAGAATCTGCTGGTGGTAGTCGCCTATCTTAGGTTAACATGATTCAAGTAGAATGATTAAGGCATTAAATTTCACCTTTACCCATGAGGGTGAAAGAACAGTAGTCAAGGCCCTCTTGACAATTCTTTGCAACGGCCAGAGAGGCGAAAATGGTAAGGGCTGGGAGAATGAACTTCATATTGAAATTGCTGGTTTGGGTAAAAAACTGGATCTTTCGGGTAATTTGGATGATGAGGAGGCTGCTAGATGATAGAGAATAGCGAAGGGATTACTGCCCTCTTTATACCTTTTTCCGATGCTCTGGCGCAAAGTAGTGATGCGTCTTTTGATAGCTTCGGCACTCGTAATGACAACTATTTTCAGGCCCCCGGTCTGAAGTATGCGAAACCAATGGCAAATGTTTGGGTCTGTGAATTCTGGCCCACATTGATGCCGGATAGCATCATACAACTTGGGGGTTTTGCACTAAACTTGCCTGCGCCCCAATCCAACTAACCCCCTTTGACATCATGTTACTATGTTTGATACCGATGTTGGGTCTAAGAATCCTTATTGATCTGCAAATTGGAGATACAAAATGATCGTCGAAGTGGCGGAGACCCTAGAGCTCCACCAACGACCCAACAAGCTAGGCAGAATTCTTCGCCCCCGGACTTCACAGCCCCTAGGAATGGGTGGATCGATATGAAACCCCGAGCAGAAAGTACGTACGCTCTATGAAAAAAGCAAGATTTGATAAACAGACCCTGGTCGACCCATCCATCAGGCGGGCCGTAAAGGAACGGGTCCGACCGGCCCCCACGACCCTTACACGTAGGGGGCCGCGAAGGAATGCATTGCCCAAAGAAAGACACGAGGGATTCAAGGAAAGAAAGCCGAAGAGAAACTGACGGTCGTCATTTAAGCAGCCCTTCAAGTAAGACCCGTGTATGAATCGATACACACTGGTCGTCCACCTGGTGATATGGATTCCAGTTCAAATCCCATATCGCCTTGATCTTTATATAAACATTCCGAGTCAATGATTCTATTAGGATGGACTCCCTTTTTGTATCCTACATATTACGAGTAAAATACCTTGCGTTAGGACAACACCAGTCGCGCTACAATCGAGATGTTGCGGTCGAGAATCCGCAGAGTACGATATTATAGAAACTCACAGACAAGTGAGAGCCAAGACATCTTCTCAAGAGTTCGAGGCAGAGATAGAATCAAAGACAGAATCAGCCCAACAACATCAAAAACAATCGAGCAAGTAGCATGTCCAGTGATAGTATTGAGAGCCCCAGTAAATGCCAAGATGTGACTTGCCATAAGAAAAATGAGGAAGAGCAGCTGGCCTGTTCAGAACGACTCACGACAAAAATGCCAAGGTGGAGAGTGTTGATATGAACCAATTGGTTCTTTCTATAATTTGTAAACTAAATGCAGGATATGCAGATAATGGACGAATTTCTGTTGCTTTTATGGGGAGACGCAAACCCTATTTTTATAGCTTGATATATTGAATCTTTATGTTATCTATTTAGTATTAATTTACTAGTAAGGAATGAGCCAATTCAATGCTTGTTCTATCATTTCCCAGGCCGATGACCGATATGTTGGGCACACTCTGAGATCACAATTATAGGCGAGGCCGGGCGGAAACTATGAAGATTGGCACCTGTAAATGCCAATGCCAATCTAGTACATGAATGTAGGACTATCTCGAGGATTGAGGCGTAAAGGTTGTACGATATATACATGCTTGACTGCATTGAAACTGTCTCTATTAACACCGGTACATGGCCTCATTCTATCGTGCTATCCACATAATAAATCACATCAGTTTCATAATCTCGTACCCATGTTCACATGAACAGCCTTGACCTGGCTATAAGCCTCAAGACCAGCCTCGCCCAACTCTCGTCCAATACCACTCTGCTTCACACCACCGAATGGAATACGCGGGTCACAGTCCTGGCTACTGTTAATCCACACCATCCCAGACTCAATCTCTGCAGCGACGCGGTGAGCTCGCTCCAGATCGCGGGTGAAGACAGATGCGCCGAGGCCATAGGTGGTATCGTTAGCGCGGCGAATGACTTCTTCCTCGTCATCGAAGGGGAAGATAACCACAACAGGGCCGAAGACTTCTTCTTGGGCAATGCGCATCGAATCAGTGGCATTGACGACAACGGTGGGCTGGACGAAGTATCCATTCGCATTCTTTGCATCTGTAGGCTTATAGGAGGCACCGCCGGTGAGAATTGTGGCGCCCTCGCTCTTGGCAATTTCGAAGTAGGAGAGAATGCGGTCATACTGAGCACGTGTGACTTGGGGGCCTTGGAAGACGGACTCGTCCCACTGGTCACCGATCTTGACACTTCCAACTGCAGCTTTGTAGGCAGCAGTGAAGGTATCGAGGATATCACGGTGAACGAAGATGCGCGATGTGGCTGTGCAAATCTCACCCTTGTTGGACATGATACCGGCGTGCGACCACTTGACTGCTTGGTCCATGTCTGCGTCGGGGAAAACGAGCAGAGGGGACTTGCCACCGGTCTCGAGGGTGATGTTCTTAAGAGTGCCAGCAGCCATCTTCATAATTTCCCGAGCAGTCCCAGTTGATCCTGTGAATGCAACCTTGTCGACCAGTGGGTGCGATGCCAATGATGCGCCGGCTTCACGGCCGTATCCGTTGACGATGTTTACCACACCTGGAGGGAACCCAGCCTTCTTGATTAAGGTACCGAGAATCAGGGCGCTTAGGGGGGTTTGCTCGGCAGGTTTAAGAACAACTGTGTTTCCGCAAGCCAAAGCAGGGCCTAGCTTCCAGGTTGCCATCGACAAGGGGTAGTTCCAGGGGATGATTTGGCCGACAACGCCAATGGGCTGGCGGATTGTATAGGCGAACTTTTGTGGAGTTGTGTTGATGGTTTGGCCAAAAGTCTTATCGGCCCAGCCACTGTAGTAGCGGATTGTGGTAATTGCCTCTGTGAGGTCTTCATCGACAGCGACATGGTATGGTTTTCCTGAGTGGGAGTTAGCAAATTGCCAGGCTTATTCATATAATGCATACCATTATCCCATGCGTCAATAGAAGCCAACAATTCACGGTTTTCCTCCATAAGATCGGCCAATCGGCCCATGAGCTGACCCCGTTCTGTAGCGGGGAGCTGTTTCCACGAGGGGTGAACTAGGGCCGCTTTGGCTGCTTCCACGGCGCGGTTAACATCTGCGGCACTGGCAGCTTGGACAGTAGCAATAGGCTTGTCGGTGCTGGCGAGTCGATTAGTAAGGGGTTACCGTTGATGCATGGTATGACATACGCGGGATCAAGAGAGGTGATGGTTTGTCCTCCCGTTGCAGGGACAATTTCGTTGTTAATGAAGAGTCCAGTGGGCTGCTTGTAGCTGTGCCCATTGGGGGTGACAATATCGACAAAGAGATCCATTTTTACTCAAGGAACTGATCTCAAGGCGCGAAGTGTTTGATATAAGATCATTTGGGTCAGGCTATACCCGTTCTGGCATGTCCTTCCGACAGATCTCCGACTAATTAGGCAAGTGTTTCCTTATATAATCATTTTTATGCACTGACTTAGTTAACCAAGATGGTAGTAACGACAAGGTTGGAAAGGCTATAAAGAACCCTTGACAGTTTCACATTGTTGTTGCCAAATCGAAGGGAGCTTCCAACGTTGCAATAAACGAGAAATTGCCGAGATGTCATCTATGAAATTCTACCTGGGTTGGAAAGCTATATTCTCCTAGTTGACAGATGCGCTACCTGGCCAACGGAATGACTTCTAGTCCTATATCATGTATTAAGATCACAGTTCAATTCATTTGTTTTTGCTGTCTTGAGTAAATAAACGCTTAGTATAGTTCAAAGCGCAGTGATTGGCTCTTCATGATAACAGGCAGTAAGCTATTGATAGCAATTGTTTTGCCTGCCATTGCATACAGACTGATGGATGCTAACAACGGTCATGTGATGACAGGTGACTTACAATGCTCTATAAGGAGAGCCATCAAACAAAGAGATACTAACCTAGGAGGATATCTATAGAGGTTTCCTCGGAGTGGGGCTGTGGGCCCACAGCCGTCGCTTTAGGACCATTTGGTCGCGTCAATCGCGGGTTGTATGGAATTTATCCCAAATTATTGAAATGAGAGTAGGAAATATAGTGTGTGGTGTTCAATCAAGGCAAGTATTGAAGAAGATTACATTGCCAACACGAAAAAGAAGGTGGGATGAAATTGATAATGGTGGGTAACCCAAAAGGAAAGTGATTCCGACCGCCAAACCCTAATATCCGAGTATACATCCAAGGTAGATGGAAAGAGATTCCAACATCCCAACTATATCTAGATCACTACGTCTTCATCTAAACTCCTCTATCAAAATACCCCTCCCACCTCCAGACAAATAACCTTCCCCATTCCTGAACACCCCCTCTACACAACCTTCAAAATGGCATCCCTCGGCGGCATCATGGTGGCCCTTATCACCCCCTTCACAGACGATCGTACCAAAATCGACGAAGCCCGCCTCCAAACCCACATTGAGCACCTCGTCAACGCAGGTTGCCACGGCCTCGTACCAGGCGGCAGCACAGGCGAATTCACAACCCTAAGCCTAGCCGAGCGCAAGCAGTTAACAGAGCTGTGCGTAAAGTTCGCCGCAGGCCGCGTTCCTGTCATTGCCGGCACTGGTAGCACCTCGACTGATGAAGCCGTCGAGCTCTCCGTACACGCCGCCAAAGCCGGTGCCGCTGCTACAATGGTCGTCCCTCCCTTCTATGACCCCGTCAACCTGGAGCAGTTGCACGAGATGCTCAATGAGATCTACACTTCCTCCGGGCTGCCAATTGTCTTCTATAATATTCCCTCCGCCAGTGGCTTGACGCTTTCGCCTGCTGAGATCGCGGGGCTTTCTAAGGTTGGCGTGAAGTATCTGAAGGATACCTCTGGTAATGCGCCTGCGCTTACGGAGCTTATCTTTGGTCTTTCAGATCAGATTACTGCGTTCAACGGTTGGGATACATTGACATTCTATGGCCTTGCTGCTGGTGCGCCTGGTGGTGTTTGGGGTGCTGCGAACATTATTCCTGAGTTAGCGGTTGAGCTTTGGGATGCTGTTTCTGTTAAGGGGGATCTCAAGCGTGGACGCGAGATTTGGGCCAAGGCTTGGCCTATTTGCAAATTCTTGGAGTCGCATAACTATGCTGCTGCTGTTAAGACTGGTTGTGAGTTGATTGGGCAGCCTACTGGTGGTTTGCGCAAGCCTTTTTCTTTGCTTAGCCCTGATTTGACGGCTGAGCTTAAGCAATTGTTGCAAAATGCTGGTGTTAAGACTATTTAGGTTGGATTTGATGTTTAACTGTTTGGACGTTTAGATACGAATAACTTATGTGGCTTTCAGTGAACATTCGAGATCATCAATTCATGAATCCATAGTAATGTGATTTATTGAACAATTTCCAATTCCTATCTACTTGATCTATGCTCGTCATTCTAATTTCCGTTACCGTTGACATGCAGAGATGGAGCGTGCACACCAGGCCCAAACAAACCATTCCACTTCCTTGTACGGGTAACCTTGAAGGTCCCCGAGAGTGAGTTCAGATCGCCAGTCCCAACAACAATTACTGTATACGTTCCAGCTTCGCTAAGCCATGCAGAGTGACTCTCATCCCAGAAACTCGTGGCAAGAGCAAGTGGGATTGAGATTAAGATCTCTTGTTTCTCCCCATTTTCCAGTCTAATCTTCTTGAACCCTTTGAGCTCTCTGATTGGGCGTGCAACGCTGCTGTTGGAGGGAGGTGAGATATAGACCAGGGCAGTTTCCGCGCCACCGCATGCTCCAGTATTTTCTACTGAAACGGAAACTTCCAGCACTTCCTCCTTAACCTTGTTCAGGCTTTCCAGGGGTTGCGAGATGGAAATATCCGACAGACGGAAATTCGTGTACGAAAGACCGTACCCGAAGGGGAATAGGGGCTTCACTTTGGTCTTTTCGTAATACCGATAACCGACGTAGATATCCTCGCCGTACAATACTCGTCCTCTCTCTGAGCGGTAGGACAAGTAGCTTGGGTTCTGCTCGATAAACTCTGGGAAGGTGAGAGGTAACTTTCCAGACTGCAAGATGAAGTCAGTAAGTAGGAGCTTAAGACCCCAAGGCTTTGAATACTGACCGGGTTCACATCTCCAAAGATAACGTCCGCAATACCATTGCCTGTTTCATTTCCGCCATACCAAGCATGAAGTAATGCCTTGGTATCCCGAGCCCAGGGCATGCTTACAGGCGTACCGCTTTGCACGACTACCACAGCATTTGGCTGGACAGCGAGGACCTTTTCGACCAGCTCATCGGACAGTGGTGGAAGTCCCATGTGTGGACGGTCGAACCCTTCGCTTTCCCATTCCCCACTCAGTCCAACAAAGACTATGACCTGCTCAGCCGTCTTTGCCAGACTGACAGCCTCTTGGATAGAACGCTCTGCATCAATGCGTCGACATCCTCCAACTCTCACTCCTCCAGGTCCAAACGAGACGACTCCGTGCAATTTCAGATTAGAAGTTGGGGCAGTACCATAGTCGACAAGAATCTTGTATTGATGGTTTGCTTCAAGATATTTGGAGCCGCGCTCCTCTGGAGTGCCGATACCAAAGAATGACGTTCCCTGGCGCTGGGTGGTCTTGTTGTCAACTACCAACTCTCCGTCGATAAAGAGCTCTCCGGTGCCGGCGACCGTAAGACCGAAGTCATACATTCCACTTTCAGACGGTTCGAAGATACCTTCCATTGTAACGTAATAAAGATCCGAGTGGATCTCTGGGTGCTTGTAATCCATCAAAAATGCAGAACTGCTGGTCATGTGCAACTTGTCGACCGGATTTCTATCCTTTTTGGTGGAGGGATCAGTAAACACGCTGAATGTATACCCGGTGCGACCGTCTTCGGTCTTCAACTGAGAGCCAAGGAGGGGCAATTCCTTGTGACCGTAGACTCCCTGTGTGAAAGTAACACCTCCGGTGCAGCTGCTAGATATTCCTTCCAAGGGAGTGACTGCATAGTACCCTGGCAAGGCGGCAGAGCCCCCACCACAGTATGCCGCAATATTGGCATTTGGTCCGATCACAAGAGTCTTTTTAGCTGGGTCAAGAGGAAGGATGTGACCATCGTTCTTGAGCAAGACAATGGATTCGGAAGCTGCTCGGCGAAGCAGTGCTTGATCTTCAGGCAAATTACGTTGGACTTCGAGTGCGTTCTCGGGAATTCTTGAGCTAGCAGTTAGCTTTATCATCTCCAGCATCGAGCGGACCCGGTCATTGATAGTCCTCTCGGACACTTTATTTGATGTGATAGCATGGACTAAGCCCGGCCCCCGGAATCGAGTTGGGCCAGGCATCTCAAGATCCAGTCCGGCATTGACGGCTTCGGACACGCTGTAGGTTCCAAACCTGTTTCGGTCAGCGTTGAAAGCAATATAAAGTCTGGACGATGACACACCAATCGCTCATGATGAGACCTTTATAGTTCCATTCCTTTCGAACAACATTTTGCAGCAAATCCGGGCTTTCACTCGCATGGCATCCGTTGACCTTATTGTATGAAGTCATCAAAGCACCAGGATTGGCACCGATAATCGCTAGTTGGAAAGGGAGCAGATAGATCTCCCTCAATGCTCGCTCGGTCACGAGCGCGCTAACCGCAACTCGTTCGTGCTCCTGGTCATTGCAGACGAGGTGCTTTGGTGTCGGAATAATATTCTCAGTCTGGACTCCCAAGCAGTAACTGGCCGCCAAGGAGCCAGAAAGGACAGGATCCTCCGAGAAAGACTCAAAACCACGTCCCCCTAGTGGCCCTCGTTGGATATTTATAGTCGGACCCAAAAGGACGTGTGCCCCCTTCGCCTTGCATTCGGCACCAAGAAGCTTTCCAAGAGAAAATATAAGGTCTGTGTCAAATGAAGCACCTAGCGCGGTGGCACAAGGAAGACAAGCCGCTGGAACACCATTAAAAAAGCGAGTCCCTCGAACACCGTTTGGTCCATCTGACATTCGAATTTGAGGGATCCCCAGTCGCGGGATTGCTGCTGTGTGCCAGCCATCGACCCCTGCTCTTGAGGTTAGCAGTGCAATGCTCTCGAAGTGAAAGTCACAAACCTGATAGAAGGGAGACTTTTTCGTTTAGGGAAAGCTCCTCGAGCGCATATTCAATGTCAATGTCTGACATCTTGGCGAAAGTGATAAATTGTATAGAGATATTTCGAACACGAAAGCAATTGGACTTTTTTGCGAGCGGAACTCATTCTTATGTTAAAAAGGAATGTCAGTTCAAGCAGAGATCGTATGTAGGATTCGATAAATTTGTAATCGGATAATCTCCGGAACACAAGTAAGCCGCCAAGGTCGTCCACGGGTGCATCGCGGAGTATCGGGCTTGGACACTTGAGTGGAGACTCCATCGGGCTAATTGGTTTTGCTTGCCACTCACGAGACATTTGAGTGCCGACGTGAGACACCTCTGCGCTTTAATGATTGTACAGATCAGCCTAAAGCTATGAGCTCTGTTAGGCCGCGCGTTTTGTGGAACTGCTCCGTACGCTTTGAGCAGGCTACTGGTTCAAATAGAGTTATGAAGACTTTATACCACAATTAGCTGGTTTAGTAGCACTACGAGGCTCTAGCATTCATGAGCGTTTGCAAAATGTCCAACATCTCATGTACGTCACTCGACTCGTCCTTCCAAAACTTCAGCATCTTAGCCACATCAAAAATTGTCTCTTCCCAGCCTAGAGGCAACAGATGCACAAGATTTGTACACCGCTCAGCAGCAAGGAGAACTAGTGCGCTTCGTGTACACGACCGGAGCATAAGCCATGTTCCATGGTGACGGTGATAAAAGCCTGACTGATTCTGCTGGATTCTGTCCACGCAGACCTTCAGCCCCTTTCGAAGAAAAACATCACTGCTTGCATGAACACGGCCATAGATTGCCTCCACTAGGAAGTGCCAGTACATTGTCTCTTGACAGTCCAGGAAGTGTCCACGGAGGATAAATCGAAAAGGCTCGTATTGGTCTGTGTTTGGAGTTTCAACATCGAGAGCTAAGGCTTCAGGCAGAGAGCGGAACCTGGAAGTTCGAAGGCATTAGTAAATCTTGACATTTTCTTTCTTGTCGAGGATTTGTGCGTACCATGCATCTTTCTGCTCCTCAAAATCAAGGATTGCATATACCATGGTCGATTCTGAGATTGCCGTGTCGGGTCGATAGAGGTATCCCAAGATGCGATTTTCCAATCTGCGCAAGGCAATCTCAGCCAGGTAGAAGTACCATGCTGCCTCGTCTTTAGTTTTCAGTCCGTCTGGTGGCGAAGGAAAGAATGTTGGGTAGCTGAGATCCAAGACGTTCTTTTGAAGGTTTAGCTCTAGTCGAAGTTCTCTATTGGAAAAGTCAAAAGGTCAGATCAACCGGTCTGCAGCGAGGTAACTTACAACTCAGACTTGAAGCAAGTCCAGTAAATTCTCTGCTTAGTGTTCCATTCATCTTCGTAGCGGCTGTCGTTTGTGCTTTGGGTGGAAAACCCCTGGCAGCAGGCTAATGCCTGTACAAACATCCTCCAGGCACCGACCGGTCGCAATGTCGCCATTAGATAGACACCGGCCAAGAAAAAGCACTGTGCTTCTATCGCGCCATTTCTGCAAAGGAGCATGCCCATTCGCTTTTGTGCAGCGAGGAAGTACGCCTCAGCCTGTAGGAACCCCTTCGACTGACGAAAAGAACTGGAGGACACACCCGGCTCAGTTTTGACAAATGGACTTACAATCGAGCCATGGGCATATAAAAGAAGCTTTTGTTCAGTAAGCTAAATGTGGGACCGAACTTTTGAGAGGCCGAAGGGAACTTACTAGTAGACAAGATGTGGCATCCCAGCCGATACCATTGAACCTAACCATCTTGACGTATTCTCTTACATCTTCCTCTTTTAGAGTTGGATTGAAGATGTGCACATCGTCGAAGAATCTTCGAAGAAGGCTATCAGCCGCTTGAAGATCGAGATCAACAGATATTGGTAGTTCCGGCTGAGCTTTGTCTTCGTCAGGCCGAGATAGCAAACAAATTCGCTGGTCAATTTGATTGTCGAACACAGGCCATTTCAAAACCTCCTCTATATTAATAAAGGATGGTTTCCACTCAGTTTGCTGGTCAATGACAGACGATCCGATGCTGAAAGAGATAGGCGACGTGGAAGAAATGCTGTTAGACGGAGCCACCGGTGGTTCATTGGATTTGGATTGGATCAGAGATTCTAGATCATCTATGCGCTTCAAAATCGCTAGACTCGCGGAATCAAATCTGTGGCCTCGGTCAGGTCCGAATCTCTGCCAGCTTTTTCGAGACACTCACGTCGAAGGATCTATCTGCTGATAGCTACATTCCGCCCCAAGACGGACACACGATGCGCACGCGGGTCGGGTATTGTCGCATTTAGTCCGTCGAAGGCGACATGTATGACATGCCTGTGTAGCTCGTTTTCGCGGATATGTCCCGGCAGCACGAGGATGTTTTCTCTTTTGACTCGCCTTGCCAGGAGGGGATTCTCCTTCGGAAGGGGACTCCGATTGGTTCTTGGACAGATAAACCGTCCCCATCAGGTTGAAGAGCAGTCTCTTGACTGGCAGATTGAGGCCTAGAGAAGAGACGAGCTGAATTAAGTATTGCGCGGAGTTTCGGAAACCCAGGGGTTTTTCTACGCTGGTTCGGTTGTAGTGCGCAACTGAGTTTTCCGCTCTCCAAAGCCCCAGTCAACATGGGGACATTCGATTCGCCATGGTGCGCTTTGTCCCTTCCCCGGACTACAGACTCTGGGGATACCACTGCGGGGGTTTCTCTCGCTTGGGGGATGAGGCTAAGCCTGACATGTTCGATCCGAAGCGGTTAGCCGGTCTGTGCAATAACGCCACACTGCGTGAGATTTGGGTTGCCCCCCCCCCTTAGGCAGTGGAAAATGAAGGACTATTCGGGCTGGAGCTTCCTCGCCTCGTCAAGTCTTTATTGCGGAATCACGGAGGTCTCTGATGGAAAAAAAATAATATATCAGGGACTTGACCACGACAATTCCAGACCTCTGCGGCATTCAAATCAGCTTTCTGTCTGACGCATCTGACAACCAACATAGCCATCAGAATAGGAACGAGTCAGGATGAGCGACAAAGACAACAAGACAACCGCCGAGGTTCATGATGTTCACAACAACCCTGGAGAGTGGAGCCTTGCAAGCGTTCTACCCGATACCGGCACGCCCTGGTATAAGCAGCGTCATCTTCTGCTTCTCAATCTCGGGATGATTATTCCCTACCTATCCTCGACCACCAACGGCTATGATGGATCCATGCTCAATGGCCTTCAGTCAATGAGTCAGTGGCAGCACTTCTTCGGCTCGCCGACCGGAACCCGTTTGGGCTCACTTTCCAATGGTGTCATCTTTGGTCAGATTCTCGCTTTCCCCGTTGCTCCTTGGTTATGTGACCACACAGGTCGCCGCTTCCCGATTTTCATCGGATCGGCTCTCCTGGTCGTTGGTGCTGTTCTTCAGTGTGCCGCCCAGAACTATGCCATGTTCTTGGCCTCCCGCATGGTTATTGGCTTCGGAGGCCTGATTGCAGTTGAAGCATCCCCGATGTTGGTCAGCGAACTGGCATATCCGACCCACCGGTCTGTTCTAGTTGGGTATTATAACAACTTGTGGTACCTCGGGGCCTTGCTTGCTGCATGGGTCACATATGGAACCTATTTCATGGGACCCGATGCTTCCTGGGCCTGGCGCATTCCCTCGCTGCTGCAAGGACTTTTTCCTTTGGTGCAAGTGATTTTCATCTATCTGCTTCCAGAATCGCCGCGGTATCTTGTGCAGAAAGACCGATATGATGAAGCCCGAAAGGTACTCACTAAGTACCACGCCGGCGGAGATGAGAACTCTTCGCTTGTCGACTTCGAGATGAAGGAAATCATCTTGCAGATCCAGACCGCCAAAAGTGTGTCGTCAACCGGATATCGCGAGTTCCTTAGCACTCGAGGTAACATGCACCGCCTGTTTATCATCATCGCAGTACCGTGCATGATGCAGCTTTCCGGTAATGGCCTCATCGCCTACTACCTTCATCTCATTTTGAACTCGATCGGCTTCACCTCGGACCCACAGCAGCTCCGTATCAATGGTGGCCTGACAGTTTTCAACTTGGGAGTTTCCGTCATCCTAGCTTCATTTATGGAAATTGTTGGTCGGCGACGCCTGTTCCTATTCTCGACAGTAGGCATGTTATGCTGTTATGTGATCTGGACAATCCTCTCTGCAGTAAACGAACAGAGGGGCTTCCACGATACCTCCCTTGGTACCGGAGTCATCGTTATGATTTTCATGTATCAGCTGTTCTACAACGCCGGTCTCAATGGGCCACCATGGGTCTATGTTACCGAAGTCCTTCCCACCCACCTCCGTGCCAAGGGCACGAACATCATGCAGATTGCATCGACGTGTGTTATTCTGTTCAATGGATACGCCAACCCCGTGGCTATGGATGCAATCAGCTGGAAATACTACATCGTTTACTGCTGTGTGATTGCTGTTGAAATTGCTCTCGTCTACTTTGGATTCCCCGAAACCAAGGGGCACAGTTTGGAAGAAGTTGCGTTGATCTTTGATGGAGAAGAAGCATTCGGTGAGGTCTCTGAGAAACAGACCCCAGCTGAAGTTTAGGCTGCGTGATAGTACCTGAGATGGCAGTCTGCTTATTGCAAATCAGTGGTTACGGATGTGGACCTTGATCACAACTTGATACTCCGGACCTCCAAATTAGGTTGACTCTACCAATATCCAATCAGAGTTGTATAATCTTTCCACAACATTGCTTAGCGATGTAGAGCTGTGACCGACAACTGCAAAGGTCTGTACCTAGAAGACATAGGATGGAATTCTGCTAGTGCGTGCATAGTCTCTCCCTTTATGAAGGTACTCCACTTATGTACTAATTAAGAAAGCAGGGTAAATGTAATGATTGTTAGAGCCGGATTCGGGAAATATAAAGCGAGCATAAGAGCGGAATTCGGCCCCGATTTTGATTATTTCCCGGGGCTAGTGGGCAAGCCCATCCTTGAAACAGAAAATAAACCACTCTACCTGAAAATGGGTCTAGGAGCTTAAGCCTTTGAGAAAATCAACCAAAAAGCATAAATTCCGCGACACTGACTACATCTGGCTACTATTCTTCCCCTATATACCCCTCTCCTGGAAATAACCACATATGCAGCCCCCTAGTGAGGAACCACGGGGTATTGCAAATTCTGACAGTTGCCCGTGCATTGCTGGTAAAGTCCGATGAAGCCATAACCCCCGCAGTTTTGACTAGGGTTGCCGCTGCAGGGATAAAGACAATTTCCCATAGGCGTAACAGAAGGCTTCTTGGCAGGGTCAATGCTATTGCCACAGTAGCACTCCCGAGAGTTCTCAAGGCCGGCAATTGTATACCCTGCAACTTTGCAATTCGAAATGCACTTTTCGACCGTCATGTCGGCGCCCGCCGAGCTGGAGCCACTAAGGATCCTTACGCCCCCTGCATTGTCGACCGCGCAGCCAATCCATTCCCAGCCCAGCTCACCGGTAACATCGGTATAGTAATGCTGCGGCGACCCAATTTGTGTGGGTGCTCCACAGCCAGTCCTGACTGTCGCGTCATTGGGACCTGGTTGGATAGGATTGCAGCCCGGTAGAGCAGTCAGCCATCCACCAACTTGTTCATCGATCGATGGTTCCAACAGGCATCCATCCGCGACAGTGTCCGGATAGAGATGGATTGGCGAGCATTCAGTGATATCTCCACCGCCATCGTTGCATGTGTCAATAGCTTCTTGGAGGACTGAAATATCCCACCCGTTGACAAAGTCGCCATGGAGCCCGTATCCGGTGGGGTCACCGAAAGAAAAGACGAACGGTTGGCTGTTGCCATACCACATGTCTGCAAAGTGCTCGGTATGCCATGTAATTTCGTAGAAAATAGAGACAATACGCACTGGGTGCGACGCCGGACATGGGCCATTGTCATATGTTTGATTAGGATAAGCCACATGGGACTTGTGGTCCGGGCTGTCCAAATTCACTCCATCCCAGCAGGATGGGAAGTAGACCTGGGCGCGAAGGCCGTTGGGGCAGTTAGTCTTTGGAAATCCGTTTGTTTGGGGGGTCGCTGGACCGTCATAATTGAGACAGGCGAAACTTCTCGCGTCGGCTTCGATGGTGTCCTTGTACTGGCGGTCGAATGGGCTGCCTGCAATCATGCGAAACCCGGCTGGCGGTGCCACAATTTTCCCGTCCGTAGTTGGATCAGGGCGTTGCCTAAATTTGCAAGTGTGAGTGGCTATGGCTGTTGACTAACGATGACCTAGAAACCCTTACTCGTAGTATATTAAAGCTCCACCGTTCTGCGGGACTTGGATGAAGCTTCCATTCTGAGCATGGTAGTAGAGGGCAGCGACCCAGTAGTTGGATTTGTCCTCAATTGCAGAGCAAGAGTTGCACTGCGATTTCTGGGTCATTTCGTAGTTCATGGTAAACCCAAAGCCAGATCCACCCATGATGGTATGAACATGATTGGAGGCTACCCCAGGTGAGATGAGTGGATCTGCTCTCTCAATTACCAGAGGTGTACTGCATGGCACCTTGAAGAATGCAAGTGTGGGACTGAGATATATCAGCAAGGATGGGATATAACTCGTATAAGCTCGCATTTTCATCATTGCTCTGGTGGCTCTCTTTCCTTAACATAAACTTCGGACAGTCTTCTCTCATCGTGGCAGCTTGAACTCCTTTTATTCCCAATATTCTTGGCTGTGAGTTGTTCGTTCCGTTAGCACAAATCTAGGTCAGGGTCTCTCTACGCTTCGGCATACAAGAACGTATGCACGGTGAAGCGAGACCTAGTTACTATCTCCGAGACTCCGCATAATACATAGAATTCAGGGGGCAAGTTTCAAAAGATTGCTCAGTTGACAGGCTCGGGCATTAGTTGAGATTCCTGCCTTGTTACATTGCGTAGCACACGGTGCGAGAACCCTTGCCAAGACTAGTATAGTGCTGAAGAACCCCGCATAAATACGGCAGTAGATTGAATAGTTATATTAAACATGCATACTTTGCGGGGTCAGCCTGCAGTATTTTCGCTAAGATTAAAGGGTCTATAGTAGAAGGGAGGGGTCCGTTGCCACAATTGTCGGGCCACATACGGTTCTCAGAGAAGAATCTAGGACTGTGGGCTACATTTTAATGACAGCATGAAACGAAAAAACAGGATACCTCAAAGTATTAGCGTAGTTACTGGATAATGACATTGGTATATTCCAGCTGGTTTCAGCTGACTATTGTAAAGACTTGGTCAAAGTCAACGCTGAGCTGCCCATACTGAATGTAGTTCAATTCAATCTGACACACCCTAGTAGATATGTCTACTTTGCCTCCTAGTCATATGTAACATGATAGAAGACTCAGATACTTGCGTAGCTGCTTCCCAAATCTGACAGTGCAGTTCCATCCGCATTGATGAGATATTGAGGGAAGGCACCGAAATAAGCATACCTCTCCACGTAGCCCTGCGAGTCCAGCCAAGGAAGAGCCTGCTCCAAAAATGCGATCTGCTGCTGCTCGCTTCCATAGCACTCAAACTCCGTAATCCAGATCGGGAGACCCAAAACATCATGCGCGTTTGTCACATTACCTTCGAACCAGACAGCACCGTTCTGGCCATCAGGAGTAACACAATCCTGGTAATAATGAATAGCTGCAAAGTCCAAGTGACAACCGGTGCAATTTCCCAAGAAGTATTCAGTCCATGTAGCGGTATTATAAGAGCCGCCAGACGATGAGCCAACGTTATTCCACAGCACACTGGGAGATCCGATTCGCACGGTGCCAGCAAAGGGCTGCATGTACGTGAGATACCCAGCAGCGGCCTTCTCGGGAATGATATTGGATGAAGCATCATAAGTCAAATCAGGCTCGTTGAATCCAAGGATGTTGACTGTTCCAGGAGTTTGCACAGCAGCCGTCCAGTCTGGATCGGCACCGCTGGGCAATCCCCATAACATAGGAACACTGATGAATGGGTCAATAAAACATAGCTTTTAACTTGATGGGTTCGACTCACAACTCGAATGATGAGTCCAGGTTCCAGGATGGATATCCCCAGTCATAGGCCCATGATACCTTCGTGTGTCCCTTAAAAAGGTTGGCATACACGGCGTTTCCAGAAGGGTTATTGTTGTTGTACGCAATGCCTCTCTTTGCAGCAAGACCGTTTGCTTCAGGGAGAAGGAAAATAGCCAGGAGAAGATAGGTATAAGTCATTGCTATTAATTGAGGCGGAGATTATCGTGGTAGGACTTGCGACCTGTCCTGAACATAGGCAATGCAATATTTTGGCAATTGCATGTAAGGACAGAGGAGAGTCCCCCTAGGTCATATAGAGGTCTTTGTTTGTCTACAATACGCTCTACTACGAGCCTCGCAATCTTTCCTTGTGCTACCCAATTATTGCCAATAGCCGTAATCATGCTCCGGCTATTTGATTGCTTTTCACCGATGGTTTCATTTACATTAGTTCCCCTTGTACGACTGAAATTAGGCATGATACTACGCTATAATCCCAGTTCAAAGGAGACGTCAGGGTATAAGACGCGGAATTTCGGATTTTATTCGAAGCTCAATTAAGACCAAATCCCAAATTTCTCCAAACATCTGCTTGTTTGAACTCGATGAGCTGACTTCCGGGAGAACGAGGTTTACAATTGGATAAACTTCCTTCACGGATCACTTGCATTAGCTTCACGTCTTGCCCGGCTGTCAGAATCGATCCTGCGGAATCTCGGGCCCAGCTTGCCATGTATATTTGCTCGGATGGATTTTGCACCGGCTTAACGTAGCGCCACATGCAGCTAATTTTGAGGGGAAGCTGGGTTCCAAGTTTTTCTTGCCTAGTCTAGGCCAAAAATCAATTCTACGGTGATGATGGTGTTCAAGATACTTTTGATACTAGTTCCTAACAGAAATTTATATCTTTCCCATGATATATCCACGCATATAAATAGGATTGAGCGCCGTGGTCTCTCAGATCCAGTCTTCACTTCAACCAACTCACCAAAGCAAAAATGGTTCGCTTCAATATATTGGCTATCTTGCCATTGGTACTTAATGCAAGTGCCGCCCAGATAGATATTCCGTCCGTCGATGCCGCTGTCTCTGCGGCGCTCAAAGATTATGGGAACTATGGAGCATACACCGGCCCTCAAAAGAAGCCCCCGGCTAAGGCAAAAATCGCGCAAGAAAACGCATTGCTCGCCGATGGTTCAAAGTTTTGGTTGGAATCAATAGGCCATCAAGGTGTGTCTGCCTTTGGAGCTTCTGGATATCAAGTCTTTCGCAACGTCAAAGACTTTGGGGCGAAAGGTAACGTGCTTTCTTGATCGAAAAATAGTGGGATCAATATATTGACATGAATCCTAGGTGACGGCGTTACCGATGATACTGCAGCAATCAACGCAGCAATTAGCAGCGGCAGCCGATGTGGGCAGGGCTGTGCGTCAGATACAACAACTCCAGCACTGGTTTACTTCCCTGCCGGTACCTATATGATTTCGTATCCGATCTTCGACTACTATTACACGCAAATTATTGGAGATCCCAAAAACATGCCAGTAATCAAAGCAACATCAGGATTCCAGGGAGGATACCTCATCGACGCCGACCCTTATTTCACTTCGGAACTTAATTGGGGATCTACCGTCGTATTCTTCCGGCAAATCAGGAATCTTGTTCTGGATCTCCGCAATATTCCCACAGGTAACACCGTAAGTGGCATCCACTGGCCAACCGCACAGGCAACCAGTCTTCAGAACATGGTATTTCAAATGAGCTCAGCCTCTGGCACGAAACACCAGGGTGTCTTCTGTGAAAGCGGTCAGTTGCGATCCCTCTGATAGTAAACCGTGATCTGAGACTAATACTTCAAAGGCTCTGCTGGATATATGGGTGATCTTGTTTTCAATGGCGGAAACATCGGTGCAGCACTAGGCAACCAGCAATTCACCATGAGGAATTTGACGTTCAACAATGCAATCACCGCTATCAGCCACTACTGGGACTGGGGATGGACTTATAAAAACATCAATATCAACAACTGTCAGGTCGGCATCGATATTACCTCTGGAGGCCATGACCAGCAGAGTGTCAGCTCCCTTACCTTGTTGGACAGCTTCATCACTAATACCCCAGTGGGTATCCGTACTGCCCGAGACTCCACCTCTAAGCCTCCAACGGCTGGTAGTGTTGTTCTTGAGAACGTCTCCGTTCAAAATGTCCCTGTAATTGTTCAAGGCCCCAGCCAGACAACTGTTCTCGCTGGTGGAAACGTCCATATCGATGCTTGGGGACAAGGTCACAGCTACACCCCCAATGGCCCTCAGACCTTCCAGGGTACCTTCGCGCCAAACTCTCGCCCGGCATCCCTCCTTCAGGGACAGCAGTTCTATGAACGCTCCAAGCCTCAATACAGCACCGTGAGCGCATCCTCTTTCAGCAGCACTCGAAGTGGTGGTGCAAAGGGTGATGGAAAGACAGACGACACAGCCGCTTTACAAAAGGTTATCAATGATGCTGCATCCTCTGGCAAGATTGTATACTTCGATGCTGGTACGTACCTTGTAACCAGCACTCTCAAGATTCCGGCAGGCTCCAAAATCGTTGGCGAAGCCTACCCCGTGATTATGTCTAGTGGCAGTTTCTTCAACAATATGGGTAGTCCCCAGCCTGTTGTTCGAGTTGGGGCTTCCGGTGACAGTGGTCAGGTTGAATGGTCGGACATGATTGTTAGCACAAAAGGTGCACAGGCGGGGGCTGTTCTCATTGAGTGGAATCTTGCTTCTCCCTCTGGTAGCCCCTCTGGGATGTGGGATGTACACGTGAGGGTTGGAGGTTTCGCAGGTTCCCAGCTCCAGGCTGCACAGTGTATTGCGACGCCAGGCACAGCTACTTCGACGCCGAACGCAAACTGCATTGCTGCCTTCATGCTCATGCACATCACATCATCTGCAACTGGTCTGTATATGGAAAACAATTGGCTCTGGGTTGCGGATCAGTATGTTTTCCTTTATTTCCCCTCTTAGGACTCCTGCTAACCTACGTGTATTAGTGACCTTGACGGAAATGGTCAGCTCACCATCTATAGCGGTCGTGGCATGAACATTGAGAGTACCCAGGGAAATATTTGGCTGTAAGTCGCGCGTTGAGGTCCGAAGAAAATATCAAGATGAACTAACTGAACATCCAGCTCGGGCACCTCGGTGGAACACAACGTGTTGTACCAATATCAGCTCGCTTCGACCAAGAACATTTACATGGGGCAGATACAAACAGAGTCAGCGTGAGTATTGCATTTCCGTCACATAACCGGAGTCCTTTTACTAATATTCCCAGATACTACCAACCAAACCCTCTCGCCACAACTCCATTCCCGGTCGTCTCATCTATCCATGATCCCAACTTTACAACCTCCTGCGCTGGCAAAGGCAAGTACTGCGCTGAGGGCTGGGGTCTGCGTGTCTTAGATTCAACAGGTATCTTCGTCTATGGGGCGGGATTGTACTCTTTCTTCGATAACAATGATGCCTGTAAGCAAATCAGTCTGATACCATCCTACCTATGTCGAAACTGACATTTTCTAGCATGCTCGGCTCAAGACTCGGGAAGAAGCTGCCAGAACTCAATCTTTAGTCTTGAGGGGTCATCGTCGGTCTCCATCTATAATCTCAATACGGTAGGATCGGCCAGTATGGTTGATATTGACGGCACTAGCGTTGCCAACCAGGCTGATAACTTGAATGTGTTCAATGAGAATATCGCACTGTTCAGAAAGTGATTTGGGCGACTTGGTTGGTCGGGATGTTTGGTTGTCGAATATTTAAATTGAGAAGTATTCTTAGTACAGCGAGGTCCTAGCTAACTTGTTAACAATTCCGTTAATAAGAATCCTACCTTCCTATGCGGCGTAACCTAGTCCATATTGAAAACGTAAGAGGACTTCTAAATTGCCTTTTCCAGTTATTTTCGCCTGTTTGGATTTAGATCGCACTACCCTAGCGCCCGCCGCAGAGAAACTGATTCGAGCAAGTTGCATTAGTACGAGTCCAGTCCATATCAAATCATGGATCCACCTAAAAATGACAGTGAATACCAACGACTTTCTATCGTCTCAAGTTCAATTGCAACAATTGGACCATTTCCGACATCACGGGGCTCGTGTACCTCCCTTGTACTGTCCAAGGAGATAAAGAGTGTCAAGGGCTACCTGGTCCCCTCAAAGACGGTGACTTATCGAAGCAAAATCCTCAAGAAACGACGTCTTCTGCGCACCAAAGTGAACCACCCGCTCATTCAGAGATAAAAGCAGCACCGGTTATACTTCTTCATAGCACGGAGACCGCGGAGTGCTTTATGTCATTTCAGACATGCTCGCGTGGTCATTGGGACTCACGAATAGCTAATCGGTTTTGAAGCGTTATAGCGTTGGGCCTACAGTAACACAATATATATATACAATAGTTACCAAAATCGCTTGACACTCTGCTAGCTCTACTTATTATGTTCCCACAGTTGGGGCTTAATCATTTACTAGAGGAGTTGCATCAAATAGAAGTGATAAAAGAGTCAATCTGGTGTCTATACTAACGCTTTCTTACGCCTTCCTACACGTTTAAGCTACGGCCTATGTAGCTTGGTCGACGGGCGAGACATTCCTTACATACTTAACCCATCGGTCAATATCTCTCACGAAATGGCGTGCGATACCTACCATAATCCCTTTGTCGATAAAGAATGACGGATCTTGGTCCTCATAGATCAGTTTTAGGTCTAAACCATTGGCTAACGCCATATTGTATGTCTGCCGGAATTGAGGTTTTAAGTGATTTCTGACATTCGCTTATGCTATACGCTATAACTTCTAACAGCTTCATCGCTTCATCTCATAGTCTAGGAATATTCGATGCAAGCGCGGAAGTGGCTTTGTAGCCCTTGATGATCTAAGAGTTTCCAACTCCCCAAATGAACGGGCTCGATGTAGATGCAGGACGAGTGATTCTGAGTGATCATTAGAAGACACCTAACTACGCAGTTGGATTTGTTAAATATTCAAGTAGCCAATGGAGGAGGCTTGTAGCAACTATAATTGCGGTGGGGCGCTGCTGCGGACCAATGATGCGCCTTGAGCCATCATGGCACCGCACACTCGATTCACTTGCGCTAAGCCCAAAACGGTTCGGCTCTGTTTGGGGAGGGATCAATTTTATGGTCCACTCAGTATATACTGGTGACGCGCGCTGCCGCACGCTGACGCCTCTGGAACGAAGTGAAGAAAGCGGAACTAGCGGCAAAATATGCACATGGAAGTGATAGTAGACGAGATGGCGAGGTAAAGATATAAAAGTTTGAAGAGCTATTTTCTGATCGGCCGTAGATGTGCAGGAAATGTACCCGAGATAGTTTATATGTATAGCACGATACGAAATGGGTATTTTCGATTATGTGAAATTCAGTGTGGAATACGAGTATTATTAGTAGCACTATAGGCAACATGGCGTACTAGTCCTAAGAGACCCGACAGCCGTAGAGCTGAAAGTACCTTCTGGGTTATAACGTTATAATCAAAAATTTCATCACGAGTTAAATCCCAGCCGAGGTTCAACTTCAATCTCGCTTCTACCTAGGTATGATGCGTACTATTCTTACTTAATAATGAGACTATCTATGGATCGGTCCAAGCATTGATTAAGTTACATAATCTTCCATTGAGTAATCTGTCTGCCGAATAAATCAAATAATATAGCACGTTGTAATATATCGCATTTACTATGGTACGTTGGGGTGCGCAGCTAGGTTTCATGCGCAGCTCATTTACCGATGTTAACTAGTCAACTGACTAGTGTTATACACCTTCACAGTCGGTTGTAGAATACGAAAGAACCTAACTCCGGGCCCGTCTACAGAAACCTCTACTCCGTTTCACTCACAGAGACCTCGCAAGCTCATGGTTATTGATCAAGCTGCGGAATAAACACCCTTCCTTACCGTTGGTTAAATGCAGAAATTCCAGAGGCTACTTCAATTGTGGTTACTAACCCGGGCACGGTACAATAGTTGCGCCGCTTGCTCCACAATAACTGCTTACGAGATGCGTATGATATCTAGAACTCTCGATATACGAGGCATAATTGACGCATTGGAAATCTACCGATAGGTTTCCAATGCGGCAGCGCTTCGCGTGATCTTCTCGCTGAAATCAGTCGAGATTAGATGGCTTGACATTACCAAGACGCAAGAAATGATGTAGAGCATCAGTCTAATTTGCAGGTCCAGTCTCTCTTGGCGGTTCGTCAATCAATCATGCCAATTGGTTCCCTCAGTGCTAGTCTATACAGGCATCCCACGGTCTGATTCTTCACTTCTGAAGCCTCAACTTTATGTGTTGTATTTCAGAGGAAGATTGCGTGATTCCATCAAGTTTGGTAAGTATACGTCGTGACGGTAATTATGAAGCCCGAAAATCGATCAGTGTCCCTATGCTTTTGGTAATTGACCTAATTGACCCACGCACAGTCAAGCTTTCTTATAGTTGTGGTACTAAGTCTCTCTGACTCGATTTTGATTCATCTCACTTTGTATATAATACAACGCTAGACTAAGCTGGAAAAGCTACTACTAACTTGCCCCCGGCTACAGCGCCTGCACGTAGTTTGTTCAATCCATCGAAAATACCCTCAAACCCTTCCTTTTGCTTGACAGTAGGGATCGGTTTCAAGACATGTGTGATTGTTGGAAGGACCTTGTAAAAGCGGACAAGAGCTTCGCGGTCTGCTGGCCTGGTCTCGAACTTTGGGCCAACTGGTGGTAGCCACTGAAAAGGGCGACCAAACACCGTATATGCCACTACCATGTCGTACGTCACGCCCGGAACGCTTGACTTGCCATTGGGCAATAGCGTTATCACCGTACCACCATTATTTCTTAGTACTTCTGCACATACAGAAGTAGATTTCCCTTCGGAGAAACAATCGACGGCCTTCGAAATCTTAGGATATGCCTTGATGACATCTGCTGCGACGGTTGCTGATTTGTAGTTAAACACTGCAGAGGCGCCGTACGCCTTGACAAGGTCGAATGAACGCGGCGAGGCCGTCGTAACAACTCTATACCCTGCTGCCTTTGCAAGCTGGATGTGAAACAGTCCAGCGCTAGTGGCTCCGGCATAGATGAAGATCGCCTCATCTCCAAGGGCCGCATCATCACCTTGGACGAAGGGGAGGCCATGACGGACATTGAGGGTCAACATGGCAGTCACGGCTGAGACGCCGTAAGTGGTGGCGTCCGTGTCGCTCATTTCATCAGGAATCCTCCAAGCCAAATCCGAGTCAACAACCAAGTACTCGGCAAAAGCGCCCTTGTTGGGAAAAAGGCCGCCGTGCACGGCGCCCGCCACGCGATCGCCGGGTTTCCATCCTGACTTGACGGCGCTGCCGACCTGTTCGACCACGCCGGCATAGTCGCAGCCTATTATGGAGTGAGGAGGAGAAATGGCATCTAGGTGCTTGAAATCCGTCGGATTCAACGCGACCGCCTTGACTTTGACCAGAATATCGTCTGGCGAGATTGTAGGAATGGGAACATCCTTGACATGTCCTCCCTGGCCACCGACTGATTTGCTACAGACGAGGTTGACAAGCCTGGTGACAATGCTGCGATTAGAAACAAGAGCCTTCATGATGTGCCGATGTGCAACGGACGAATAAAAGGATATGGTGAAGAGTACTTATAGAAGGGGTCAACTATCAACGTGACATGCTTCCGATTGCGTTAGGGGCGGAAAACTTTAAGTATGCCGCCACTGTAATCTGCGGTGTGAATGGGGCAACTATCTTGCCGACTTATAAAGTTAATTCGAGTCGCTACGGAATGGTTAATAATCCACCCGAATATGACGGACGCAGAGGAGTGCGGAGTTGAGACAAATCGGCTGGGTCACTGATAGTAAGGTACTGTTGCTGGGTAATGTGTTTAATAATCAGTCCGTCATTTGTTCCTATATCTAGATTATACCTTGAGGTCCCCCTCGTGCTTGATACTAGTCAAAACATATAAGCAGGCGGTGCTGTGCGGTGAATATATCCTTCATAATTGGCCTCATTTCACCTCAATATGTCAGACTCAAAGCAAAGGTCAATCCTGATCACCGGGTGCGCTGAGAACGTCCACTCCCTCCATACTCCCTGACCTAACCGTCCACTCACTAGATGTTCCCAAGGGGGTGCCGGTAACGCCCTAGCCCTACAGTTTGCCTCTAAGGGCTTCCGTGTCTTTGCGACCGCCAGGTCGCTGAAGACTTTGGCCAGCCTACAGGAAAAAAATATCGAGACTCTTACTCTCGATGTCACGGACGCGAGAAGTATCGAGACTCTAGCGACAGAAATTTCTCGTCGTACAGGAGGTTCCTTGGACATACTTTTCAACAATGCGGGCACTCGTAGGTTATCTCCAGATTAATCGACTACAGGTTTTCGCACGGGAATTAACGCTGCTCGCACCCTAGTTTACGAAGCTCCCGCCGTCGAGGCAGATCCCGCCCGCGTGCGTGCGCTCTTCAACACGAATGTTTTTGGCCTCATGGAAGTTACTACTGCCTTCACCCCTCTCCTGCTCGCCGGAGTGACTGCAGACTTTTCGCCGATAATAGTTAATGTCGCCTCTGTCCTAGCACGCGTCCCGAATCCATTCGCTTCCGCTTACAACGCTAGCAAAGCGGCTGTAGCTTCCTACTCGGACACTCTTCGACTCGAGCTGCAGCCGCTTGGCCTCAAAGTCAAAACCTTGTATATGGGAGAGGTATCTACTCCATTGATGGCGGCGGACAATATCAATTTTGGACCCGAGAGTATTTACCGCGTGGTGGAGGATTCTGTAAAGGCACGAACAGCTACTCACCTTGCAAAGACGATGGGCCCGGCCCAGTTCGCCCGGGAAGTTGTAGACGAAGTTATCAGTGGAAAGAGTGCCTCGATTTGGAAAGGTACTAATGCCTTTACGGTTTGGTTTTTGAACGCTGTGGGACCAAGGAATGTATTCGATAGTACCTTGTTGAAGGGGGCTGGACTAGACAAGGAAGAGGCCAGGTCGAGTATTTTCAAGCTTGGCCAAGCAAAGGCCAAGAAGAACGTTTGAGGAAAGGGTTAAAGTAGCCAGATATAACTAGGTAGGCTCACAAGCCTTAGTGCTATTGACGTATTCGGCATCCATATAGTAATAGAAATGCTTGGTGTTTGCCTTTCCCACCTTGACCATGTACTAATACCAATTCTAATAAAAGGTAAACTGAGCATAATTTGGTAAATAATTACGTAGATGTTCGAATATTTATCCCGGTGTAGGTTATATAATCCTTATAAAGGTAGGCCCACGGGTGCTAACTAAAAATATATGCCAGCCTCCCTTAAATCGTATATATTCCGGGTATGCATCTTTAACTAGTCACCACCTACCTTTCACGGATTATATAACCAACAAGATGAGGATAAAATGTCAATAAAGAGGGGCCCTTACATTACTAGCTTGCCGAGTTTTACAGCACTCATTTGCTACGTTATAGATGGCTTCTTGCCAAGCCTTTTACGCTTGGTCAGCACGCATTTGGGTCAAATATTCGCTGCGCAAAGTTAGTCCTAGGTATTACACTTATTCTATGCTATAAGGCCGATATTGGTCTATTGTAGAACTAGCGCGTACCGTTTCTCTTGCAATCGACATAAAATTCTCAGTGCAGGCTCCGCCGAGGCGAGGAGCGTGGTTTCCGCGGAGCACATTCCAGACTTCTGAGATGCATATACAACTACGCGATCACCAGGACTTTCTACGTGATTAGATGTTCCTGTTTACAGATAGAATGTGGAAAAAGACATCTGAAATTTGCTCGAGAATGACTCGACTCCTGATCCCACCTGGGTAGGGATTAAGAGATAGGGGTTCCTTGGCAGTAGCAAACAATGCAAGCGCGGAAGTGGCTTTGTAGCCCTTGATGATCTAACCGTTTCTAACTCCTCAAATGAACAAAGTCGATGTAGATGTAGGATGAGTGATTATGAGTGATCATTAGTAGACACTTACTACGCAGTCGTATCTATTAAATCTTCAAGTAGCCACTGAAGGAGGCTTGTAGCAACTATGATTGCGGTGGGGCGCTGCTGCGGACCAATGATGCGCCTTGAGCCATCATGACTCACCTTGATTCACTTGCGCTAAGCCTAGAACGGTTTGGCTTTGTTTGGAGTGGGTGGTCAACTATATGGTTCACTCAGTATATAATGTTGTCGTCTCCATTTGTTGATGTCTTCCAATTCAACCATATAGCCATCTTAAAAATCAGACTAAATGGCTGAGAAAGATCCCATCGAGGGTCTACGCCTCCCCGAGGAGAACAGCCTGTCGACCGGCAACAGCGACTCTGGCGCAGACGATGCGAGCGCCTACGAGCTGACCGGAATTCCACTATTTCTGGTCATCACTGGACTTGGTCTTTCTATTTTCCTCATGTCACTGGATTCTTCAATTATCGCCACTGCTATACCTCGGATCACGTCACAATTCAACAGCACCGGCGATATTGGCTGGTATGGAAGTGCATACTCCTTTGCGATGTGTGCTTTGCAGCCTATCGCGGGTAAACTGTTTGCGAACTTTGCGATGAAGGTGAGATAATCCCAATCCTCTAATTGTAGATAAAAAGCTCATTAACAATATTAGGGCATGTTTCTCGGATGTCTTGCCGTTTTCGAGCTCGGCTCATTGCTCTGTGCCCTTGCTGTCAATAGTCCTATGCTCATCATCGGGCGTGCTATAGCCGGAATTGGAGCAGCAGGTTGCTTTACAGGAGCCTTCTGTATTGTCGCGGTTTCCATCCCGCTGGTCAAGCGACCCTTCTATATCGGAATCCTTCAGTCAACCTTCGGCATCGCTACCATAATTGGACCCGTGTTAGGTGGTGCATTCACAGAGCATGTGACGTGGCGGTGGTGCTTCTGGATCAATCTCCCCATCGGTGCTGTCACTATCTTATCACTGGTTTTCTTTTTCAAACCACCTCCGCGCAACTCAACGAAAGCTCCGTCGGCTCTTAGTAGACTGGAAAACTTGGACTTTCTCGGCGCTTTCCTTTTCGCTCCCGCCATCATCATGATCTTTTTGGCTCTTCAATGGGGAGGAACCGAACACGCTTGGAAGAGCGCCACCATCATTGGCCTCTTCATTGGAGGCGCGGGTCTCGGCGTTGTCTTTGCTTTCTGGCAAATACGACGGGGTGACAATGCCATGATTCCACCGCGTCTGATCACTGAGCGTACGATGTTCTTCTCCTGTTTCAGCGAGTTCTTCGCTATGGGTGCTGTTTACATTTCGATCTATTACCTTCCAGAATGGTTCCAGGTCATCAAAGGCGCCTCGCCCACGAAATCCGGAGTCATGTACCTCCCTTTAGCACTGTCAGATGTCCTCTCTGCAACCCTGACAGGTGCCTCGCTCAAGTATCTTGGATACCCAAATCCCTACATGTTCCTTGGAACGGGCCTGATGAGCATAGCAACGGGACTCTTCTCAACCTTCTCCCAAAGCACTCCCCACCAGCAGTGGATCCCATTCCAAGTCCTCCAAGGTCTTGGTGTGGGGATGACTCTCTCAATGCCTTATGTTGCGACACAAACAGTCCTCAAGCCAGAAGATATTCCTGTCGGTACCTCATTACTGCAATGCTTCCAATTCTTTGGCGCTTCCGTGAACCTCGCCATTGCTGAGGCTATCTTTGAGAACAAACTTGTCTCGCGACTGGACAGTTGGGGATTTGAGGGCCATGAGATAGAGAAAATTCTCAGTGCAGGCTCCGCCGAAGCGAGGGGCGTGGTTTCCGCAGAGCACATTCCAGGCGTCTTAGATGCATATAACTACGCAATAACCAGGACGTTCTACGTCGCAACCAGTGTTGCGGCCGTTGCATTCCTCCTCTCTCTCGGGATTCGCTGGAGGAGTATCAAGCCGAAACCCCAGCCTGCTGTCTCTGATGAGGAGGCTAGGTCTTCAAGTCAATAGGCTCCAGTGGCACTGATAAGTCAAAGCAAACATGGAAAACGGAGGATTATTGAATGTGAGCCCCGAGCGTATCACAAACCATCACGACTTGCTTCGGGATTTGCTATATATATACTTTTAGAATAATGATGCATAGCCAGCGATTTTTCAAAACGTGAATGAAAGCGTTCTTCATTGCATACTCTCTGTCTTTCTATATGAATAAATATTTGTCAAACATTGTTTTGTTGCCGTAAATCATTATCAAATGTAACGTTAGAGATATATACATAGTCAAGAAAAATATAAATCGCTAGTAAAATTAACAAAATAAGGGCCATATCTGTCCTTCCTTCACAGTATCAACCCACGATGGCATTATATCACCTCGGTTGGCAGTAAGATGCTCATCTTGCCTGCGCCATAATTCAGAAATGATGTTTCTAGCGCTGGAAAAGGCAGCAAATCCGCAAACAGAACTTGCCCTGTCCAACAAGCTTGTTATAGCATCTCGTCTTGACGAAGACATGGCCTCGCATCCTGCAATAAACAGTGGCCAAGCCGTCCCCGGACCAGTGGGATCATCTGGTGCAAGGGCCGCACTGCATGACTCCAGCGCAGCAATGACGTTGTCAACATGACCTTGAAGAGCAGCTG